TGCCTGTACCAAGATTTGGCTAATTGTTCTTCACAGCATGGGGAATTGTGGCCATCCAGATGCTTCAAATTATAGCTCATCTTGAATCATACTGCTAAGGCTGTTGGAGGCCACAGTCATCTAGAGATGCTTGTTAAATCTTGTCACTTGTTTCTTTACAACACGGGTGTCAAACTCGCCATGTCACGTGATGTGTTGCAACGTATCGCAACTTTTTTTGCATTGCCGGAGCTGGGGTGAGCGCGACCTCTGCATGATGCAACCAGGCCGCGGGCCGGCAGTTTGACACCTGCTTTACAACCAACAGAAAACTGCAGAGCTTCTTTACTCCTTATGTCCACTTAGTTTTTTATTATTTTTGTGCTAAATAATTTTAAGATTCGTCTTTATATATTCTGGTATAAAAGGAACTAGAGCAGTGTTTCTCAACCTTGACAATTTTAAGGCATGTGGACTTCAACTCCCAGAATTCCACAGCCAGCATTGCTGGCTGTGGAATTCTGGGAGTTGAAGTCCACATGCCTTAAAATTGTCAAGGTTGAGAAATACTGAACTAGAGCATATACATTTATTTAGTCAATGATGAGAACAGCAAAATTACAGTAATATAGCATAAAAACTATTTAAAACTATATAAAAATGTAACATAACTCACTCTAGGCATAAGATTATTATACAGATCTAGTTCTGTTGAAGTTTATTTTCATGCCTTAATAGCTGTGACACAAAATCCAGCTACATTGCATGTAACATTAGGCTTATTGTCTGACAAGAGAAAGGAAGATAAAACTTAGCTGATTAGGTTCAAACAGAGGACAACTAAGATTGACAATTAAGGTGATCAATATCAGAAAATGAGTGGTTTCTATCAAAACTGAATTATAGGGACAAAGGAATTTTGGCTAATCTACCACTAAGGATTTTTGCAAGTAAATCCCATCACAGATCTAAAAAAAGGTTTGTTGCTGAGCAGAGGATATAGGTGTGAAATATGTGGTTAGTATCCATCTAGGACAGTGGTTCTCAACCTTTTTAATGATGCGACCCCCAACCGGTCGTAGGTCGAGGACTACTCAACCGGTCGTAAGTCGAGGACTACTCAACTGGTGCAGCACCGTTTGCAGAATGGGACTTTTGGCGGGCTCAGCAGGGCAGAGACAGCCTGGACAATTCCTATTGGCTTTTGAAAGCCAATAGAATTAGACTCTATTCAAGAGAGTCTATTCTATTGGTTTTCAAAAGCCAATAGAATAAAAGGGAGTAGCACAGCTAAGGAAAAGGGGGAAAAAATGGCAGACTGCGTTGTTTGGCGATCCCCGTGAAATGGTCGTTCGACCCCAAATGGGGTCCCGACCCACAGGTTGAGAATCACTGATCTAGGATTTTCTAAATGTTCCTTGATATGATGTGAAATTAAACTAAATTCATTCTGTTTTTCTTTATCTGGTCTTAATAATATGAAGGCTTCTTTATATTCTAATGACCCTACCTCAGTGGTGGCGAACCTATGGCACATGTGCCAGAGGCGGCACTCAGAGCCCTCTCTGTGGGCACCGCACCGTCGCCCCAGCAGAGTTCGCCAGAGTAGTGAGCACATGGCATTTGGAAGTGATGGGAGGGAGTGAGCGAGCAAGTGATGTTGGCCCCCTGGAGATGCCCCAGAGATGGCGCGGGACTGGCCCCGTCCACGCTCACCCAGTCTGCCGTGACCACTGCAGTCACGCCCACCCAGTGGGCCACACACCCCACCCCTCTTGAGGGCACCACAATGCTGATGCAGCCCTGGCACTTTGCGATAAATAAGTGGGTTTTGGGTTGTAGTTTGGGCACTCAGTCTCTAAAAGGTTCGCCACCACTGCTCTAGCTGGTCAAGAGGCACATTTTCTGAGTACTAATAAATGCTTTCTCTTTGTTTACATTGAACATTAAGCCTTAGCTCAGATTTATATAGAGACCAGACAGTACCACTAGATGTCATCACAAGGACTTTAGTAATCATAGATTGCTTAGGTATTTATAAGGTACTTACAGAGTCAGATCTTTGGAATGTCATTAATGTGATGTAAGGTCACTGACCCTTAATTGAACCTGAGACACCAGAAAAGTCAATTAGGAACTCAGGCAGAGGCTTCTTAAAGGAACAGTACTTTATTTGATCAAGTGAAGTAGCTGGGTGGAACACAATCTGAAACTCTGACAGCAATTATGTTCAGAAGTGACACACCTTAGAAAGTTAACGCCATTGCTTTATAAACTTTGTTAACCAATCAACATTAGACAATAGAGTTATTACCGTATAAGAAAAACAACAAACATCATTCCTGTACACTCCCTTGTTCCCTCCTCAGTACATCTATGTACGTGTTTCCCACGCTTATATGAAATTTGTCCCTGATGCAAATGCTGATTACAGAAGCAAGATAGCAGTAGTTAGGCTAAATAGTTTTGTTTCTTTTTCTAGTTCCAGTTACAGAACTCTACAGTGACATATGAGGAATCCTCTCTTGTGTCTGCTTCATTTCTAGTTTTTTACAATTTTCAAAATTTGTTGTGCACAAATTTGAAGTGGGCCATGCAGTTGCTTCACATATGGCAACTCTATTTGGTAGGATTGACTTTTAAACAAGCCAGGGGAAATATAGTCTGTCTTTTATTCTCCCAGGTCACAGGTGTCAAACTTGATCATGTCACATGACATATCGTGATGTATCACAACTTTTTTGCCTTTGTGGAGCTGGGTGGGCATGGCCTACAGACCATCAGTTTGACATCCCTGTTCTAGGTTGTGCTTACTCATATAGTTAGAACCACCTGCTTGAAGAACAGAAAGCAAATTTTTTCAGTAGTAGGTCGCAGAAGTAAATGCTAAGCTGCATGTAATTGGCTCTAACACTTGGATTCCTGGTGCTGTCTGAGCTTGGTTGTTTTCTTGCAGACGGTTCATTACCAAACTAGATAACATCAGTGCCAGTTTGGTGATGAAACATCTGCAAGAAAATGACCAAACTCAGTGACACAGTTCAACCTTGAGCTTCAAATATTTTCTCCTATGAATTAATCCTAGGTTTGCTCAGCTCATTTTGTGCTATGAGTTAAGATACCTCTTAGCAAAGGTTGGCAAAGCAGCAGTAAGAATAGCAACAGCATTTCTGCTTTTTGATACAATAATAGGAGAGCTTCTGTTCCAATTTTCAGCTCTTCAACTATTTCTTGCATAGGGTTAATTTTGGTAAATAACGAAGATATGTTCTCAAAGACTTACAGACTAAGCAACTTACAGAGTCAGCCTATTGCCCCCAACAATCTAGGTCCTCATTTTACCGACCTTGGAAGGATGGAAAGCTGACTCAACCTTGAGCCAGTCAGAATTGAACTCCTGGAGTGAGCAATGAGTTAGCCTGCAGTACTGCATTCTAACCACTGTGCCATCACAGCTCTTAAAGGGATTCCCTGACAACAAGTTTTGTTGAGGAAGACAATGGTGGAAGACAAGTATTACTACAAGCTTCTAGTACAGTAGTTCTCAACCTGTGGGTCGGGACCCCATTTGGGGTCGAACAACCATTTCACGGGGGTCACCAAACAATAGCTGTGCTACTCCCTTTTATTCTATTGGCTTTTGAAAGCCAATAGAATAGACTCTCTTGAACAGAGTCTAATTTTATTGGCTTTCAAAAGCCAATAGGAATTGTCCAGGCTGTCTCTGCCCTGCTGAGCCCACCAAAAGTCCCATTCTGCAAACGGTGCTGCACTAGTTGAGTAGTCCTCGACTTATGACCAGTTGAGTAGTCCTCAACTTACGACTGGTTGGGGGGGTCGCAGCATTAAAAAGGTTGAGAACCACTGTTCTAGTATCTAGTTGATAAGTATCAATTTTATCTCTTTTCAGGACCATTTTGGATAGCTCTTTCTAGTTGAACCCAATTGTTGTAAGTCTTCTTCATTTTTATTATCATTACATACAGATTCGACAATATTCTTAGTAGATAATGCCTCAATCAAGGGAGCATACACATTTGACACTACAAAGGAGTTTGATGTACTAAATCTCCATTTGTGATGGCTTGAAATTATGTAGAGTTTTTCTTAATTACTTATTTCCCAAATTAGTAAGTAAAATTAACCTTGAAAAACTCTTTAATAAAAAAATAGCTGTGTTTGTCCTAGGAGAAACACAAAAAAGGTATTTGTAGATATGGAGCTCCATGTATAAAACTTTACTGTATCACCATCTTCGCAAGAGAGCCAAAATATTTAGAATTGTATTAAAATAATTTTTTTTAAATTGCATCTTATATAGTGTGAGCCTTCATCGCCACTTACATACATATATATTCTGATAAAGTGGTAGGGGAGATATAGTAAGATTAAGGAAGACAAACCTAATTATTTGGGAATTTTTGTTCTGAGGAGATTAAAATAAAATGGGTGTCTTATATCAATGGATGCTAACTGGTTTCTTAAAAATACAGAAAAAATTGCTAAATTTTGGTAGGACAATCTCAAAGATGGGGTGCTTTAGATTTAGGGGTTGTTGCAGCCTACCTCTGCCTCTGTGCAGTCCTCCTTATCCCTAGCTTATGGTGGCTTCTATGAAGTTCTGACACCAAATAGCTCCTCACCAAACAGCCCTTAGAATTGGCCATTGACTGGATTCATGCATTATGATTACACTAAGCCTTGTTTGCCTGGAATAATCGCAACTGGATGGCTTCACACAGCACACTAAAGCCAATAAATTATATAATCGTACAGTGTTGTGTGAACCCAACCATTGTAGTTAAATGACTTATGAAAATGTGCAAATACAGTTCCTGTGTTTTAAGATTAACCGATCTTAAACGTATGGCTTCCTGGCGTCAAAGGAGCTTATTTCTGAACAGAGATGAACAGGACCGCAACCTCAAGCCCCAGGCTTCTACCGAAAAGAAAAACGGAAACACCAAGAGGATAAAGCGGAATAAAGTGCAGCAACGTCACTTCCTCTCTTCGCTAGTTTCTCTTGCATCATCCAGCTCCGACTCGTCCCACCTCATCCCCGCTGCACATTGAGTTGAGCAGTGTGGGCAGATTTAGCTGCCTCAATACAAAGCAGTACGCATGCGTAGGGGAGCAAAAGATTAAATTCTCTGGGTGAGAAAGTAAGGAGGGTGACTGGCGACTCTCCCTTTTTTAAAATTTTTATTGTCGGCGAGGGGGTGTCATCGTCATGGCTGAGGAAGAGGCGCTGAGGAAGCAGGCAGATACGGTGCGGCGCCTCAAGCAGGAGAAGGCTAGCCCGGAAGAGGTAAGGCGATGCACGGGACTACTGCATAGACAATCTTTTTCCATATTCCAGATTTCGGAGGTTCGTAATTTTCATAAAGTGCAGGAGAGAGGCACTCGAACTGACCTGCACTCGCTCTATGTCCATAACATACGGTATCACAGATCACCCGTTCTAAAGCGTAAATTGGGCTGGTGAGACAGCATTCATAATTTCTACTGGGCAAGAACCACGCTGTTTGAGAGTTTCTGCATTGGTTCTTTATAATATAATGATGTTGGAAGGGACCTTGAAGGTCATCTAGTCCAACCCCCCTGCTCAGGCAGGAAACCCTACACCATTTCAGACGAATGGCTGTCCAGTCTCTTAAAAACTCCAGTGTTGGAGCATTCACAGCTTCTGGAGGCAGGTTGTTCCACTGATCAATTGTTCTAACTATCAGGAAATTTCTCCTTAGTTCTAGGTTGCTTCTCTCTTTGGTTAGTTTCTATTCATTGCTTCTTGTCTTGCCTTCAGGTGCTTTGGAGAATAGCTTAACTCCCTCTTCTTTGTGGCAACCCTGAGATATTGGAACACTGCTATCATGTCCCCCCTCATCGTTCTCGTCATCAAACGAGACATATCCCAATGCCAGCAACCGTTCCTTATATGTTTTAACCTCCAGTCCCTGATCATCTTTGTTGCTCTTCTCTGTACTTTTTCTAGAGTCTCAACATCTTTTTTACATCGTGGTGACCAAAACTGGATGCAGTATTCCAAGTGTGGCCTTACCAAGGCATTGTAAAGTGGTATTATTAACACCTCACGTGATCTTGATTCTATCCCTCTGTTAATGCAGCCCAGGACTGCATTGGCTTTTTTGGCAGCTGCAGCACACTGCTGGCTCATATTTAAGTGTTTGTCAACTAGGACTCTGAGATCCCTCTCACAGATACCACTATTGAGGAAGGTACCAATATATATAAAGATATATGTTCCTTGCTAGCATAGGATGCAGAAGCTGCTATATTTTGGGCAATATTCTTATTTTTGCTTCTATGTGATTAACATAGGTGACCTTTGTTGATCTGGGAGACAGCTTCACCAAAGAAAATGGATTTTATTTCTCAGTGACCATACACTGTACAAGACCTTTTAATGTAGTCTATCCTAAAATATGGTTTGCAAATATCTCAAATCAATACAACCATCTTATTCCTCACTGCTTCACCATGTAGTATCTCTAATGATAACTAAAACAAAATATAGAGCCTGCCTGGACATAAGCACCCTTCTGAACTAGGACAATTTATACTAAGGCTGTATCTCTCTCTAGTGGCACACAGAACAGACTACAAGAACCACTGAAAGTCAAAATAGGATACGGTACATTGAAAGCGCACAATGCAGTGGCAAATAATTTGTAAAACCACGGACCACGTGAGAAGCTAGATGAATGTCACACTCCTACTCCTGCTTATTTTCAAAGTAGAACTGATTTACCCGAAGGGTCAGACTGTATACTGTACAGGTGAAAGAAAATGCACTCAATACAAGTCTCAAGTTGACATACCATTTGAGCATAGAATTATGTTATATCAAATATTTGGGCTACTTCAAAATAAACACAGCAATGTGACCGCAACTTTAAGGGGTACTGGGCAGAAAAGTCCTGCAGCCAAGAAGGCTGCACACACATTTGCACTTCTCAGTTACCCTGAGGACACAAGTAAACCTCCAAAATGGTTTCAACCACTCTCTAAAGGAATGCAAATGACCAAATGCAAATGGCCATCTATCTGCAAGCAATATAAATCCTTCCACTCCCCGCCATCTAATCAGAGCTGAAGAAGCTTCTTGGATGAGAAGCAAAACATCTTCAAAAGAAACACAAAGTCCAGTTGGCTCCTGAAAAAAGCACCTTTGGTACAGCAATGTGATAACGTATTATGCCAAAAATCAAACAACTTAGAGTTGAGCTGGAGATCTCGGGAAAATCCCAGAGATGTAGACTAGATTGGAAAGCCTTAAAAACCCAGAAGGCAACAAGGATGTGGTTGCCAACAAAATTACATGGATGTTTTTGTGTATTTAGGAGGACCTGAGATTGACTGAAGAGATCTTTATAATGATAACACTGGCCCTGGAAGTCTACCATTAATACTATCCTATTGAAACTGTTTCCTCACTTCTATTTACCTTCCTCATTCTTTGCTCATTAAATAATGATTCCCTTTTAGATTTGCTGATTTGGGCAGGGGGGAAATCACAAAGGAAGTTATGTAATAAACTCTTGTAATAATTAAATGTATATAGAAATTTCCAAGTTTTTCAGTGACTTTAATCTTGCATACCTCAAGGTTATAGTGTAAAATCATACCAAATCCTTACAAAGCTAGGTTAGTATATCTGAAAAGCAGAATAAATAAACATCCGTTTTCAAAAATGTAAATGTAATGTTGTTATACTGTAAGAGGCTATATGCTTATATGCTGTTGGAAAAGAAACAGCACTAATATACAATCTTTACTGGACAGAATATTGTGCATATAGTATATGTTTTTCTTGGTGTAATATTGGTTATTGCTTTCTAAATCAACCCCAGTTGACAATAAGTGTTGTTCCCTATTCTACTAGCTTTATAGGAAATTTCTGGAGGAGGGGTACAACTTATATTGAAGTATTTTTTAAAAAATTTAAAGAGGGAAGAAGTGGTGGCTATGTTGAGCCATGAAAAAAATGATAAAATGTGCAGTAAGACAATATAGAAAAAGGATATTTGGGTCAGGAGCTTATCCCAATATGCAACAATAAACAAAAACACTGTACATTGTAAGTAACAATAACTATGTAATTTACAGTGATTAAAAATATCTTTCAGATCACAAAGCAAGTGTCAAAGCTGCTGGAGATGAAGTCAGCAATGCATCCTGAAGAAGGCAAGCATAAATTTGTTTTGAAGACACCAAAGGTAAAGTCTTCAACTTTTTCTTTTTTCCATTGCAATTCGTGGAATGCTTACATTTACAGGTAGTCGTTGACTTACAACCCTCCATTTAATCCCTGTTCAAAGTTACAACACTGAAAAAAGTGACTTATAATGTATAACAATTACAATCGTTGCAGTATTCCTATGGTCACATGATTAAAATTTGGGTGCTTGGCAGCTAGCATGTATTTATGACAGTATGTCTGAAGGGTCACCTGATCACCATTTGTAACTTTCCCACTTGGCTTCCGACAAAGTCAATGGGGAAGCAAAATTTACTTAACAACCTCACAATTCACTTAATTGCAGTGATTCATTTGATAACTGTGGCAAAAAAGTTATAAAATGGGGCACAACTCAGTTAACAGCTGTCTTGTTTAGGAACAGAAATTTTGGTTTCATTGTGGTTGTAAGTCAAGGACTATCTGTATTCAGTTTTATGCTACCAAAAATACTTTTTGGGATCAAGGAAGAATTTGATGATGCTTCATTATGATCTCTGTGCTTCATTATGATCTCTGTGCCACATGTATAGTAGATTTTCATCTGCATAAGCCCCAGCTTTAGAATCTATTACAGCTGTGATAAAGTTTTTTTTAATGAAGAAATTTATCTTTAATATACAAATTTCTGGGTGCAGTATTTGCCTTTTCCCCCAGCTTCTTTTTAACCTCTAACACTGGAAAAAATGTCTCCAAACTAAATTCTGTGCTGAAAAATGTTGCTTTTTTGAAGCATGTTTTCTATCTTTTGCAAGCTAAATAAGGTGTTCAGTAAGCAAAATATTTAGGGAAGTTGTACAGGTAGTCCTTGATTTATGACCACAATTGGGACTGAAATTTTGGTCACTAAGCTGTCTAGTTATTAAGCAAGTCATGTGGATAGACCCATTTTTACAATCATTTTACTACAGTCATTAAGGGAGATATAAAGTGATATGATTTTATAAAATAAAACAAAAATATTTTAGTAAGATGTACAGTTCTCTAGACACTTCAAAAACCATGGATCTATAACTGCACACCGTACTGGATGCTAGAGACATGTGAATATTGTCAAAAGGAACTGTACCTATCGGTAATTATTAATGGATTGGCAATATTCAGTAATTGTTATATGATCGGTAGGTATTATATGCTATCAAAACGAAAGTTTAATCTGTGTAAATTGCATTAAAATCTCCAATCTTTTAATCTGTTTCACTTAAATCATATTGTAAAAAATGATTTTGACAGTTTTGACAAAAAAGGGTTTTAATGAATAGATTTCAATATTTTGTAAAATTTATAGGAGTATAAAAAATTCGTTACCAAATGTTCTACATTTTGCTGTGTTTTATAACAGAATGAATGTATACATCTGTTTATAAAGTTTGTAGTTCTTAAAAAATCAGGCTTGACTGTCATGCCAGATGCATTTTCTTTAAACATTTAGCCTTCCCCATTTAAGTTATGAGCTGAAAATGTCAGGCTCAGGTGAGGAATATAAGACTGTATTGCACACTGTCTAAAATCTATAAAATGAGATTATGACACTGTCTAATTTGTCATAAGTGGAATCTTCTTTATTATTCGGAACAATCAGCATTAGGCATCGTCTTACCATCCCTGAGACATCGCTAAGGCTGTACTGTTGGGTGTTTTTTTTTTTTTTATTTACCATATGCGCTAAAGTGGAGGGCCCTCCTTTTAATAGTGAAGCTTTTCTTGTGTAAAAACTATGATGCCCTGGATGCAATTGTTTAAAATGTCAGTATATTGGATGAAAATGTCACAGTAATTGTCCTATAGGTTTCAGTACAATAGAGGTTGTTTTTAAGGGATGCTTCCTGTTTTTTCCTTTGATTTTTCATAATGAAAAGGAAGACATCGGACAGTTTCTACTTAGAGATTATTTTCTCTTTTGTGGTGCTACTGACCAATCGAATCTCAGTATTCAGTATTAAGTTTCAATTTTGCTTTTATAATTTTAATTCTTTTATAAATAAATAATTATATTTATTTATATTTCATATTTCTTTACCACCCATCTCCCTCAATTTTAATGGTTTTAACTAATGATTTTCTAATTTATTTACAAATTGTTTTATAGCCTACAATTCATTTTCATTGTCATATCTAAATTTGAGATTTATAACTTTCTATTAAACAAGCTTATTCTGATCAAATCCGTCTGATTGCAGTCCAATTTAGGTTGACTCAGAAATCAGTCTCACAAAGTTTAGTGAGTAGATGTTTGCAGATACTATGCAGTTGTTTGATACTTCCTGTGCATTTCTCTTTGTAGCATGTATTAGATGAAGAACATAACCTAGTTTGCCCTACAACTACTGCAAGATGATTAATACAAACTATTTATGTTATGAGAGAAAATGAGAATTCCATCCATCCTTATCATAGTTAGATGATAACTGTATATAACTTTCAAAATCTTCATCATGTTGTCCCCATACATTTTCTATTTTAACTAAGCTAAAAGCTCCAAATAGTATACTGTGAATTGTTTTCATTTGCTATACTCTACTGTGTCAAGCCTCACATCTACACTTCCTTAATGTACCACACTTTTAATAGGATGGAACTTGCTGACATTTTCTTCTAACCCAGACCTTTCATTTTTGCTTTCAGGGTACTCGGGATTATAATCCCAAACAGATGGCTATCAGAGAGAAAGTCTTCAATGTCATTACCCAATGCTTCAAACGTCATGGAGCTGAGACAATAGATACTCCAGTATTTGAATTAAAGGTAAGATGGCACAAGTTGGGGATGGTAGCAATTCAGAACAGAGGTATATTTTCTTATTTAATGAATAATCTTCAAATCTATAACTTTCAAACAACTGAGGAAAAATGAAATAAAAACATATTTTAGACATATGCTAAGAAGTACTTCCCCCACAGAATTTTACATCCTGAACTGGCTCCATAGTTAACTTTCCCAGTCTTTGACAAATCTCCATGTTCTTCCTAATTATTATTTTTTCCTAAAGAGAGATGGGGCAACAGGCAGAGGAAGAGAAGCTTCTTGGGAAAGACAGAGTGAGATGAGAGAAAAGAGTGTGTGTGGAAGGAATGTAACTATGGCCAGTAGGAGCACCCTAAATGAGAGTGAGATGCATGATCATCAGAGGGATGATTCCAATAATTTAAAACTGATTTCAACTAGCTTATAGAAGCTGCTGGGAGATTTTTTTTCAAAATCCTAAAGGTTTTCAGTGTCCACTAAAATTACAGATTCCTGCTATGGCTGTTTATCTTAGACTAACCCTTTTGACCTCAGTGCTATTTATTTTTAAATAGTTATGAATATGCTGTTAATGCAGTGTTAATTATTTTATGTTTAAGTAGTTTAGTTCAAGTCCTTTTTTAAAAAAATAAGAATTTATAGAATTTACTAATGTATAGGAGATTTCCTCTCCAGAAAAAACTATCTATTAAGAACCCATCCTATGTCCTCAAATTACACTTAAATATGAATAGAACAGAACAGAACAGAATAGAATAAACAGAGTTGGAAGGGACCTTAGAGGTCATCTAGTCCAACCCCCTGCTCAGGCAGGAAACCCTATACCATTTCAGACAAATGATTGTCCAATCTCTTCTTAAAAACGTCCAGTGTTGGAGCATTCACAACTTCTGGAGGCAAGTTGTTCCACTGATTTATTGTTCTAACTGTCAGGAAATTTCTTCTTAGTTCTGAATTGCTTCTCTCCTTGATTAGTTTCTATCCATTGCTTCTTATCCTGCCCACAGGTCCTTTGGAGCAGGGGTCCCCAACCTCTGATCCGTGGACCAGTACCGGGCTACGGCATATCAGCAACCAGTCTGCACAAACAAGCAAAGCCCCATCCATGGGATACAGGCAGCATACAAAACCACACACTTTCTGGTCTGTGGAAAAACATTTCTCCACAGAACCGGTCCCTGGTACCCAAAAGGCTGGGGACCTCTGCTTTGGAGACTCCCTCTTCTTTGTGGCAACCCTTGAGATATTGGAACACTGCTATCATATCACCCCTCGTCCTTCTCTTCGTTAAACTAGACAAACCCAATTCCAGCAACTGTTCCTTATATGTTTTAGCCTCCAGTCCCCTGATCACTTTTGTTGCTCTTCTCTGCACTCTTTCTAGAGTCTCAACATTTAATCAGTATTGCACTAGGACTAAAACCTAAAACTAAAAGTTAGAAAAAACTAAGAAAAAACACATGCAATTAATTATATGAAGTCAACTGACCCCACTTCTTCTCAGTTACTATATTAATGCAATGATAGATGCCTTCCTGCATGGAAGAGTTTCATATACTCATACTCATTGCAGACTAGTAGACCTATATTGCTTTATGCAGATGATGGTGTCTTAGGATTGCAAACACCAGTGAGTCTTGGAAGAACCAGGGAGCACTATTCTATCTCTGTAGGGAAGGTCATTACAGATTAACTATGAAAAAGGTCTTGTTATTTACACAGAGCTACAAAATAAGGATACATAATTGAATTTGTCCCATGTTTTGATTACTTGACATTTGTGCTATATTATTCAGGAAAGTAACATACCCGCATCTCTCTGGTCATTCTGAATATTTGGAGGAGTTCAGCAATTATCCTCTCTTTTTCTCTATAGAAGCCCAGTGTGTACCACCTGCTTTTTGAAACCAAGGCTCAGATATTGGTAAAGGCTCCCTTTTAGTATTAAGGCCTGGTATATATCTTATCTTAAATGAGAACTCTATACAGGAAAACAACATGAATGGAACATAATAAGGAAGGAATAGGTGAGCATTTGACTGTTATGCTGTTGACAATTACATTGGGAGTGAAATTGGCAAAGTAAAAACATTAATAACATTGAAAAAATATAATATCTGTGCTGATTATATCAAGGCTTAAAAATTATATAGCCCTTAGACTGAACAGAGGATTGCTCAGTGCAGAACTAAGGGACACAAGTTAATCTTTGAATGGACTCAAACCCTAACATTGGCCCTAAGTGGATAAGCAATATCTACTTGCTGAAACTTTTAATAGTTTTTTTTTCTTGGATTTCTTCTCAACTCCTCTTCATTGAGATTCTTCGTTATCAAGTTGGTTCGCAATGGCTATTGACTATCTATTATTGGGCTTTTATACTTTGTTTGATTCACATTGCCCTCACTGGACCAGGAATTTGTTTATGATGTGATCTCACCTGTACTCTAACCTTTCTCATCACTAATTAGAATTCAGTTTCTAGGATTTAACTTCATGAGAGAAATACTCCAATCCTTCAAATCCTATTTCATCTATGAGTTATTTATATTCCCTCAGTATCAAAGAGAGTATCAATCAGTATCAATCAGAGAGAAGCAACCTAGAACTCAGGAAAAATTTCCTGACAGTTAGAACAAATAATCAGTGGAACAACCTGCTTCCAGATGCTGTGAGTGCTCCAACATTGGAAGTTTTTAAGAAGAGACTGGACAGCCATTTGTCTGAAATGGTATAGGGTTTCCTACCTGAGCAGGGGGTTGGACTAGATGACCTCCAAGGTCCCTTCCAACTTACGTTACATTACATTACATTACATTACATTATATTATATTTATTATATTATATTGAAGAATCCTGTTCTTGAATTAAACAATTTCTCAATTGGTCTAATCTGGCTGAACAACAGGTCACCAGGCGAGAATGATTTAGTAAAGCTTTCTCTAACTAGGATGAAAAGATTCCATGTTTTCAATAGGAATTTCCTGGAAATCTGAGTAGGAAAATGAGGCTTTCCTGTTGGACTCCTACTATGTAGTAAGTGTCTGATTTCAGGACAAATATAAATAAGGTTTGGAAGATATATCTATCTAATCATTTTCTTTAAAGGCTAGATTTGAAACCTCCAAAGGCAGTTGATTTTCAAAAAATATAGTTACAGTTAAGCCTCTTAAGAATATTTTTGTAAATATTTCTAGCAATATTCTGACCATTAAATGTTATCACAGCCTGATTCCATCAAAATATAAATATCCTGCAGAGACGGTGTAGAATGCACTAGGCATCACATCATTTACAATGTATAAATGATGAATTATATGTTCATGCTGAGCTGAAAATCCTCTATGTTTAGGAAAATTGTGAGAAATTTATGTGGAACAATATTCAATTTCACCTGTTTCTTTTGTGATTCTCTGGCTGCAACTGTCTTATGAGCTATAGGGCCTGTCCAATCGCACCATTTAAGCCAGTAGCTCAATTCATCATTCAAACTTCTCGCTTCAATTTTCAGCATTCCAGTCTCAGCGATTAGGTAGACATCTAGAGGCGGTAAGAATGGACTTCAGGAACATTGTTTATCTTATTTGTGGCATTCTCCTTTGCATACATTTTCATTTGGGCACCATATAAATTTTGCCTGCTATTTTCCTTTAGGGAAGAAGAATATTTTGGTAATCAGTGAGGATTTTAACACTGTTTAGCTAATAAATTCATAATGTGTTTTCCAAATTCCTATAGAATGAAAAGGCGGCATGGTGGCTCCGCAGTTAAGATGCTGGGCTTATCAGCTGCACCCTGGCAGCTCGGGTTCAAGACTTGAGCTCCGCGTGATGGAGTAAGTTCCCATCCTTGCCCCAGCTCTTGCCAACCTAGCAGTTCAAAAGCATACAAATGCAAATAGATAAATAGGAATAGATAGATAGATAGATAGATAGATAGATAGATAGATAGATAGATAGATAGATAGATAGATAGATAGATAGATAGATGGGAAGGTAACAGTACTCCATGATGTCATGCTGGCCACATGACTATGGAAATGTCTTCAGACAGCACTAGCTTAATGGCCTTGAAATGGAGATGAGCATCGCCCCCTGGAGTTGGCAATAACTAGCAGAGTAAAATCTGCAGAAACCTCTTCCTTTATAGAATGGAATACTAATCCCAAATATTAGAAGGCAACGACCTGTTTGATACTATTTCCCTCAATGATCCATACTTTCAGAGTGGGTTTTCTTTTTTTATCAAATACTATACCAAAAGTTTTGCTTTTGGAATGTGATGGCTAGCTTATTCTGTCTATTATACTGGATTCTACAGAGCATAATGGAGTAAAGAAGACAATACAATAAGAAGTGACAATTATATCTTTCAGTTTTGGGAACATTAAAATCTGGGCTATCTAAAGTTTCTACCATAGAATTATTGTAGAAGCTAAACAGGGCAGGAATTAAAATACATCCATCTTTTCCTTTTCTTAATATTTTTGAGGGCAATTGTGTGAATGTATGCCACTGTTCCTGAATTTTATTGCCAGATGTAAGACTGCTACAGGCCTTCTATCTAACAATCTAACCCTTAAATAAATATAAATTAACTTTCTCTAGAGCTCATTTTAAAAGGTGTATCTTCTGCTGTAGCTTTTTGGTGTATGGAATTCACGAGACGTCGTAGCCTCAGAAAATTTGCCCTTGTGGCTCTAGGAAAATCCTTGCCCATCTCTTCATTATTTTTAAGTGATCTTAACTCATTTCTTGTGGCTAGAGTTGTGAAATACCTTTACAGCCCATATGACTGTGCAAAACTTTTGACGTAGATTGTTTTATTTTAATTTCTTGTGATAGGCACATGTAGTAATGTATTTTCTTTCTCTGAGAACAGTTCTATTAAATGTCCATGTCCCTTTTTATATGTACATGACTCTATCAGAATTGGAGAATATTTGTGTAAAAACAAGGAATTCTTTAGTTAAGTCAGATTTTCCTGACTGTTTTCTGTGACTCCTTGTGTTCATTGTCCATTAAAAGTACCACTTTCCTCCTACCCATACAAGAAAAAAGCCATGTACAAGTGCCTCTTTCTGTGGTACTGTCATGGCTCTGAAACATCATTTCAGTTAAATCTGCCATGCATTCGCTTTAAACATTTTGCACAAAGAAGTAAAGCAAAAAAGGTAAATTGGTTTAAAATCTGATTTTATACCTGATGGAACGCCCCTGCCCCCCCTGCATTGCTCTTCCTTTCCTATTTATATCACTTCTATTCATTACTTTGACATTTATATAACGACTGATTAATTTTACTGGTTTTTGTTTTGTGGGTTTTTGTTTCGTTTAAGCTGCTATTATATGAAATAGAAGAAAGGAATATAAATTATTCAGTGTTATTATTTTTATTCAGTTGCCCAAGTAATTGTGACCTTTATAAGCACATTGTGACTAGAACTTGTATTGGTCTCTTGTAACAGCATGATTTACTGTTGCTTTTATCTGTCCTTTTTTTCCTGTCTTCTTTTTTATTCTTTTTTTTTTTTAGGAAACCTTAACAGGGAAATATGGAGAAGACTCAAAGCTCATCTATGATCTGAAAGACCAAGGAGGAGAGCTGCTATCGCTTCGCTATGATTTGACTGTATCCTAAAGCCTGGTATTCCTGGCATAAATATAAAATGGCAAGAAGGCAATGAACTTACCTTCCATATTCTGTGATCAGAACTATTCAGGCTCAGTTAATAGACGGGATATGGAAGCATTATTTTGATAGTTTAACTTATTGGTTAAATAAGTTTTCAACTAGAGATGAGGAAAAAGGGAAGAATATATAAGTATCCAGGCAATTTGATGCTACTGTAACAGGTTACAAAAGATCTTGGGATCCATTGCTAAAGTATTCCATTTCTGAGGATTATTTTCACAGCCTGCTTTTACAGAAAAATTTGAAGTTGCTTAATTACATGTAGGCAGATATATATCCACTTATATGAGAGCATGTTCCATTGTAGAATATTGAAAACAACTTTAGTGAGATTTGCTTTACTTCTGAACAGAGAAGTAAAGACTGAAGTGGCAAACCAAAAAGAAGGAGGGAAGACCATAATGATATTTTCTTCTGGACTCTTTAAGAGTTAAGCCCTCTATAGTGGAGAGACTTAGATCTTTCAAAGAAGTTTGCTATATAATATGGTACCTACTTGAAGTCATGTTTCAAGCTCCTTAGGAGGAACATAATAGCACATCTCTATATAGGTACTTAAGAACAAGATACCTCTCTTGCATTGATGAGATATGAGTTATATCCAAAAATTGAGGAAGGTTCATAGGGTTATAGCTTCTTATTTTAGTCCTGATTTCCCATTTTGCTGCTCATGCATTTTTTCCTTTTCTGCTAGTGTTTCAGTAGTTCTGAGGACCTGGCTCTTTGTGGACTTTAAATCCAGTTTGTTATTCTGCCATCTCTATTCTTTTGTTGTTGTTGTTGTTTTTATTGCCTTATTTTTCATGTTTTAAATATTTTGTAAATCATTAAATCATTTGTAAACTGCTGGGAGTTGGGTAGCGCATTAGTTTAAATAATAATGATTATGCCTTTGAATTATGCAAAAGTCTCAGGGATGGGGTATTTTCCTTTTAGGAATTTTAATTGTTTCTGCTTGAGAGAGGTTACTTAGCAGTACAGGTAGTTCTCCACATGACTACAATTGAGCCCCAAACATCTGTTGCTATGCAAGGCATTTATTATTTTTGCCCCATTATACAACTTTTTTGCCAGAGTTAAACAAATAACTGCAGATGTTAAGTGAATCATGCAGTCATTAAGTAAATCTGGCTTCCCCCGTTAACTTTGCTTGTCAGAAGCCAGTTGGGAAGGTTACAAATGGTGATGATGTGATCCTGGGACAGTGCAACTGTCATAAATACATGCCAGTTGCCAAGCGCCCAAATTTTGATCACGTGACCATGCAGATGTTGCAAAGGTCACGTGAAAACCAGTCATAAGTCACTTTTTTCAGTGCCGTTGTAACTTTGAATTGTCACTCAGTAAATGATTGTACATTGAGGAATACCTGTAAAGATTTTTAGGTTCTCCGCCCCCCCCCCTTTCTAGAAGAATAGTCACAGAAAGAAAGAGGTGTTGCCTTAAGATTTCAAGTGTTCTCCTGAGCCTTCTTTGTCCAGGTGCCGTTTGCTCGTTATTTGGCTATGAACAAAATCACCAACATTAAGCGTTACCAAATTGCTAAAGTCTACAGGCGGGACAACCCAGCCATGACGAAGGGACGTTACAGGGAGTTCTATCAGTGTGTAAGTACACGCGAGCTACCATTAGATTATATACATGACTAATTGGCTTTCTCCACAGTGGGATCCATAGCTCCATGGTATTGGATACAAATGTGGGTAGCATTTCCTAATGTTGCAACAATTTTTGTCTCCTTAGTTTATGTGATCATATATTTGGAGAGTTCTGCAACAAGCCCAGGGATAACAACATTGTTTCTCCTTTTATCAGTTTCCATGGAACTTTTTAGCCTTTTGTGGGAGTATAGCCATGTGCAATGTACACTTATACTGAGAGCAGATCATTCTACAACAAAGAGACCGATATTGTTAATGTAGATGCAGCACTTTGGGTATTTAATACAGATTTCAGTTCTTTCTAATTTCAGATACATGGTAATTTTTCAGTAGCATTTACATTTCTGATTCTATGCTCTATATGTTGTATATCCGTTATCATAATTACATGTATCCATATATGTATGTTAAGATGGTAGGCGTATCTTAATTTAAAAAGAAGAGATAAATTGCTTACCTGGTAGTGCTAATGTGATTGAGATATTTATAATTATCCAGCTTAATAGCTGAACTTTTTCCTGATAGAGGCCAGAAAGATAATATCCTAGGTGTTTATGGATGATGCTTATGTTTTCTTCCCTTTTTCATGACTTTTATTTGAATTTGGAATAAGCAACCATTTTACCTCTTAAAGTGCTTTTGTAAATGAAAAAAATGGGCCCTCTCTTTGGGAGATTGCAATCTGTTTTCAAAGTTGTAATGGGTGGCTTAACCTAAACATACACGCACACTCTGCTTGAACACTCACTCTGGAAAATGTAAGCAAGTCTTGAAGGGAGGAGGTTAAGTTTGCCCACAGAGCCATGAATTTATCATACTTGCTGCAAGAATGTTTACAGTATTCTTCACCCAGTGACATTAGAAAAGGCCTCTGAGTATAATTTTCTCAGAATAAGTGATAGTAACACAATGCAGTATATAGATGTCTTTATATAATAACCAGATACAGGGTAGTCCTTGATTTACAACCATTTGTTTAGCGACCAGTCAAACTTAGAACGGGAATAAAAAAAGTTACTTATGACTGCTCCTAACAATTACATCTTTTGCAGCATCCCCATGTTCACATGAACACAAATTGGAGGCTTGGCAATTGGCATGTATTTCTAAAGTTTGCAGCACCCCAGGGTCACATGATCATTTGCTAGCTTCACAGCAGACTTCCAATGAGCAAAGTCAGTGGGGGGAAACTGGATTCTATTAACAACAGCATGGTTCATTTAACTGCAGTGATTCACATAACAACCATTGCAAAAAGGCAATAAAATCAAGCAGAACTCATAACAATGGCCTTCCTTTGCAACAAAATTCTGATTCTACATTGAGGACTACCTGTATGTCTTATTCTAAAGTTTATTGTACTATTGCAAATTATAGTCTCCCCCATCCGGGAGTTTCTCATGTAAGATCACACTATGTGTAAATTTATCTAATTATGTGATAGTAAGAAAGGTGACTGTGATGAAAAAATGTTGGTGTTTTCTTGATATAAACGGTTAAGATTAACTAAGGAAGTATATGAATAATCAGAATCTGTTTTAAAAATGTTGGATATGGCTATTTTTCCAACTGATGTGACTTTTTACACTATTATATGCATTATTATGTGTAGTAATGGTATTATATAAATACATTGCCAACAGGTTTAACACAAAGTCATTTTCAGCAGTTTGTGTTCCATAAAACTATTCAGTTCACATTTAGCCTTTATATTCATAATGCTGTCTTAATCTTAATTCCTTTATTTACATTTTGCACTTTTTCCTTGTTTGCCAGATTTTAAGTAATTTAAGATTTTCGTTATCATGATAAAGGCAGTCATTTCCATTACTTCTTCCCATAAATTGTTAATCTGTCAGTTGCGGAGTAACCATTTTCTGACTTCTTCCAGACATTGCCAAGGAGGCTGGAAAGCCACTGCTTCCTTATTTTTCCTTCCCCCACGAATGCGTCCATTTGGCAATCGTCAGAGAGTGTTTACCCATTCCCATCCCTTTATGGTCATTTTTCAGACTCTTCCCTATGATTATGGATGGGGGGAATTAAAGAGAGACAGATGCCTAAAGAAACCCCATTCTTGTAAGCTACTCTGGGATTTATTTATTTCTCTGAAAAATGAAAGGAGAGAGCCCTCCAGTAATAATTTGCATTATTGGAAGATGTAGAAGGCTTAGCCTCAAACAATCCCTAGTTGCATCAGTGTGTGATGTATGTCAGATCCTAGAGGTTTCTGCTTTTCTGATATCAAGACTTGGAAAGATAGCTGCTATATACCAAACAACGCAGCACCTACGTCTGATTAACTGCTGTACAGCTTATACTTCAGCAATTTTCTTATCTGCAATTTGTAACCTAGGATTTTGACATTGCTGGCCATTATGACATCATGATTCCTGATGCAGAGTGTCTGAAAATTGTGCATGAGATTCTATGTGCCCTACAAATAGGAGACTTTCTCATCAAGGTGAGTACAAGGCCTGGGTCAGAATCCACTTTTTTCTCGCAGTTATACTGGTTTTAGCATTAGAATGATGATAATGAATTGGCATTTGTATTTGCTCTTTCATTTCTGGCAACAAGTGGTATACTTTAATCATTGAGATATATTTTTAAATCTTTATGTATTTGGCAGCAGAATTGTCCACATTAAACTATTGCTGCTTACCTATAAATACTGATATCCCAGCCCTTCATTTTGATACTGCAAAAAGTAAAAGAGGTTCTGGAAGGATTTTAATTCAAGCACAACTTCAGCCATAGAAGCTACAGTACTGGATGATTTAGAACCAGTTCCATGTCTCAGTCCAATCTACTGCACATAATTGTTGTAAGTAAAATTTGAAAAAGGAATGTTACAGATATTATTTTGAGTTCCTGGGTGAATCTACACAGGATATAAAAAGTCTAACCAACCCTATTAAAATGCCAGGTTTTTGGGATGTAAAAAAATCAGCCCAGGATAAATCACTTCAGAGATTTTTCCTTCTTTAATGCAGCATATAAGCTATATAATTCAATTGAGAAACACACTGAATTTTTTTAAGGGGGGAAATAAAAATAAAACTTACAATAACATGGTTGCATAAGTGTGCACATCATGTTAAGTAGGGATGTGGATATGTTAGAATTAAACAACCGCATTCAAACTGATCTTAAATAGCCGGTACACACCTTCCATCACTTAACATGACTCTGATCAAGCCCATGTAAAGTTCAGTTCTAGTAGGATTTTTCTGATCTTTACTCAGATGCCTCTTGCAGCAAATCTCACAATTTGCAAAAACCTTATGAAGCATCAAAGGGATCTCATTGTTGGAAAGTATCAGTCAGGAGAACAGTACAAAAAAATCTCCAAGCCATTGGATAAACTATGGGACATACTGAAGACAGTCATCAACAAGTGGAGAAAATAGGGCACAACATTGACATTACCAAGAACTAGATGTCCCTCCAAAATTGATGAAAAAACAAGAAAAAAATTGGTCTGAGATACTGCCAAGAGTCTCCAGTAACATTAAAGGAGCTGCAGGAATTTCTGATAAGTACTGGTTGAGTACTACATGTAACGATAATCTCCCGTATCCTTCCTATGTCTGACAGAAACCTTTTCTTACAAAGAAAAACATCCAAGTCCACTACATTTTGCAAAAACCTATATCACGTCTGAAAAGAGCACGTGGCAAAATGTGTTATGATCTGATGAGACTAAGGTTGAATTTTTTTCATCATAATTCCAAACAGTATATTTGATGCAAAAACATTGCATTACCAAAAGTAACACTATACCCACAGTGAAACGTGGTGGCAGCATTATACTTTGAGGCTGCCTTTCTTCAGTGGAATTGGGGCTTTAGTCAAGATGGAAGGAATTATGAACAGTTCTAAACATCAATTTTGCACAAAATCTTTAGGCCTCTGCTGAAATACTAAAGAGGAAGAGGAAATTCACCTTTCAAAATAACAGTGACCCAAAAGATAACTGTACCTCCAAATCATAGTGCTTGCTTCAGCATACTAAAACTGAAACAATACTTCCAAATCAACAAAAAAATATCAAAGTTTTAGAATGGCCCAGCCAGAGCTTGAATCTGAATCCAATTGAAGCTCTGTAGGGTGATCTAAAGAGACCTGTGCATAGGAGATGCTCTCACAATCTGACAGATTTGGAGTGCTTGTGCAAGGAGGAGTAGACAAACATTCCTAAGGCAAGATGTGTCATGCTGATAGGCTCCTGCCCCAAAAGACTGAATGCTGCCATAAAATCAAAAGGTGCTTCAATAGAGTATTAGTTTAAGGGTGTGTACACTTATGCAATCACATTTTTATAGCAATAGCACTTAGATTTCTATACCACTTCACAATGCTTTACAGCCCTCTCTAAGCGGTTTACAGAGTCAACACATTGTCCCCAACAATCTGGGTCCTCATTTTACCAACCTTAGAAGGATGGAAGGCTAAGTCAACCTTGAGCCGGTCAGGAACCAGGAATCGAACTCCTGACAATATGAGCAGAGTTAGCCTGCAGTATTACATTCTAACCACTGCGCCAACAATTTTATTGTTTTTCCCATTAAAAGATTTCAGTTTGTTTGTCAGAATCCAATTATATTTCATCTCTAGTTATCAAATATAGAAAACCCCAATTCTGCCTTCTCTGGATTCTGCCATACGAGGAAGGGAAGGGGGTGAACAAAGGGGCTTTATGGCCCTCACTTCCTTCAGTATACCTCAAAGGAACTGAATGTGTGTATTGCAGAAAGAACTAACCATAAGAATGGGGCTATTGCCTTTCATGTAGTTTTCTTTGAAGTCTCCATCCAGCCGGCAGTAACGAAAAGGGGGTGGAAGTGTAATGCCTGAGACTGTCGCTGAAAGAGGGGGTTGATTGGGTGGGGCTACTGGGGAACCCCTTAAAACCTTGAATTGGAGAGCTTGGACCCCAAGTCCTGTCTAGAACGCCTGCAGCCATTTTCTCTTAATAAAGGATTCCTGTTGGAAGAATTATTCCAAGAGTTCTGTCTTCTTAAGATGCAAAGTGGGGTGGGTCCTTACATTGTTTTTCAATTGAATTGTACAGCTTGTATGTTATATTAAAGGTGGAAAAAATTCTGAAGTGATTTAATTTGGGTTGGTTTTTTTCAAATCTCAAAAACCTGGAATTTTAACAGAGGTTTGTAGACCTTTTATATCCACTGTAACTAAAAAGCATACAAATAAGTAGTATTAGATTTTCCAGAAAGCTCAACATTTTCCAAGACTAGAAATAAAAATAGATTAAACATCCAGTAACCCTAACCCTAGTATATGGCCCAGTGAGAAGGACTGGAATGACTGTAAACCAATGGTCTAAGGTCCAAACTACAAATAGTCCAGGAATATTACCAATAGAATAAAAATCTATTGGGAAATGTTGCTTGAAAACATCTCAATTTCCTTCTAGGTCAATGACCGGCGTATCCTTGATGGGATGTTTGCAGTCTGTGGGGTTCCAGATACCAAATTCCGGACCATTTGCTCCACTGTAGATAAATTAGACAAGGTAAGAACTTTGCTATTGAGACAACAAGATAATAACTCAAGTGACTAAAAAATCCAGAATAAATATATATTCATTGATCACGAAATCTCCACTGCATTATTGTGGCTGCTGTTACAGAACTTACAAGAGGAAAGAAGATAAAATTTAACTTCAGTATTAAAAAAGATAGATCAGGATGTCAGGATGGACAACCATTAAGGGATCAGGGGCCACAACTTAGGTTCCTGACCTTCCAAATTACTTCAGAAAGCCAAAATTCAGCTACCAAATTTCAGTGCTCTTTTCTCAGAGTGCTGGTGGTAGGCTGTTGGTTGACTACCCATGTTTTATAGACAAAGAAAACTGATAAACAATCCATTCTAATCTAGAAGCCTTGCAATGAGAAAGAATCCCATCAGGCAGAAATATTTGAGGTTCTGATTTCAACAAGATAACTTTTAATGAAGGAGTTGATGAAAGTCAGTAAGACAGATCACAGGGTCCCGATTTGTCTCCCAGTAGAAATAAGAATTCAGAGAACCAGCCTGAAAAGTTTGTATTATATCCAACATTTATTATTTAAGAGGAAAAAATTCAACTCTATAGATTTAGAATGAGCAGGGATAAAGGAAGGGATATTGATTTCTTTCAGTGTAGCTGAGCTATAGATCCAAATCCTTAGCTTAGATAAATGGTTCCCTTAGCCTATAGAGTAATTCTACCTCCTGACCGACAATTTTGAACTTCAAGAATGCAGTGAAACCTAAGGGGGCAAAAGGAGGCTTTGAGAAATATGTGATGATATTTGATGTCAAAATTATATCGGTACTTTTTTCCAGAGTGTCCAGTCTCAATTTCATAACTACAAATACGAATGCATTAGATTTATAAATCAGAACTAATGAAGAATTAGTGAATATTGTAGTGTTAGTAGAGGTTACCAGATGAGGAATCCTTTGTGGTTTCTGAGCTTGGTGTTGTCTTGCAGACCTTTCATTACTCAAATTAGATAACATCATAAGCGCACAATGCATTCAGAGAGCACCAAGAATCCCTCATTTCAACCCTGAACTACAAATATTCTCCTTTAAAGGTTATCAGATATTACTAAAATAGTGCCTGTAAGTTCTGTATAGGTAATCCTCGACTTACAGCAGTTCATTTAGCGACCAAAGTTACAACAGCAGTGAAAAAAGTAACTTATGACCGTTTTTCACCCTTACCATTAGAGCATCCCCATGGTCACGTGATCAAAATTCAGATGCTTGGCAATTGACTTATATTTATGGCAATTGCAGTGTCCCGGGGTCATGTGATCCCTTATGTAACCAGCAAAATCAATGGGGAAGCCAGATTCACTTAACAACCATGTTACTAACTGAACAGCTGCAGTGATTCACTTAACAACTGTGGCAAGGAAGGTCGTAAAATGGGGCAAAACACACTTAACAAATGACTCACTTAGCAACATAATTTTTGGGCTCAATTGTGGTCGTAAGTCGAAGACAACCTGTATTAATCATAAAATTATAGACTTTTATTTCTCTGAAGATAGGCCTTTATTATTGTTATTGGTATTTATAACTGATTTATTATTAGTTTATATCTCAAAAACTATAATATTTTAGAAAATCATGTTTAACATTAACATTTGAAACAACTTTGTCATGTAGTTAAGGCAGGGGTAGGCAACCTCGGCTCTTTTATGACTCATGGACTTCAACTCCCAGATTTCCCGAGTCAGCTGTGCTGACTCGGGAATTCTGGGAGTTGAAGTCCATGAGTCATAAAAGAGCCGAGGTTGCCTACCCCTGAGTTAGGGGAAGGGAATTGTCTGTGGATGCTATTGGGAAGAATACATGTGTCATAAGACCCATGGGTACCACACTGCAAACCTTGGCTCCTGTGGTGATTTTCAAATGTTTATGGTGAGTCTTCCATAGCCTTCCATTTTTTCCCATGGCTATGCTAGAAGATTACAGATGCTCCATCCATTCTATAAAGCCAGGAAACTCCTAAAAACATTTTTCTCAGAAGTGGAATAAGTGATTATTTGCTGTTTGAGAAGGGTGAAAAAATTAGGAGTTCATACATGGACAAATTGAATTTTTAAAGTACAGTCATGCCAGATTTGGGGAGGTTTTAAGTCCTTGCTAAAGTGTTGTAAAGTACTTTGCAACCTGTGGCTGAGATGGCTTCCCATTTTTTCTTCAAGCTCAGAATCTATTTTTTCTTAGGGTCACCATATATTTAAATTTATTTATTTAATCAATTTATATAGCCACCCATCTCAGTGATGACACTCATTGGACAATGATTACAGTAAAAAATACATATAGAAATAGCAATAGGATTTAGACATATATTGCTTCATAGAGCTTTACAGTTCTCTCTAAGCAGTTTACAAAGTCAGCATATTTCCCCCAACAATCTGAGTCCTCATTTTAACCAACCTCGGAAAGATGGAAGGCTGAGTCAATCTTGAGCCGATCAGGATTGAACTCCAGATTGTGGGCAGAGTTAGCCTGCAATACTGCATTCTAACCACTGCTCCACCAGGGATCCTACAAAAAGTAAAATACATAACTGCTGAGAAAAACAACAATCATTTACATAGCTGAGAGATGCGCTTGCACTGCACCCCCCCCCCAGCCATTCGTGCAGCCTCATACACCCTCCCCTCCCCCACAGGAGCCACTTCAAATTCTGCCATGTTTGTGCCTCCCTTGCTACCCATGCACCCTTCCCAAGCCTTGTGCTTGTATTACACCTCCCTGGACACTCACATATCCTCCCAGAGCCTCACTGCGTTTACATCATGCCTCCTCAGCTACTTATGCACCACCACACACTTTCTCCCATCTGACAGCAGCTACCCCAACCCTTCCTACACTTCGCCATACCTCCCCAGCTTTTCACGGATCTCCTCAAGCCTCAAAGCACTCATGCCATGTCTTCCCAGCCATCTGCAGACTCACACCTACTGGCAGCAGTCACCCCAAGTCCATTCCACATGCACCTCCCCCATTATCCGCACACCCTCCCCAAGCCTTGCTATACTCGCAGCATGCCTCCGCACCCGTCCTCCCTCCCTCACCCTGGCCTCCCACTCAGCAGCCACCCACCTGCCAGCCTGCTTGCAATCCACCTGGGACCTGCAACTTCCTGCCAGCTTCCCCACTGACTTTGTTGTTGGAAGATGGTGGGATTTGTGAGGATGTGCTTGTTTTAACAACTCAATCCTCACTTAACAGCAACAGGGACTGTAGAGATTGATGTCGCTAAACAATGTAGTCATGTGACATGCTATATGACCACATTGCTTAGTGATGGAAATTGCAGTTCCAATTGCTGTTGTAACTCCAGAACTACCTGTATTTCTCCAATTGCAATAATAATGGAGGAAATTCATGTAGTAGCGTTTCTTTATTTTCTATTGGCAATATTACTTCTGCCAAATGAGATTCTTATCTCCTGTCTCTTTCACTTTTGTTCCCTCTCTCTCTCTCTCTCTCTCTCTCTCTCTCTCTCTGTGTGTGTGTGTGTGTGTGTGTGTGTGTGTGTGTGTTTAGAAAGAAATCTTTCTACAAAGAGAAGCCAATTTTCTTGGGAGATATAAATCTACTCTGTAGTAAAACTCTGTGCTGTAATACAGTCAGGGTTTATGGCAATGATAGATTTGATTTCAAGATAGCCTATAGTCAGATTTGAAGAATTATGAGAGCTAAATTCAAATAAGAGGTTATTGATTTTATAATTGCTATTGTGTCTTACCTCCTAGAAATTCAGAAGGCCTATTCATTTTCTTTGTAATTAGCTTTGCTTACTTGACAGGTAAAAATATAGAGGTAGCCTGAATAGATGAACAAGCTAAAATTGTAAAGGCTAGAATTGTAACTCTATTTAATAGCAACAGGATCCTAATAAATTAAAGAGAAGTTATCAAGAACCTTGAGGCTCTTTCATTTTGTAAAGTCCAACAAACTTATTGAGAAGTGGTATAAAAATTATACTTCCATGTAACAATTAATATACAGAAAAACAAGACTATTAGCTATCCTTCATTGATCTGTCCATTTCTGTTTAACAATATAAATTGTTGGCTATCACCATTTTTGATGGCAATAAATTCTGTAGTTTCCACTTTGTAAAACAATTATCACATTTAACAGTCTTAAATTTCATTGGATAACTTCAAGTTTAATATAGTAAGAGATAAAGCTTTCCTATCCATATTTTCTATGCTATGCAATTGCATATACTTCTATTAGATTTTATCAGCCTTTTTTGTAAACTAAAATGGCTCAAATATTCTAGTTTCTTTTAGGGTAGGGTAGCCCCTAATTATTTTTCTGCACATTTCCCAACCTTATTGTATAGCTTTGAGATGCAGTGACCAGAAATGAATACAGTATTCTAGATATGATTGCCCCGTATACTTAAAAGGGTCTTATTATATCAGTTGTTTCATTTTTTGGTCTTTTTTCCTAAAGATTCTATTCAAAGAAATATATTTTCTTTTATTCCCAATTTTTGCATGTTTTTAATAGAATATTCGGAAATTAGTAGTTTACTAGACTCAGAGTATTTAGAATCAAAGTAGAAAAAAAACAGGAAGAAACAACATGAGTCCAGATTATCTCAGAATAATATAATAGAAGCATCCTTCACTGAAGCAGAGTATATATAGTTTTGATCTTGTCTACAGATGGCTTGGGAAGATGTAAAAAATGAGATGATTGGAGAGAAGGGATTGGCACCAGAAATTGCAGATCATATTGGTGAATATGTAAGGCTGCATGGTGAGTATCAGAACAGGTCAGATAAGTCTTAGTTCAACTAAGGCTTGCAGGCCTAAAACCTATATCATTTTCTTCTATTCCATTACTGGTTAAGGCAGTGCTTCTCAAATAGTGGGGCGCGCCCCCCAGGGGGGGCGCGAGGCTCCGTAAAGGGGGGCTCGTTTGACCTCGGCAAATACTGTCATATTGGATTTCTAGATCGGATCATCCGACTCACTCGCAAGCGGCAGCCCAACGCGGAGGACAACATGACTGCCAACGCACGTGACACATGCAAAGGACCCGATTGGATAGACATGATGCTCTATCCTGATTGGCCAAACCCGCCCGTGTGACTTTTAGACCCAGAAATCGGTCCTCTGTACAGAAAAAAATTTTTTACAGTCGCGCAGGGGGCGCGAAATGTTTTCTTCTTCCTAGGGGAGCATGACAGAAAATAATTGAGAAGCACTGGGTTAAGGTGATACGTAGGACATTAAACAAGAAAATAAGAAGCCACATAATGTGGAATATACTGGCTGTTTGCTTAGCACACTCATGGCTAGCAACATTAAAGCATTCCTTTTGATGTGTATCCCCCATTGTATGCTTCTTCACTTTCTTGTATTCCCTTCCTCTCCAATCTCTCTGCTCTGTATGGGGAAAAAAAGATGGGTTGTACACAGGACAATGCATACTGAGTGTAATGGGGATCATGTGAGTGAAAGAGAGATGCAGTAAAGATCATAAATGCAAGCATAGATTGCAAAGTTATTTTTTCAGCATCCTCATCACTTTCAATGCTTGCTGCACTAGGCAGTCAAGTCAGGTCTATCTATATAAATATAGGTGGCCCTTGCTTAAGATCACTGGTACAGCAACCATTTATTTTACTTTATTTTATTATTTTTTATTATTTTTCACATTTCTGAACTGCCCATCTCCCTTAAAGAGGACTCTTTGAATATATAATGGCACTGGAGTGGTAGTTACAACCAGACTTCATACTTGCTGTCTCATAGTGCCTCATAGTTACATCATCTCAATCTGTAATCTTCTCTATCAGCTTCCCAAAAGCAAAGTCAATGGGGAAGCTGACAGGATGTCAGAAGCCAGGATTACATGAGGTCCTTGCTTATCGATCTGCACATTTTTTGTTTAACTGTGGCCACTGGGACTAAGCAACATGGTCACATAGTTTTCAATTTACATCCGCATCACTTTACAATGGCATTTCCTGTCTCAGTGTTGTTAAGCAAGGACTACCTGTACAGTATGCCTACTTCAATTTGCACAACTTGTATATACAGTCATGTGGGGAAAAAAGTATACCCACTTTGAGTTCTATGGTTTTACATATGAATAGAATTAGAATAAAATAGAATTAGAATTAGGAATAGAATAAGAATAAGAATAAGGAATAGAATAAGAATAAGGAATAGAATAAGGAATAGAATAAGCATAGAATAGAATAGACTTCCGGTTCCAGTTTGCGGCGACTCCGGTCGTGTGAAGAGACTCCTCTCTCCACTGGCTGTGTTTTCTTCACTGGTAGACCCCCTGGGGGGGCAGCCACCAAGGAGGAGGCTTGCTGGTGACTGCAGGAGGGCGGCAGCTTCTTCCGCAGCTCCAGCTAACTCCTTAGGGCCAATGGAGCAAGATGGCTGATTCCTTAGCTGCACCAGCCGAAAGTCACAGGTACATCTAAGCGTGAAAGACCTACCGCGGATGATCCGGGTGAGACCTCTCCTTCTCCTCTCTTCACCCTATTTTATTTTTTGCCTGTAAAAGCTTTGTTGGAATTAATTCCCTGTCTTGAAAGAGCAGTGTTTGTATGCGTGTGAAGAAAGGCATTTGAACAAAAGGACAGATCAAGTAACTTTAATGACTATATTTTATTTTAATTTACTTTGGGGTACAGAAAAAAACAAAAAAATTTTTTTAGAGCTTCACTATCATTTTATACTGGAAGAATATCTCTTTCTCCACCTTTTCTTTTAAAAGAGAGAGAAAAGGGGGGGGAAATGGTGTTTGGGAAAGATTTTGAAAGCCACTGAGGACATCTTATGGCAAAAAGTTAATATTGCAATTGTCTGTTTTTCCTTGGAGATGAGGTGGGCTTGACCTTCAAACTTCTTGAAGAGAAAAAATAAGCTGATCCAGCTGTGGGAAATTGTGGGGGTGGATATTGTTTATATATAGCCTCCACTAAAAGATAAAAGGGACTCTCTACAATTACTATTAAAATGGAGAAACCTTACTTACAACTAAACTGTAAACTTATATTGGAAAAAATTCACGAAGCCACTGAAGAAGTATTTGCTAAAATCAAAGAGATTAGAACAGAAATTAGAGCCAGAAGCCTTACTCCAAATTCTCCAAATCTTCAAACTGATCTCCAGACCTCATCTGACTATGCTATAAATCAAAACATACCAGAAGAAGAACTAATTGAGATTAAAGAGGAATCTATTTTACCTTACAAGCATTCCATCTATATTCTCGAGGATCAGAAAAACCAAAGATTGAGATTGGAACTTTTGAAGCAATGAGGGTTTAATGACAGAAGAGCCAGACACCCAATACAGAGGACGGGGTGTTTTCTATTGACTCAAATGATATTACAAGAGACAAAGGGAGATCTACTTGCTGAGTTGGGAGGCTTGCTATGGAAACCAGCCTGGAACAAAAAGAAAGCCAGAATAAGACTGAAAAGAGAAATTTAAAACTATATGTAATGGATTAAAAGGCACTGTAGAAATATGGATTGATTTAAGATTTAGAGTTAGAAGTGAGAGTAAAATTTGTGATTACCAGAACATATACGTTAAATAGATTAAGAATGTAATTTTTGGGAATAATAGGTTTATTTGTATGAAAACTATTTTGTAATGGAATGAATGAAAATGGAAGAGGTTTTATAGTGACTTGGATTGATTTAACAATTAATTGAGTATGCTAAATTAGTAAGATGGTGCTTTGTGTAATAATATGGGTGTTTTTAGATGGTAACAATTATTGGGATGAGATTTGAATTTTGCCTAACGGACTGAAATTATTTAAGGTTTGATATTACTTTGTTTTGTTAGGGATAGACTAATTGATGGATAGTATATGTATAAGCTAGAATTATATTTTAATTAGGACAAATATTGAGTAGTGGATGAAGAAACAAGAGAGATGTGTAATAAAATTAAGTTTAGGAGATTAAGAACTAGAATACATTTGGAAGGGATACCTGAAGTGATAATATGTTTATTTAAGGTTTAAGTGGATTATGGTAATTGTAAATTAATGAAGTTTAAAAGCAGGATTAGGATTTATAGAAATTTAATGTAGAAATGGATTGTTTTAAATATGTTATATTGTTTGAGGGAAGTAGAGAGGGAATATTTAATGTATTTACTTGGATTATTTTATGTGGTTTTGTTGTTGGATGTTTGATTCCCCCAGCACCACGGTGCGTCTCGAGCACTTTGTTGTAAGAGTTAAAAAAAATTAATAAAACTTGTTCTAAAAAGAAGAAGAAGAGTAGAATAGAATAGAATAGAATAAGGAATAGAATAGAATGGAATGGAATAGAATAGAATAGAATAGAATAGAATAGAATAGAATAGAATAGAATAGAATAAGGAATAGAATAAGGAATAGAATAGAATAGAATAAGTGTAACTCTTGGATTTTTTGCAATTTCTCTGAGCATTGCACAATCTGATCTTGGGGTGAATTTGCTGGGACATCCACTTGGCAGAAGATTGACAACTGTCTTGAATGTTTTCCTCTTGTGAATAATCTTCCTCACTTTAGAATGATAGAATTTAAATTGTTTGGAAATGGCCTTATAACCTTCCCAGATTGATGGGCAGCAACAGTTGTTTCTCTAATATAATATCTAATATCTGATGTCTTTACTGTTTAGAATTGTGTTAGCCTACTCCTCAGTGCTGGAGACCATCAAACTCCTAAAACTTCGGCTTTTATAAAGGTAGTCACACTTGCTGATCAAGGGCACTAGATTAGTAGCATCTGACTGCTACTTAGACTCTTCATACCTATGAAAGCAGTAAGGGTGTACTTAGATTTTCATACAAGGCTTGTCCATTTTGACTTTCTTTTTGTAAAATACATGATGACATGGTGTTGTATTTACCTATTTTTAAGAACTGCTGAGGACTGGATGATATTTTTTATAATGTCCAGATGCATAAAACCATAGAACTCAAAGAGGATGTACTTTTTTCGCATGATTGTATTTCAGTTTATAAGAAATGAAATTGCACTGCGTGAGAAATAGAGCAAACAAAAGAGAGTTGAATGGAAAAAGTTTTAATAAAGGTTTGGTACTGCTGCTGAATCTTTCACACAGGCATCTATCCTATATGTCTTATTTCCACAGGTGGGCTCAGTTTAATTGAACAATTGCTCCAAGATCCAAAGCTGTCACAAAATAAATTGGCTCGGGAAGGGCTTGAGGAAGTGAAACAGCTGTTCAAATATTTGGATCTTTTTGGCATTTCAGATCAGGTAAAATTCTATTCTTTGTTCTCCTAATTACTTTGAGCTGAGTGTTTCTGTTCTGTTTATGAGAGTTATAAATTGTTTTACAGATTTCCTTTGATTTAAGTCTCGCTCGTGGTTTGGATTACTACACTGGAGTAATATATGAGGCTATCCTTCTCCAAGAACCAAATGATCATGTGGAGGAGTCTGTTGGTATTGGTAGTGTGGCTGGAGGTGGCCGTTATGATGGATTAGTAGGGATGTTTGATCCCAAGAATCGGAAAGTGCCTTGTGTTGGAGTCAGCATTGGCATTGAACGGGTCTTTTCCATTATGGAACAAAAAATGGAGGTAAGATTAGAATAGATTTTTTAGAAGTGGGTAAATATGTGAAGTCAAAATGCTCTAACCTCTGGTCAAGTATATCCCAGGTGGTCAGATATCTGTTCTGATTAGGGAACAGAAATGAAATGGTCCATGTCAAGAAAATCAGATTTTCCTTCTCAAAATTTTCTCCACATCTCCTCTACATCCACATGGAGAGAAGTAAACAATGGGGTACCACAAGGTTCCGTCTTGGGCCCAGTACTCGTCAACATCTTCATCAATGACTTAGATGAGAGAATAGAAGGGGAACTCATCAAATTTGCTGATGACATCAAACTGGCAGGAATAGTCAACACCCCGGAAGACAAACTCAGGATCCAAAAAGATCTTGACAAACTTGAACAATGGGCCCTGTCCAACAAAATGAGTTTCAAAGTGGAGAAAAGCAAAGTCTTACATTTAGGCAGGAAAAACCAAAGGCACAAATACAGACTAGGCGAGACCTGGCTTAAAAACAGTAATTGTGAGAGGGACCTTGGAGTCCTAGTGACAATCACTTGACTATGAGCCAGTAGTGTGCAGCAGCAACTAAAAAAAGCTAATGCAATCCTGTGTTATATAAACAGAGGCATAGAATCAAGATAACGCAAAGTAATATTACCGCTTTATAAAGCCCTAGTAAGACCACACCTGGAATACCGCAGCCAATTATGGTCACCATATCACAAAAAGGATGTTAAGAGTTTGGAAAAAATTCAGAGAAGAGCAATTAAGATGATCAGGGGCCTGGAGACTAAAACATACGAAGAACGGCTACAGGACTTGGGTTTGGCTAGTCTAAAGAAAAGAAGAAATAGAGGAGACATGATACCAGTGTTCCAGTATCTCAGGAGCTGCCACAAGGCAGAGGGGGCCAAGTTTGTTCATTAAAGCACCAGGTAGAAGGACAGGAAACAATGGTTGGAATCTGATCAAAGAGAGAAGCAACCTGGAACTAAGGAGAAACTTCGTGACAGTGAGGACAATTAACCAGCTTACCCCCAGAAACTGTGGGCGCTCCATCACTGGAGATTTTTAAGAGGAGAATGGGCATTCATCTGTCTAAGATGGTATAGATTCTCCTGCTTGAGCAGGGGGCTGGACTAGAAGACCTCCAAGATCCCTTCCAGTTCTAATCTATTTTTATTTCTATTCTAGTGTTTTTTCTCTCTTCGGGTTTCTGTGTTCTTTACCATCTATGAATTCTCTTGTCTCAAAAAACTAAGTCCAAATTCATGTTTTGTGTATTGAATTCTGGACATGATTTGCAGTCAGATTGTTTGTCCCTCATCATTATTAATTTGCTTTCAGTTAAATTGATGTTCTATAAATGACTATACCTCCATATCAGTCATTTTCTACAACAGTACTCATCATACCATCTCAAATGGTCAAATGTTACTATCTGCTCCCAAAGATAGATAGGTAGATTTCAAAGGCTTATGCTGCCACTGGTTATATGTATCATAATCCTGGCTGGCTCATAAAATAATAATTAAAAACATAACAGAAATTTCTCTTTTGTAAGATTAGGTGAGTAGCCTGTATTAAGCAGACATATATCAGGGGAAAGGGTGTTTCATAAGGCAGGATCTGTTACAGAGAAAGAGCCGAGGTGGCACAGCAGTTAGAGTACAGTACTGCAGGCCACTTTAGCTGACTGTGTTCAGCAGGTCAGCGGTTCAAATCTCACCGGCTCAAGGTTGACTCAGCCTTCCATCCTTCCGGGGTAGGTAAAATGAGGACCCAGATTGTTGGGGGCAATGTAAATATATATAGACATTGCTTACGGGTGTACACCGCTTAGAGAGTGCTTGCACTTAAAGCGGTATATAAGTCTCATAAATAAATAAATAAATAAAAGCGGTATATAAGTCTCATAAATAAATAAATAAATACTTCTTAGCTCTTACTAAAGACAAGATTTAAGGAAAGGGACCCACCCTATCTGACCTGGTGGAATGGGTAGATTCCCCCAGGGAAAGACTTTCCTTCAGATAGCTTGACCCCATAACATTACACAATGTTAGGACTTTAAGCAATACCTTGCATTGAATTGAATTGAATTGAAGAAAGGGACAATAACAATTCCCTACGAAGGTAGAGAAGAAACAGGGAGAATAGGAACGATTGTTTTTTAATCAAGGCAGGAAGTTGAGGGCTAAGAGCAAAGCTCCTCCTAAAAAGTAGCCTGAGAATTCAACATTCTTTGTGGAAAAAAAGCAGCCCTTCCCTTTGTTAAGCAGCCCCATCCAATAGCAAAACAAACATAGTCATGGAAACAGAAACTGATATTATTGTGGTTTGTAAAATATGTTCCATATATATATTTATGCCCTTGGAAGACTGCACATGTACCAAACTGGAAGAAGAAGTAAAGGGTCTACAGGCAACTCTAACCACTCTGAAACTAAATCTACAAAATGAAAAACTCCAAACTAGGCAAGAAGGCTATATCCAAATTGAACATAATAAGAAACAAACAATTTCTAAAAGAATGACCCTGTATATGAGAAGGACCAATGGAAGCATGTCACTCATAGGGGAAAAAAAACAGCAACCAAAAACAATGTCCCTGTTGGTATCTAATCTAGTTCACTCCAGCTCATTCCAATGCAGTCCCACTGGAGATAAGAAATCAATTTCATATCTTACACTTGGAAGATAGCATGCAGCCACCTAGAAAAGAGGCAAGAGGCCCCTAAAAAAAAGGCATCATCAAATGTCCCTAGAAAAGAGGGATCATCAGATGCTCCTGCCATAGACAGTAAAGTAGCCCAAACTTCCCTAGGGAAAAAAGGTGATAGGAGATTCAGTTCTGAGGGGAACAGAACCAGCAGTCTGCAGACCAGATATTTAATATAGGGAAGCATGTTGCTTTCCTGAAGCAAAAATCAAAGATGTAGCCAAAAGCCTTATTAAAATAAGCCACAGATTACTACCTCCTTCTCCTTTTTCACATAGGGACGAACAACACAATCAACTTAAAACAATATCGAGAGATTATGAACCGCTAGGCAAGAAATTTAAGGAATTAGGAGCATAAGTGGTGTTTCCATCTATACTTCCAACGATAAGTCAACATCCAGTGAGAGAGCAAAAGATTTTAAAAATGAATCACTGGGCTCAAGTGTTGGTGCCACCAAGATAACTTTGGATTCTTAGACCATGGTCTGAATTACCTCTGTGAAGGGCTTCTGGCAAGGGAGGGGTTGCACCTCACAAGAACTGGGGAGAATGTTTTTGGAAAATGACTGACTCAATTTATCAGGGGAAGGGGTTAAACTAAAAATGAGGGGGGAGGGTAATCAATCATTAGCATTTATAGGACTATCTTTAGGATCTTTGGGACTTAATTCCAAACATAACCAGCCACATAATGAAGTAGAGAGTGCTCAGAGGGATGGAAAACTCAATTACAAAGCAGGAGATATAAGAAACATACCGAAGACCACCCATAAAGGACTCAATTGCCTATACACTGATGTTCAAAGTTTAGGGAACAGGGTGAACTTGAAGTACTAGTACATGAAGGCAGAAACGATACAGTTACTGAAACTTGGTAGGATGAAACTCATGACTGGAATGTACTGATAGAAGGATACAAATTATTCAAAAGAAACAGACCTAACAAAAGAGGAGGTGGAGTTACATTATATATAAAAGATTAGTACATCTCTACAGAAATGCATAAAACCAAGGATGAAAACCTCCCAGAATGCATATGGGTCAATATAAAAGGAAAAAAGAATGACATTGCTATAGGCATATACTACAGGCCACCCAACCAAGCAGAAGAAATAGACAAACTTTTTGCTAACCAATTAACAAATATATTCATAAAAGAGAATATTTGTATCTCAGGGTTGATGTGAGGGGTCCTTGGTGCTCTCTGAGTCAAGCACTGATGATGTTACCTAGTTTGAGTAATGAAACATCTGCAAGAGAACAAGCAAGCTCAAAGAGCACCAAGAACCCCTCATAAAAAATGTATGTAGGAAACACGCCACAGTAGTAACTTCCCTGATATCAACTGGGAGACAAACTCTGCAACAAGTGGGAGATTGAATAGATTCCTTACCAACCTAGCTAACAGCTTTGTTATCCAAAAGGTAGAGGACGGAACTAGAGGAAAAGCTTTACTGGACCTAATTCTTACTAACGAAGAAGTGATAGAGGGGATTGAAGTTGCCGAACCTTTGGGTGAGCGTGACCATAGAAAAATTGGAATTCAACATAATGCAAACACAAGCAATGGAGCATAATCCAACCAGTATCTTACACTTTTAAAGAACTGATTTTAACAAACTCCAAGAGAACCTAGGAAAGATTCCATGGATGAAAATCTTATAGGGGAAAACAACTCAAGAAGCTTGGGAAACTCTGAAAATATGATCACAAAAGGCCAGTCCAGCACAATACCACTGAAAAAGAAAAATAAGAAATCCAAGGAGAAACCAGAGTTTCACAAAGATGAAAGACAAAAAGAATAAATACAAAAAATGAAAAGAGGGACACATAACTAAGGCAAAATGCCAGCAGATAGAATCTGCAAAGATGAAGTTGGGAAAGCTGAGGCTCAGAATTAACTAAGACTTGCAACAAATGTCAAAGATAATTAAAAAGTTCCTTTCAAATAACAAGAAAAATGTCAAGGAAACAGTTGGTCTACTAAAGAGAGAAGATGGCAACAAAGTAACAGGCAGTAGAGAGAAAGCAGAGTTGCTTAACTCGTTCTTTGCATCTGTCCTCACACAAAAAGGAACTATGGCCCAACCTAATAAAAACATAACCTTAAAAGACTGGTTAGGAATACAAGTTACAATAGGCAAGAAAATGGTAAGACAACACTTGTCCACCCTAGACAAGTTCAGATCACCAGGACCAGATGGATTACACGTCTTTCAAAGATCTTGGAACACTGGGGAATTACCAGAGGACTGGAAAAGAGCTGACAGGGTTTCCATCTTCAAAAAAGGGGAAAATTGATCAAGAAAACTACAGATCAATGACCCTGACATCAATACCTGGGAAGATCCTGGATAAGCTAATCAAGCAACAGATCTGTGAACACCTAGAAGCAAGCAAATTTATAACCAGAAACCAACATGGGTTGATCAAAAACAGGTCATGTCAAACAAATACTATTACATTCTTTAACAAAGTGACTAAATTAGTGGACCAGTGAAATGCTGTGAACATAATATACTTGGATTTCAGTAAGGCATTTGACAAAGTAGATCACGACTTACTTCTTGGTAAATTAGAAAAATATGGGATTGACAGCACCACCACAAGATGAAGTCATAACTGGCTGACCAACCACAGTCAAAGCATAGTCCTTAATAGAACTATATCTACATGGAGGGAAGTAAGCAGTGGGGTATCCCAATATTCCATTTTAGGCCCAGTACTCTTCAACATTTTCATAAACTATTTAGATGAGGGACTAGCCAATACCCAGAAGATAAGCTGAAGATCCAGAAAAATATTTGACAGACTAGAATATTGGGCCCTATCTAAAATGAAATTCAGTGGTAAAACAAATAAGAATTTACACTTAGGCAAGAAAAAACAAATGCACAGGTACAGAATAGATGCTACCTGGCTCAACAGCAGTAATTACAATAGGGATCTAGGAGTTGTAACGGCTAGCCATTTAAATATGAGCCAGCAGTGTGCTGCAAATTTGCAGACAACACCAGCTAACAGGAATAGCCAACACCCCAGAAGGCTCAAGATCCAGAAGGATCTTGACAGACTTGAACACTGGGCCCTGGAAACATTGCATCCAGTTTTGTTCACCACAGTGTAAAAAAAGATGTTGAGACTCTCGAAAGAGTGCAGAGAAGAGTAACAAAGATGATTAGGGGGTTGGAGGCTAAACCCTGAAGAACAGTTACAGAAACTGGGCATGGCTACTCTAGGGAAAAGAACAACTAGGATGCCATGATAGCGGTCTTCCAATATTTGAGAAGCTGCCACAGAAAAGATGGGCTCAACCTGTTTTTCAAGGCACCTGAGGGCAGGACAAGAAGTAATGAATGGAAACTAATCAAAGAGAGAAGCAACCTAGAATTAAGGAGAAATTTCCTGACTCTGAGAACAATTAACAGCTTGCCTGTGGGTGCTCCATCACTGGAGGTTTTTAAGAAGAGATTACACTGCCACTTGTCTGAAATGGTCACTGTAGGGCCTCTGGGGTCCCTTCAAGCTCTATTATTCTTTTTTTTTTTTTTTTGTATTCTGTTATTCTTCCTATGATTACATGTATACATCCCATCAAACCAAAGGAAGTCCAGAATGGTACAGGATCTCCTGCCATGGGCTGAGGGTTGGACTAAAAGACCTCCAAGTTCCCTTCCAACCGTATTATTCTATTTTCTGTGATGTTTGAAGACTTTTGGAAAGTTTTAATCATTGTACAGTAAGGTTGAAAATATCCCACCAACAACTTCAGCTCTAACCCACAGCTTGGGAGACCAGCCAGGTTCATATGGTTCTTTGGAACATCAACAGAATGGGAGCCATCATATTAATTTATTAAATCTGGATTGCACATATGAATTTTTATTATATTTCTGTAAATCTCTCCCAACTATTTTTTCCATCAGGCTTCTGAAGAGAAAATCCGAACCACGGAGACCCAGGTGCTTGTAGCATCTGCTCAAAAGAAACTTCTTGAAGAAAGACTAAAGCTTGTGTCCGAGTTGTGGGATTCAGGAATAAAGGTACATCTAATCATATTTGGGTCAAGCCAATAATTAGAATTCTAGACTATATCTGAGTTTGGTAGGAAAGAATCCTAAGTCTGTCTGATGCAATATAGCTCTTCGGGTAATATAGACCTGCAATCTGTTCTATTTAAAATTTAGCCCAATTAACAGTATCAGTTTGATCATCTTATAATGCAATAGATATTTAGCTTCTCAGCTAATACTATAGATAGGCCTTGAGATACAATAGGTCACTTAATGAATGTTCAAAATTACAACAAGCTGCCAAATAAAAGAATAGAGGAATCCAAAAATTATACCTATGAGGATAGGTGCTGTCCATATCACATGCCTATCATTTAATTGGCATAAAATTTGCCAATTATATATATATATGACTCATGGGCCAATATTATATACTCTCAATTATTATATTATATTACATTACATTACATTACATTACATTGGAATCAAACTGTTTATGTTTTGAATTGCTTTGAAAAGGGTTAAATTGCTTTTTTTCCCCCCCCTTCTGGCTGGCCAGTCCCAAATGCAGTCTATTTAATTTATTCCTTTGTTTATTCAGTGTTAATGTATATTCTTTATCGTGCTCTGGTCTTTTCTACTTTTCCCTACCGACATCCTTTTTTTTAAAATGAAGACTTTGCACATTATACAGAATGATGTGTAGCTCTTGATGCAAAAAGCCAACTCTGAGCTAAAGGTGGAACTATTTATTACAACAGTTCACCTGTGAAGAATGTCCATCAAAAAATCTGACATAGAAATTCAGTATGTTGCAATATTGTAGGAAATGCTGGATATATGACTACCTGCAGGACATTAGTCAGACCTATTCATTTTAATGTGTCCTGTAACACAGCATTGCATATAACTGAAGAAAACTGAAACAATGACTAAACAGTCTGAATAATGTACATGCATTATAATGTTGTTTTTACTAAGAAAATTGCAATGAGGACCAGAATTTTTGGAACCAGAATAATGAAGGGTAGTTTTCTTCATGGTGTACTAACTTTTTCTTCTTTTTTCTGTATTTTCCAGGCAGAGATACTTTACAAGAAAAATCCCAAACTACTAAACCAGTTGCAGTACTGTGAGGAAACTGGAATTCCACTTGTTGCTATATTGGGAGAGCAAGAGTTAAAAGATGGAGTTGTCAAATTGCGTGATGTGGTTACTAGAGAAGAGGTGTGCCTGCCATTTTATTTTAGGATTATACCATGATATCAGAATAGTCAACTAAAAGCAGGAATGATTATATTCTTTATGGTCTGCGAGCTTATTTTTCTTCTTGCAGATATTTCACTACCAAAATAGTTAACATCCTCTGTGATTTGTCCTGACTGTCTTAATGCGTTGTTACAGTTTGTTAGTACCCATTTCTGATTGGCCTGCCTGGCTCAGTTTATTGCACTAACTGCTGATTGTTCTGATTCTTCTTATTTAACTGTTGATTGCTGAGTATGTGATAAGAAAGAATATGCTGCAAGCTGTTTGTTTCCATCTTTGGCCTGTGTTTGCTTCTTTTAATACTTTTTAAACAAAGCTAATCTTTATATGTGTGTTAATGGCTGATCTATCAGAATGCCAAGATTCTAGGAATTTTCTTGTTTTGGGTGGTGGGGCATCTCCTACAGTTTCCCAGATGAATTTGTGGTTTGTCTTTACCTTGTAAAATTAAAGAATTTGTCTGTGTATATTGAAATTAAACACCAACCATTAAAAGACAACTATAGATTAACTCTGTTTATAATTTTTTTAAAAAGCAATCAAAGCCCAAGAAGGAAGTTCTATGATAAAATGGTTCAGGATAAAGATATCCCATTTTGTGAAAATAAAATAGCAGAAGGCCAATATGGCAACTTTGGACCTGTCACTTTCTCTCAGCCCTAAGTAGAAGGCAAAGGCAAACCACTTCCAAAAATCTTGCCAAGTAAACTGCAGAGACTATAGTCCAAGAGAGTCACCAAGAGTCAACATTCACTCAAAAGTGCAATAAAAAAATGGCAGGAAAGAAACCCCTGGTCACAATCCCAGAGTAGCACCAGTTCCCTGAGAGGAAAAAAAGAGAAGTTTACTTCCTCCAGGATGTAAAATGAGGCCATGCAAATCTGGAAGAAATTTCCTGAAATTAAGCATAGCTGTAGAAGCATTGTCAGTAATACTGCCCTGGCCTGGGAAATGGCAGCACACATGAACTGAAAATGGGCCTTCACACAAGGATAGGAGGTACAAGTGGTATTGATTGAAAGGAGCTGTTGTGCTGCCATATTTCACGCATTATAGACAAGAGCCTTCAAGGACATATGAAAAGAAAAATGAGAAAATTTGCCCAAGTGTGATGAATAACAACTGGGAAGAAAAAGTAGTGCCTCAAAGAATTAAGATCTTTGCCATTTTATTCCACAAAAAGTAATCTACCAGCTGTTAAATGAGACACATGAAGCCTTAAATCAGAATAACTTTGGTAGTTCCTTTCCAAATTAACAAATTTTTATTATGCGGGCATAAACTGTTATAAACTGCAGGTCACTTCATCAGATGCATGGAATGACTAAACTGATATTTAAGCTGGGAAGGAGGGGAGAGACAAGATGCTTATGCAGATGCAGCAATTGTAATATGTTAAAAATCTACTGTGTTGAGATCCCCAGAAACTGCTAATTGATTGTAATCTGCCTCACCTGTAACCTGCCTAGCTACCTTGTGTTCTGGCTTCCCCTCTTTCCCTTCCTCCACCCCATCCCAGTTTCAGTCCAAATCAACTTAGCTCTCCATATATCTGATGCATGAGCAGTTTATAGCAGTCTTTTAATAAGATTTGGTAGTCTGAAAAGATGCTAACAGACTTATGGTTTTTGGCTGCCATAGACCAACACAGCTCTCCTTTTAAAATGCAGCATTGAACACTCTTTCAAAAAATTAAAATTGTACATGATTTTTGAGATGTCTTTTGCTGCATGAAATTATTTGCTTGGAAATGAAGAAGATATTATATAAATATTACATTGGATACTTTTAAAGTACAGTAAGAAAAGTATTGAGATACTGTATATTATTTGGTACCTTAATTAAGCCATACTTTTGCTTTGCAGGTGGATATTTTCAGAGGAAATCTTGTGGAAGAAATCAAGAGACGAACACTTATTCTCTAGAAATACTGGATTTCCCTTTGAAAAGATCGGCAAAACTTCATAAATTACTTCAAATTAGAGGTTTTTTTTCAAAGCTGTAATTTATTTTTCTGTAAAGCCCCTTAATCTTAGAGATCAAGGAGCTTAGTCTTAAAGAGTAAAGAGCTGTGGTTCAAAGCAAATGAAATATTCTGTTCCATTGTTTAAAATATTGGCGTTTTGAATCCCTGATTTGACCTCAATAAAATTTATTTCAACCCATGTTTCTGCATTCGTCTTTTCCACTTCAGCAAAATAATGAAATGTACTGGATATCCAGACTTACATTACTCAAATTTGGTCAGTTATCCTGATTGTATATCTTCTTAGAGCAGTGGTTCTCAAGCTTTTTTATGCCGTGACCCCCCAACCAGTCGTAAGTCGAGGACTACTCAACCGGTCATAAGTCGAGGACTACTCAACTGGTGCAGCACCGTTTGCAGAATGGGACTTTTGGCGGGCTCAGCAGGGCAGAGACAGCCTGGACAATTCCTATTGGCTTTTGAAAGCAATAGAATTAGACTCTATTCAAGAGAGTCTATTCTATTGGCTTTCAAAAGCCAATAGAATAAAAGGGAGTAGCCAGCTAAAGAAAAGGGGGGAAAAAATGGCGGACTGCATTGTTTGGCGACCCCCGTGAAATGGTCATTCGACCCCAAATGGGGTCCCGACCCACAGGTTGAGAACCACTGTCTTAGAGTATTCTGCTGCTTGTGATATTAGCAAGTCTTCCTTGGTGGCTTCATGAAACAGTTGGACAGAAACATGGCAGAAATTGGAGAGGGGAGGTACAATCCAGTTTATTTTGAGCTGAAACTTCTCTCCAAAACCTTTCAAACTGAAAAATTTCAAAATCACAAATTCTGAAGGGCTATACAAGCTTGCAGTGCCAGGTGGGGTGGGCAGCGGGGGGAGGGGACACAGCAGTTGCTATGCAGGGCAACTGAGCCACTCCTCCAGCAGGCATAGGGGTAGCTCAAGACCCTGCCACCCCCAAAAGGGAGGGTGCTGGACTCCACCCCACAGCTTTTGCCGGAATGCTCTTCTCCAGACAAGCCTTTCCAGGGTGGTGCAGCACCCTGCCACCACTAAAAGGGAGGGCACTGGGCTTCCACCCTGCAGCTTATGCCACTGCACATTGCATCCTGCCTGGCCCTGCTCTGCACCCAGCTCTTCTGGGATGCTCCAGCATTGTGAGTACAGAACGGGGCCTGTACTGTGTGTTGTCAATGGTTGCCCCCTGAAAGACTGGGAAGGGGAAGGCCCCACCTTTGATTGCTCTCCCAGGCGAGCCCCTTCAAGGTCCATCAACCTGGTACAGGTAACCTTCAGAGGGAGGGGCAGCTGGCATCCCAACTGGCATAGTTGCACATAATAGAATTAGCCCCAATTCAGAAAGCAGGGGGGGAGCAGTGTTGCCTCCCTCTCCCCTACCTGGTTTACAGGTATCTTTCCACAGGGAATTGATGGTGCAGAGCTACCAAGAAACAAAAGTAACTGTCTTGCCTTTCTTGAGAACCACAACTTAGTGTTCAGGTTTAAAGCAGCACATCTTAGAGGGGTAAGAGAAAACCACAGGGTGTATCCCAAAAGCAGAAGTGGGCATCCCAAGTCTGCTCTCTTTGCTACTGGGAGAAGCTGAAAGCGCATAGGGGGCATGGCTTACCCTGCCAGTGAGCACTCATGCAGAATGTGACTGGTTTGCTGGGAAAACCAATACAGGATATTGCTGTTGATTGGGGAATGTTTTCTATTGCTGGTGCTCCATTCCTTGCTTGACAGAGAAGACATCTCAGTTTTTTCTCCACCAAAGGTTTGACTTTAGTGCTTGCTCCCCTCCTGTGGCTCCTTTCTCTCCACCTGCATGCACTGCACTAATGGCTCTCACACTTTTTTCTCGGAAAGGAAACAAGCACTTAGGATCCTCTTAAAGGGCCTGCCCAGGTTAGACACCTGCCCAGTGCACAAAAGGTGAGGGGGAGGGACTGATGTGTTCTTATTGGCTGAATCTAAACTAAAACAAGTTTTATTCCCATCAATGTTAGATCCAGCCGATAAAAACAGGTTCTGGGATATTTGATAACATTATTACTTTTCTGGTAAACTGCATAGTTATCTAAAGGAAGTAGAAGCCCTTGACTTGGAATTAAAATTTATCATCTGTATCTTCCATTTACATTTGTCATTCCTGTGATTTACTGAGCAGGGCAAGGCAGGACACAATGATGGGACAAAAAGATGTGAGAGCTTGTGGATCTGATATAAAAACTATGCTACTGAAGAGGATTCTTGCCTTGGACACACTTTTTTACAACCCAAATGGTTGGTCCCATGATTACTAGGGTTCAGTTCATGCAGGCAGATGTGATCAATATTTGACGGTTTTATGTAAAACCCTGATTAAAATTGTGGGAAATCAAAATAACTTGTCTCTTGAATCTTTTATTTATACATTATTGTGTGGTACAGTAAAATGGTTGGTACTGTGCAACTATATTTCTATTTTCATAGTGCCTTCATGGGGAATCATACACAGAAATAGTGTGGCACTCTTTGAGTAAGAAGAGTGGGACAAAATATGACACACGGCATATTCACGTGCTGTGTAATGTAAACATGGAAGATCAAGAGGATCCACTTTTCTCTGGAGAAGGAAAGAAAACCCAGAAACTCGGGAGAGGCGTGGCTGTTCGGCCCTTTCCTTTTCCAGTAGCCGTTAACTTTCTCCTGGACCAAGCTGGAAGAGGAAAGCTATCAAACTCTTCTTGCACCCAGCCTGTGCAAAGCTCCCGCCGCCACAAGGGCAAAAGAGATTTTGAACGGGAAAGGCCAGGGAGGCGAAGAGGGCTGCCAAAAGGAGTAGGAAAGAGCCGTCGGTTTCACCGGCGCCTCAAACGGCCTTCGCGTTTTTATTACTCCTAAATAATCCAGCGAAACACTAAGGATTAACCCACCCAGCCTTATTCTGGCCAATCAGAAGCGCCCTCGTTCTGGTCAAGTATAAAAGGTGCCGCCATACCTCCGAAGGGTAGGATTGGAAAGTACTTGTTTGGGGGCTAGGATGAGTGGCATGCTGGAGACCCAGGTACTTTGGTGGAGTTGGTTTTAGGGTTTTGCCGCAAATGACTCGGTGAACTGATCGTCATGGAGTCCAGAGCTGTAAACTCATTGATTAGCCTAACATATTAGGTGCTGTTGTTTTAATCTCTTATTTTTTTTTGGCGTTTAATGCATTTACTAATACATAATTACTCAGCGGTGTTACAGTAATGTTACCATTCAGACTTATTTATTCGGGTCTAGTTAGGAGTACACTGCTGCAAATTCACGCTGCTCTCGTGTTTTACGTTCCCGCTTTAGTTAGAGGGCGTGGAGAGCAAATGTATGGAGACCCCGCCTTTCGCCCAATTTTTCCGTCCTGTAGTAATTCGAGTTTCATGCTGACTTGGTTTGATTGAATAATAAACGAATATTACTGTATTCTGATACAATAACCCAGACGGTAGGCTGCAGAAGCCTTTTTCTGTTGCGGATGTTAATCCTTGCAATGAGTTTGCTGCATACAAGATTGAAATATGATGCCCCTGAAGTACTCCGAATGTTCAGAAAGCGTTAGATAAATGGTGTTACTGTTCAAATCAAGACAATTGCAATGGAAATACTTGAAGGAAATGGCCCCAAGATAGTTGTAGGGTTATTTGCGATAGTTACTATACTGGATTTGTGTTGTGTTTATTTTACCTAGATACCATCTCAAATGTGGAGTGAAAAAATAAACCAGGATAATAAAGCTGCCCTTCTGGCTTGGGTGAAAGAGACTGGAATCCAGTTAGTGCAGATCAATGGGCAGAGAAAATATGGTGGTCCTCCACCAGGTGAGCAGAAAATTTTGAATGAAAAACTAGTACTGTAATCTAATTTTGCATTAATGTGTAGTGGGATAGCTGACAACGGCATTGGCGATCTTTCCTGTATCATTGGTAACGTGCCACAACCTCGGCCTTTAGTCCTCTCCAGATATTAACTATGGCTCTTGGCTACCAAAGAGGTTGGCCACATCTATTGCAAATCAATATGAAGTGAAAATACTTTGAGGGTAACGTGAATTTTCCTTGCTCTTTCCACAGGATGGGCTGGCTATGCCCCACCATCCGGTTCAGAGGTTTTTATAGGAAAAATCCCCCAGGATATCTATGAGGATAAACTTATTCCTCTCTTCCAAAGCGTGGGGAGGCTTTATGAATTTCGTCTCATGATGACCTTTAGTGGGCTTAACCGTGGCTTTGCCTATGCTAAATACATGAACCGTCGAAATGCCCAGGAGGCAATTGCTTTACTCAACAACTTTGAAATCCAGTCTGGCTCCCCCATTCTGGTCATTAGAAGCACTGAGAAGTGTGAGCTCTGCATTGATGGTCTGGCACTCTCGCTGAAAGAGTGCCACCTTCTGCCTATGCTACAGGAACTTACCCCAGGACTCCAAAGCATCTCCTTACATGCCAGCCCTTTCAGGAAGAAGAGGCAGCTGGCAGAGGTGAAATACACTTCCCATCAGGCTGCTGCAATAGCCAAGAAAAATCTTGTGGAAGGTTTGTTTTATGTTTTGCCATAGGGGAAAAAGAATATTGCTCATAATGTTCCACGAACCAATTATTCTTATCATGTGCTGTGCTGGAAATGGCTAGGAAAGCTGCAGATTTCCTATGCATCTGAAGCTTTGCGGTCAGCAAAACAGCAGCAAAGTCTTTGGAAACAGTTTCCAAGTTAGGGAAAAAGGTTTGAGAGTGAAACATCCAGGATGGTATAAATGAATGAACCTTTGTTTAAATCTCACACATGGAACTGAAATTAAGCAACCACCCCCCCCCCCATAATGAATCTCTTGCATTTGTTGTCTTTTCAAAATGTATGATGACAAAATAAGTATGTTTGGAAATAATTTAGCAAACTAACTTTTAATTATTTAGGAAAAAATATTGGACAGAGTTGGCCAAAGAAATCTGTTGTCCTGGTTACTAGATTTTCATAGTCTTTTCCTAGAAAAGCGATGGTGAACCTACAATATGTGTCATAGGTGACATGTCAGACCTCCAGACCCTCGAAGTTGTGTGAGGGCCCTGCTCTTGCACAACCTCTGGAGCCCCTGAAAAGCAGGTGAGAATGGGGCATACTTTCCTGTTCTTTTTGGAGGCTGAAAGTCCCTGTAGTGTAAGAGCTCTCTGACTTGGAGCTGCCTCAGATCAAATATTTACAGTTATATAAGTATTTATTTATTAAGTAATACATTTAAATAATGTATTACTCCATTATGAATTGTGTCTCTTGTTGGGGACGGAGGTAGGCACTTTCTGAATTTGTGACAGGATGAGCCCAAAGGTTTTGCCATCACTGTTCTAGATCTTTTAGAACAGAGTTGGGAAACTGCCCCCTTTTTGACCTGTGGACTTCAACTCCCAGAATTCATGAGCAGGCTCAGGACTTTTGGGAGGAAGTCCACAAGTCATAAAAGGGCCGTAGTTCCCCACCCGTTTTAGAAGAAGCTTCTATTTATTGCCAAAGCAGAATCACTAAGGCACATGTGAACTTTGATGATCTTGAAGTTAGCCACATTATTAACCAAATGCAGAGCAATGTATATTGAAAGTCAGATATGCATGGCTTTTTCTCTTATGCAGGTAGCTTGTGTCTCTGTGGAGATCAAATTGAAGTGGCTTGGCTAACACCTATTATTAAACAGGAGCTCCATAATGTCTCAGTTCCAGGTAATCCAAAGGCCCTGCCATCCAGCTGGAGCCATAGCAGTGTTCTTCGTCAAGTGTCTTCTGGGCCTATGGACAGCCACATGCTACCATCAAGGGCCAGTGTGTTGGATTATTTAAAACTGCAGTGTGAGTTGCATCAGCTGGGCCCTCCTGTAATCTTTACAAAATGTGTGCAGAGGAATCCTGAAGACTGGCTGCAATTCTGGTATCAAGTGGTGATACCAAAATATCCATCACCCTTCAGTGGATTCATTTGGATCAAACCTGATCCCTCTGGCTTGGAAGACCATGAAAACGTAAAGAATTTTGTGGCCTTGCAGCTACTTAAAGTCCTAGGTAAGTGGGTTTATGGTTTAATTTGGGAAACAATTATTGTATTAGTGATGGTTTATTGATCACTTCACAGAAAATAAAAAGTAAAATACAAGATCTAATTCCAGGGTAAAATAGATAAAATACAGTAATAAAATACTAATGTGGTAAATACAAAGAATCAACACTCAGATAACACATCACCCTCACATAATACTCTAATCTATTCAATGTAACACTTAGCTGAGTTGCCTTGACTATAAACTTAGCAGTTCTGTTTACAATATTAGAGCCCAGGAGCAAATGGGGCAATCTGAGATTCAGGTTCTAGTGGGCTGTTCTTTCAAGCTGGAATGTTAAACGCCTAAGCCTAAAAGGGGCAGAGAGTTGGCAGTCGAATAACACCTGATCAATATTTTTGAATGCTGGGGTACCACATGTGCATGTCTCTGCCAAATCATGACTTGCCCATGTTTGTTCATGGTATCCAGCAACTCAAATCTTGCTCTACAATAGGTCCTTATTAAGAATTATGAAAAATTCATTAGGTACAATATTTTTCAAATTGGAAGATGATTTTATTTTTAGTCAATTTAAAGATCCATTTTTGCCAATAATTCCATGTCTGTGTGAGTGTTTGAATTTATGACAGAGTTGAAAAAGGAGACTTGCAACCAGGGTCCAAAGTTCCCAAGATCACTATCCCCCTGCAGTCACATGGGTGCATTTTTGGTGCTTGCAGCATCCCATGAACTGCGCTGATTGTTTAACGACTGCTGCAAAAAAATCATAGAATTGGGTTGGTCACATGACAGATCCGTTTTACAACCATTATGATTTGCAGTTGTAATAGGCAGGCTACGTTATGATCAAAACTCAGCTACCTCTATTCAGTTCTGGATTAGCACCATCATGCACAGCTAATTATAATTAATAAATGTGTAAGTAGTAATGAGCTTGTATTTTCAGACAAGTGAAATGCTTTTGTAAAGATGTATAGGCTATACCAGTGATGGCAAACCTTTTAGAGACTGCCCAAAAACTGGTGTCCCCCCGCTCCACCCCCTGCCCCGCCCCCACCCCGCCTGACCGCAGGGCCACTCCAGGGCCCGTTGCAGATCACCCAGCAGCGCCATGGCAGCCACGCCCTCTGCCCACACCCTGCAGCATCAACTATGCGCGATGGGGCGTGAGGGCAGAGTCTTGTCTACGCTGCCTGGCTGCCATGTCCTTGACTGCACTGCTCCGCGTGGGCCACGCTTGGGGGCAACCCTTCTCCAGGAGGGCTGCTGGTGAGGAGGGTGTCACGGGGGGAGGCAAGGCTGGGGCAACAGCACGTGTGCCCACAGAGAGAGCTCTGAGTGCCGCCTCTGGCACCCGTGCCATAGGTTCATCACCACTGGGCTATAGCATTTATTAATTTTTTTAAAAAAGGCAGAATGATCTTGGAAATGTTGAAAAAAAACTGAAAGTTTTTTTTTTTTTAAACAGGGTACCCAGTGATGTAAAAGAGAACCACTCTTCAAACTAATGAAGCTTGTGTGTCCTACTCTTTTAATTGCTTTCACTGAGCCAAATTCATATAAAAATGGGTGCTAAATCTCTTCTGCTTTATTTTCTCTGGGAGGATTTGAGAATTTTTTTTGTTCTGATTTTCATGCTGATAGGTTATTTTGGGAGCAGCCTATGCAGTTTTAGAAAGAAGACGGAAGCTGTTGGTTACTGGATAACACAGTGTGAGTGTAGTCTGTACAGCATTTAAAATCTAGCAATGACCAATTTTCTTTAAGATTGTGGGTTGTTTTCCTCTTATGTTCAGGTATTGTCCTTTTATAGTTTAGTATTTAAATATGTTTTCATTTCTGACAGTTTGAATTTACATTGCAGCCAGGTGCCTTAGGAGAAGAGCATCTTGGAGATACTATAGTACTGAATGTTGTTAGTGTTTGCTGGGTAGGCAAAAATTCGTTTTCTATGAAAGGAAGAATGTTTTTGTAATACTTAATCTTTCCAATATTGGAAGCCAGCATGCACCGGACAGGGAGGCCTTGTTCTGACATCTTGGAAATGCAACACTAACACAGATGCTGCATTAACAGAGGAAGTTTATTCCACATGAAAAATAGTAAAGAGTATCTAAGGGTGTCAGGAAAAATGTACGTCTTTTATTGCTTTGCATGTTTCAGTGCTGGAATTGATATGTAGGGCATATCTTTATTAAAGTTTTGACATAAATGTTATGTAGTCTCTTTCTGAAATAATAGATTGCTTTATTGATTACAACTAATAGAGATTTCATTGTGAAATTTAATGCTTGGATATCATTCTGTGTTCTTGCTTTCCACACAATTACTGTCTTCCAGTATCTATGGTGAATTTTTTTTAAAAAAGCTTATTGTCATCATATTAAGGAAGAGGCCCAATGGTTTCTATGCATGAGAACTAGGATCATTTACTCAACACTGCTTTGACACAGCACTTTCATACAGTTAATTTCAGATATTTATAGTACTTTTATTCCATCCAGTTCATCTATATTGTTTATATAAATTACAAAAAGTTCAAAATAACATACATAATACAAAGCAGAGGTTGCTCATACAAGTAGCTATCCTGAAAAAGGCTGAATATCTGCACAAACATGTTTTCCACAAGCAAAGGTGTGGCCAATGTTCTAGACAGGAGTGCTGCTCTCACGGTCTGTTTTTAAGGGGGGAACCCCTCCTTATATGAATCTCATGGGGATGGTAGGTTCTGCATGCTAGTTGCTAAGTGCCAGTCAAAAGATCTCATTACAGTTTTACTTTTACCTTCCCTATTAACTCTGCTTGTCACAAACAAAATGTACAGTGGTGATTATGTAACTGTGGGATGCTATCATAGTTCTAAATGCATGCCAGTTGCAAAGTGCCCAAATCCTGATTACATGAACATGGGCTACTACGACACTCAGTAATGCAAGGATTGGTCACAAAACCATTTTTAATACCATAACTCAATACTTTTCAACCTTTACACAGATTGTACCACTTTTAGGACATGAAAATATTTGAGTACCACCAGTGCTTAGCAAGGTGTCAGAAACCTGATAACCCAAAAAAAGGGGGGGGGAAATGCTGGCTTTAATTTCTTTGGTGGCGGTTCCTTTGCTGAATCACTTTCCCTTTGCACTGACAAACGTATGAGTAATTTATCCATATTTATTAATATGCACCACTACCTTGGTGGTCAGGTGGTTGGTCGACCCTTCTTCCTCTCTCTGTTCCCTTTCACAGCCTCTACTCCTTCGTTGATCCCTCTGCTTCTCACAGAAGCCTCTCCTCTTCTCCCTCTTTCTCCATCCCCTCCATCTTTTTTTCCTCTCCCTCTCCCACTAAAACCTCCTTTTATATCCTCTCCTATCCTCCTTTTCCCAGGGGCGCCACTTTCTGGGGCTCAAGGAGAGCTCTAGCATCGCTGGGGCCTCAGCAGAGCCTAACAACACCACAGCTCCAGCTGACCTTCCCCCAGCCCTGTGCGATGCTGCGGCCAGTTCAGCTCATCCCCCCACTACACTCGTCTAGCTCACTACCACCTGACAGATGTCAAAGTACCACCAGTGGTATGCATAACTACAAGTGGTCAGTAAATGAGGCAGTCAATAAGTGAGGACTTCCTGCAATTTCATTTAAATATGCAGTATAAAACTCAAATGTTTGCTGTTGTCATATAGGTCCCCAACTTTCTGAGCACCAGGGACCAGTTCCTTGGAGAAAGGTTTTTCTGTGGACCGGAGGGGGCGTGGTTTCATGTACTGCCTGCATCCGTGGATAATGCTTTGCTTGTTTGCACAGCCCAGTTTCTGGCATGCCACAGCCCGGTGTCGGTCCACGGACCAGGGGTTGGGGACCCCTGATATAGGTACATTAAACACAACCAAGTTTTATCCTGTATTGGCTAGTTCTTATTTCCTCCAGAATAGTGGTTGGCAGCTCTAAGCACCCTAGCCTCCTATTGCAAAACTCAAAATACCTTAAGATCATACTTAAAAATTCACAGCGAAATGATGACATTTCAATGGCAGCATTTTCAGCTGACATAAAGTATGGAAATGTGAGCACAAAATCTCTGGATATGAGAGTACCCACAAGCACAACAAACCAAGGAAAAAAAGAGCAAGCAAAGTTAACCTCATTCAAATAAGGTCCACTACATAATCAAAGGGTCTCTTACGGTACCTTCAACTATTATCCACTGGAATTGACGAGGTGCCAATTCATGGGAGGGAATAGTGGACCATCTCCTGCTTAGGTGGGTGGAGGTTGGACTGGAAGATCTCCGGGGTCCCTTTCAACTGTTATTCTTTCTATGATCACATATCCATTTCATCAAGCAAAGTCCAGAATGGTATAGGATCTCCTGCAATGGGCAGGTTGGACTAGAAAACCTCCAAAGTCCCTTCAACCCTATTATTCTATGTTCTATCTCCTTCACCAATATATCCCCTGCCTAAATCCTGTAAGAAAGGATTTTTGTTTTCCTTCTTCCCTTTTAAACCTAGTCTTATTTTACAGGGCTTAAATTGATATTTTGTATTTAACTTTTATTTGTATCTCATCTTTATTATTTTCATAAAATATAAGGCAGAGAACATGTACAAGACTCCTTCTCGTTTTACTCACAACTCTGTGATGTGTATTGAACTGTGAGTCTTTGGCTTGCATGCCTAAAATGGGACTAGAACTCACAGTCTCCTGGTTTCTAACCTGGTGCCTTAACCACTAGACCAAACAGGTTGTTGACCGTAATTCACTTGAGGTAGTTCACAAATACAGGTAGTCCTCGAGTTACAAGTGGAATGGAGCCTGCCCATTCTACTTGTAAATTGAAAACTCACAGTGAATCTCATTCGAGGTCCGAGATCACTCCTTTTCATTAAAACACATGCAGCTCGTTAAGCAAACATGAGGTATCTCAGGGTAGGGAAGGCCATGGAGGGCCTAGTGCTGGAAGAGGCCCCCAAGGCCTGCCCAACCCACTAGGATACCACATGCTTCCCCCTCCCCCTCCCTGCCATGGCGGACTCACCTGGAAAAGATCCATCTCCTATCTGCTATGGTTCCTGCTGCTGCCCGGATTTGAGGCCAGGGAATGCTTCCACTCATCCCGTGTGGCCCAATCTGGGCTCTGGAGGCCTTTTCCAGGGCACTGCAGCCCGGATTTGAGGCCTGGGAACGCTTCCGCAACCCCCCCTCCCATGGCCCAATCCGTGCTCTGGAGGCCTTTTCCAGGGCAATGCAGCCTGGATTTGAAGCCGGAGAACGCTTCCACAGCCCCCCCCCCCCCGGTGGCCCGATCCAGGCTTCGGATGCCTTTTCCAGGGTGCTGCAGCCTGGATTTGAGGTTGGGGAACATTTCCACAACCACCCCCCCATGGCCCAATTGGCCAAGAAAAGGCTTCCTGAGCTCAGATCGGGCCATGGGGGGGGGGCGCAAAAGCCTTCCTCGACCTTAGATCCAGGCCACAACAATCTGGAAAAGGCCTCCAGAGCACAGATCGGGCCATCGGGGGGGGGGGGTGCCATGAGATCACGCGAGATCAGTAGCGTGAGATCTCACCCCACTGATCTCGTTACTTTAGACCTTCACTCTCTGCGAATGCACCAAAGGCCTGGAGCAGCCAAAAACGCAAAGGATCTTGATCTTCACAGGGTGAGTATTGAAGTCCTGGTGCCTAGGGAGACCCGGGCGCGGGTCGGGAGGGAGGGAATAACTAGGGTGAATGTTGCAGGGACACTGCAGTCGCTCGTAAGGGCGAACGACTTGCATGATGCTGCAATATTCTTAACTTTGGGACTTGCTCGTAAGTACTAGGGGGTGCTCATCACCTATCTTTGAACGAGCGTTAAGTGAATGCTCATAACTCAGGGATTACCTGTATATTAAATTGATGCATCTTCATATGTGGAATTATCCTATTTTTCTTCTTTAAATAAAACCCCAGAAAAACAATAATTTAGAAATCCCCAAGGTTCCGTCATGAACATCAATTCATTATTTAAATCTGTTTTCTTCTGAGCTTAAGAGATATCCTTGTTTCATAGCAATGAAATGGAATCCACTTGCGAGGTGGAGCAATAGCCTGATTCCTAAATATTTTGTGTGGCAAAATAAAAGCATCACTCCATGGAGGAAATAGACCTGTGGCCTTTGCAAGGAAAACTCTTTTGATATATAATTTTTCCCCCCTTATTCTAACTGTCCACATATAATGACATTTCATTTCCCCTTTCTCCCCTGTCTCCCAGAGCTAGGAAAATTCTTAGCTCTCTTCTGTGCTATTAGTTTTATTAGGCTATCAAAACTTTGCCCACAGAGCACAAATTTAAATACCCTGAAGCTTATTCTTCAGTATGAAAATGCAGCATAGCTGAGCTTTTCCAAAATGTCCTTTCGGAGAAATGAGCCTCTAATCGGATCAGTGTGTGTCTTTCAGTCGCTGTCAGTCTCAGAAAGTCCATCATTCTCTTTCTCCAAGTCTGCTGCCACCGCTTTCAAGTCTGCAAAGAAATCTTCCCCATTGCCAAATGCTTTGCGACTTAAAGGCTTCAGTTGCTTATTTTTCTTCTTTTTTCTATAATCATCCACAATCACTGAACTAAGTGAAGAGATGTCCCAGAATTTCACTTTTTGGTCATGGGCACAACTGGCCAGGAATTGGCCTGTATGACATTTAGCCAGCTGTTCAACAGGCTCACCCATATGCTGCCCGACACTTCCTATCACTCGATTGGGCAAGATATTTACTGCCCTAAAAAGAAGAAAAGTTTAATTACCAAACAGAATGCCAGTTCTTTGTGGAGAGAGGTATCCTGCCATATCCTAAGTTCTTTTTTAAAAAAAATTTAATCACTTATATAAAGGTAAAGGTTCCCCCTACCAGCCATGCCCAACTCTAGGGGGCAGTGCTCATCTCTGTTTCTTAGCTGAGCATTGGCCAAAGATGCTTCCATGGTCATGTGGCCGGCATGACTATATGCTGAGACGCATGCAACGCTGTTACCTTCCCACCAAAGTGGTACTTATTTATCTACTCACATTTGCATGCTTTCAAACTGTTAGGTAGGCGGGAGTTGGGGCAAGTAATGAGCACTCAGCCTATTGCATGGCGCTTGGGTCTCAAGCTCAAGCTGTCAACTTTCCAGCCCACAAGCCCAGCATCTTTAACCACTGAGCCATCAGTTTGCCTCTGGCTTACCCAGATTTTACCCAGTTTCATTTGCAGCCAGTCATTTGTGTTCTCATGTACCTGTCCGGTATTAGAATCTTTCACAAGAGCTTCTTCTCTCATGACAGTCTCACCTAATGATTCCATCAGTGGAACCTGTGCACACAATGCTCTCAGTTATGGGAACCATGCAGTCTATGGATTCTGCCTTCAGTGCAAAACGGTCACTGGTGGCGCCAAAACCATCCCAGTTGAAGAGGTAAATTGTTCCCTCACTGGAGCCACAGGCTACTTTCCTTCCCCTCTGAGCAGAAGAAAAATAATACATAGTTTAGCCAGAAAAAAGCAGCATATCTTTTGTTATTAAGAACAAACTTTTGAAAGGTATTTAAAATAGTAAATCCTATTTATCAAAATCTTAAAGCATACTATCTTGAATAGGGATATCACAAATTATACTAATGCAGGAAAATACTTTAAAGGCTTTTTTTAAAAAAGTCTTTTGAGTTCGTGTTGTCTCCTGGTGACTGCCTGAACTAATCCCTGCATTTTTCTTGAAACATTTTCAGAAGTGGTGTCAAGGTTCCAGGTAAAGATCCCAATGAAGTAAATACACTAGGGCCATTTAGATCTCTAATGCAACACTTTATTGGATACAGCAAACTAGTTCTGGCAATAAGGTGGAAAAAGATAATTAAAAGAGTAAAACTTTCCCTCTCCTCTCTGACAGTTCAGGTCACATTGTCCAATTAATCCTCAGGCTGTTGTAAGCAATCTTCATAGCTTGACAAGTGGTTTGTCACTGCCTGTTTCCTAAGGCTGAGAGAAACTGACTGGCCTAAGGTCACCCAGCTGGCTTTGTATCCAGGGTAGGATTAGAACTCACTGTCTTCTGGCTACTAGCCTGGTACCTGAACCACTATGCCAAATTAGCTCTCATTAAAGACCTTGCTATCGTCCATATAAGAAACTGAGTAGCTCACTGGTTCATATCTGCAAACAGTCTTTTTTCCAAGGTGCAGCTAGATAATAGAACTTACTTTCATCAGAGATATAGCCATTAAGTCTCCATTCTGAGGTTCTGAGAGAAGCTCAAAACGCCTTCTCCTAATGTTGAAGACTCCCATTGTTCCATCTCCACTGCGAGAAATAGGATGGTACATAATATTTATTTATAAAGCTAATTTTATTTGGAATATGACTGTTCTGAAATGGAGCATTCTGGAGAACTCTAAAAATGTTCTGCTCTCCTCTAGATCATGTAAAACTTCCTCTTATCAATGCAGCAGTTTTTGAAAGTAAATTCCATGAACTAGTAGTGGTTAAAGATCCCTTGATGTGACAGTATAATGTCCTGAGTGACTTTCACTTTTTGAGACACTTGAGACAAACCTATTTCAGGTTTCAGGAATTTACTTCTGGAAATTGCTAGTCTGCTCCAGAATGGCATGTTCCAGAAGGGGAATGGAATGTTCTGGACCTCTCCAGAACATTCTATTCCTAAATCAGTAAATCTTACAACATCTATTTGCTTTCTGACAAGCTTAAACAATATAATCACTAGCAGTTCAGAGCTGGCTATAGATAACTCTGTATTTATGGGAAATGCATTACAACAGTGAAAAGAATAACACCAAAAGAGATGGTGATAGTTTTTAATCTAAAAGCTTTTAATGTTCCCCGTGCTATAAAACATCTCCACTTTAAACATACATATGTAACCTATTGATCTACTGAATTAACAGAAGAATGTAATACCTGGTAGTGAGAAGCAGCTTCTTGTTTCTATCTATGATCATATCACTGATGTAGTCCTCATGCTGCTTCATTTCCATGATGGACGTGCCCTTGCGCAGGTCCCATACTTTCAACACTCCACTGTCATCTCCTGTGGCAAACAAATGCTCATCTATCACCAACAGGCTGTTCAAAGCTGAGCTATGGAAATTCCAAAGTAGAAGAGCCAATATTATAGCTTATTTGCAGAGCTGTTCTCATTTTTGAACCCTTATTCATATAACTCTTCTACTCAAAGGGCATAGGACCATTAACAAATTTATTCTGAAGAGTAAAATAGGGGGTTTAAGAAAATCTGTAGTATGGTAAGAAAATCTGACTCTGTTATTTTATCTCTACACCATGAAGGGTTTATGTCAAGAGAACAATATTAAAAAAGAGGAAATAATCCCTCTTTTCCTAAAGATATCAAAACCTACAGCCATTATAATTGCTAACAAGAATCCCAAATTAAAATTAAAGAGAACAGGAGGTATGTGTTGAAGTAAGTGTAATTTCTCCCTCTCAATAAGTTTAGACAAATCTGAATGTCCATGATGCAAATTGCTAGCCTGAATTACTAGAAGTTGAATTCCTACCCAGGAAAAATATATTCATGTGATATAAGGCTGAAGCTTTCCTTTGCTAACTTTCCAATAATTCAGAACGTTTTGAAAGCTGATGTTTCCTGTTGTAAGAAATAGTAACAGACTTCTTTGAGCCTAAGAGTTCTAACTGAAGACTCTGATGGACTAATAATAATAAGCTAGTTTCATTGCAGACCTCAAAGAAATTCTTAAATATAAATCCCACCCTACAAATGAAAGCCAGTTTGGTCTAGTGCAGTGGTTCTCAACCTTTCTAATGCCGTGACCCCATAATACAGTTCCTCATGTTGTGGTGACCCCCAAATGGGTGTGGCCACCAATAAGAGGGAGTAGGACAGCTAGGGAAAAGGGAAAAAAATGGCGGACAGCGTGGTTTGGCGACCCCCGTGAAATGGTCATTTGACCCCAAATGGGGTCCCGACCCACAGGTTGAGAACCACTGGTCTAGTGGTTATGGTAGCAGGCTGAATAGTCACTTTCTCTCAAACCCAATTTACCACATAGAGTTGTTGTTGTGGGGAAAATAGGAGGATGAAAATATATTGGATATGTTCACTACTGTCCATGGGGTTTTCATGGCAAAGATACTGGAGTGGGTTTCCTTCTCCAGTACCTTTGCCATGAAAACCCCATGGACAGTACCAAAAGGCAAAAAGATATGATGCTGGAAGATGAGCCCCTCAGGTCGGAAGATGTCCAATATGCTACTGGGGAAGAGCAGAGGGCTAGTACTAGTAGCGCCAGAAAGAGTGAAGCGACTGGGCCAAAGCTGAAAGGACGCTCAGCTGTGGATGCATCTGGTGGGGAAAGGAAAGTCCGATGCGGTAAAGATCTTTTCTCCGTAGGAACCTGGAATGTAAGATCCATGAATCAAGGCAAACTGGACGTGGTCAAACAAGAGATGACAAGACTGAACATTGACATCTTAGGAATCAGCAAACTAAAATGGACCATCAGGTATACTACTGTGGGCAAGAATCCCTCAGAAGAAATGGAGTAGCCTTCATAGTCAATAATTGGAGATATGAAGGGAACGTTTCATGCAAAGATGATAAAGGACCAAAATGGCAGGGACTTAACAGAGGCAGAAGAGATTAAGAAGAGGTGGCAAAATTACACAGAACTATACAAGAACGAGCTTAGCGTCTCTGATAACCACGATGGGGTGGTCACTGACCTCGAGCCAGACATCCTAGAATGTGAAGTGAAATGGGCCTTAGGAAAGCTGAGCAACAACAAAGCTAGTGGAGGTGACAGTACTCCAGCTGAGTTATTCAAAATCTTAAAAGACGATGCAGTAAAAGTGCTACACTCAATTTGCCAGCAAATTTGGAAAACTCAACAGTGGCTACAGGACTGGAAAAGCTCAGTTTACATTCCAATTCTAAAGAAAGGCAATGCCAAAGAATGTTCAAACTATCGCACCATTGCACTCATTTCACATGCAAGTAAAGTTATGCTTAAAATCCTACAAGCTAGACTCCAGTAGTATGTGGATTGAGAACTACCAGAAGTACAGGCAGGATTTCGAAGAGGCAGAGGAACTAGAAATCAAATTGCCAACATATGCTGGATCATAGAGAAAGTTAGGGAGTTCCAGAAAAACATCTACTTCTGCTTCATTGACTATGCTAAAGCCTTTGATTGTGTGGATCACAACAAATTGTGGCAAGTTCTTAAAGAGATGGGAGTACCAGACCATCTTATTTGTCTCTTGAGAAACCTATATGCAGGTCAAGAAGCAACAGTGAGAACTGGAAACGGAACCACTGATTGGTTCAAAATTGGGAAAGGAGTCCGGCAAGGCTGTATTCTGTCGCCCTGCCTATTTAACTTATATGCAGAGCACATCATGAGAAAGGCAGGGCTAGATGAAACAAAAGTTGGAATTAAGATTGCTGGGAGAAATATCAACAACCTAAGATATGCAGATGATACCACTCTAATGGTAGAAAGTGAAGAGGAACTAAAGAGCCTCTTGATGCGGGTGAAGAAGGAGAGTGCAAAAGTTGACTTGAAACATTAAGAAAACCAAGATCATGGCAACCAGCCCTCTCAATTCCTGGCAAATAGATGGGGAAGAAATGGAGGTAGTGACAGATTTTATCTTCTGGGCTCCAAGATCACCACAGATGGGGACTGCAGCCAAGAAATTAAAAGACGCTTGCTTCTGGGGAGGAAAGCTATGGCAAACCTAGACAGCATACAAAAAAGCAGAGACATCACCCTGCCAACAAAAGTACATATAGTCAAGGCCATGGTTTTCCCAGTTGCAATGTATGGCTGTGAAAGTTGGACCATAAGAAAGGCTGAGCGCCAAAGAATTGAGGCCTTTGAACTATGGTACTGGAGAAGACTCCGAGTCCCCTGGACTGCAAGGCGATCAAACTGGTCAGTTCTATAGGAGATCAACCCTGACTGCTCTTTAGAAGGCCAGATCCTGAAGTTGAAACTCAAATACTTTGGCCACCTGATGAGAAGGAAGGACTCACTGGAGAAGAGCCTAATGCTGGAAAAGATTGAGGGCAATAGAAGAATGGGACGCAGAGAATGAGGTGGCTGGATGGAGTCACTGAAGCAGTAGGTGTGAACTTAAATGGACTCCAGAAGATGGTAGAGGACAGGAAGACCTGGAGGAACGTTGTCCATGGGGTCGCGATGGGTCGGACACTCACTACCTTGAGTTATTTGCAAAAATAATAAAAAGGCAAGATGCACACGTCCAAACACAAGGGAAATAAAGAAGTAGAAAATATAGCACCCCAGTAAAATCCTTTGTTACCAAGGCTACAGAATGGCTAGTAAATAATTCAGATACCTACTTGTGAGCCTTGGAGAATCGTGTCACAAGACGGCCTTCCTCCACATTCAGGATATGAATGGACTTATCCTTGGACACTGTGAAAAGTCCTGGAATATGGAGAGGGAAACTCCACACCATTACATAAGACCAAATTCCAAAGGGCAGCTTTTTCTAACCAGGGACCTTCCAGAGTTTTGTACTTCAAGGCTTCATCCTGACTTGAGGGTTGTGGGGTTTGCACGTGTGCAACATCCTCTATTAAAAAAATAGTATCTTTTTCTTAGCTATTCTGAAGTCATTAGCCTTTACTAATCTATAATTTAAGAAAAAAGGCAGCTTGTGTCATTCTAGTTGGTCATTTCTTGATTCAAAAAGATTCCTATATTATCAACTACATAACCAAAAAACACCTGGTAGGTTCTGTTGCAACTACTGCAAAGTAGATGATAAACTACATTTGCTACATTTCTCCTAGTTGGATTTTTCATGACTATCCAAACAGGATGTAACTATCAGCTTTCCACTGCAAGTATAGTATCCTATCTTGGATCTGCAAAGCAATTTAAAAAGTTCACTATTTCTGAAAGCATCCCACTTACTGCTTGCCCCAATAGGTGTATAAACAGCACTGTGTGCTTTTTTCCTACTGTGACAAGTTTATATTTATTTTATAAATAAAATTCATTCTATATTTATATTTATTTAATAAATATAAATATGATAAAACTAAATATATTAAACTAAATATTAATATGATAAAACTAAAATATTGGTGTTTACAGAAAGACCAAAGACAGAATGGGCACTGTTTAGAGCAGTGGTTCTCAACCTTTTTAATGCCGCGACTCCCAACTGGTCGTAAGTCGAGGACTACTCAACTGATGCAGCACCGTTTGCAGAATGGGACTTTTGGCGGGCTCAGCAGGGCAGAGACAGCCTGGACAATTCCTATTGGCTTTTGAAAGCTAATAGAATTAGACTTTATTCAAGAGAGTCTGTTCTATTGGCTTTCAAAAGCCAATAGAATAAAAGGAGTAGCACAGCTAAGGAAAAGGGGGAAAAAAATGGCGGACTGCGTTTGGCGACCCCCGTGAAATGAGAACCGCTGGTTTAGAACAAGTAAATTGTTTTAAGTACTTAGAATAATCTTACATGATTCAGGGATCAAGCATGCCTATAGAAATTATGGGACACAAAATATATCTATATCCACATCTGCTGTCCAGGCGTTTTACCATTCTTGGACTGCCTCATTTGTTTCTGCTGCAGAAAAACTTCTTTCAGCAAAGAGTTGTGGCATCTGTTTCATGGAGAATGAAGAACTTATGCCAACTTCTCAAAGACAGTTTGAATTTGTTCAACCCGTCTTTCAGAAATATTGTTCATATGCCCTTGACAACTTTCTGGTGCAGTTCATCATATGGAAGCATTATTACTTAAAGATGAAATCAGCATATGGACTAATATTGTTGAATTTAATTTAAAGCTTGCCATTCTTCTTGTGGGCTTAGCACCATCTGTATTCCAAAGAACATTATAAAAACCATAAAAGCAGCAAAACAAAGGCACTCACTTTGTCCATCTTGTGAAAAGGATATTTTCCGGCAGGATTTTAAATGATGACCTGAGGACCAAAGTTCTTTGTTTCCGCCTTCCAAACAGGAATATGAGTATCTGTAATTATGATTTTAAAATGGAAAGAGAAGCATCAAGAGTCTGTTCAAATAATTCCTGCACCCAATAATGCCTACCTTTATCCAATACAAATATACCCAACCATTTTCTCTCTTGCTACTGTTCATACACACATACCTTGTTTATACTGCATCCATATCTCTCTCCTACATCTGCCATAATCACACATAGCTATCCCACTTTCAGTAACATCCATCTTTAAGACAGGGTTCCCCAACCTCCAGGCTGCAGTCCACTAGTGGCCCACACATTTGGAACCTTGCTGCATGAATGGTGGGCAAGTGAGCATGTGTGCATGCAGCTCCACTTGCACGAGTAGTGAGCACTCGTACTTATGTGCAAAGCTCCATTTGTGCAAGCAGCAGGTGTGTGTGCCTGTTGCTCGTGCAAATGGAGCTGCACACGTGCACCTACAACTCACATGGAACCATCCTGTCTCCTCCCCCCACTTGCCAGGCCAAGCTGGAAAGGTTGAGGACTGCTGCTTTAAGAGACATACAAACACACAGCTAATTTATCTCTCTACCCACACAATCCCTATTGTATAACATATACAAATACTCTTTTAATATAGAGAGACTGTCAGGGCCCACTTCAAAACCTCATCCCAAGAAAGCAGGACTCTTGGAACAGTTTCATTCCACAAGAAACTTTTATTAGGAGAAGCTGACAGCAGGCATAGAAGGCAGGATCTGAGGGTTTCCCGCTCAGATCAATAGGCTAAGAGTCCCAAGTAAACCCACCCCAATAGTTCATCCAGTCAGTTTGAATGGGCCAATCCTCAGGTGTTAAGTCCGCTGTGGGAAAGGAGCTGATAACAGGGTCTGTTCCCATGCTTGTGACATGTTGTTGGGTCTTCGCACCTTTCCTTCCCCAAGAGATAAGCCAGATGGCCAGAGGCACATTCCTTTTTCACCCCAAGGTAACATCAAGGGAGAGACATTGTAGCAGAGCAGAGAAACATACTACAGAGCCTTCCCCCCTCCCCCTCAGGAGAATGGCAGAACCCTCAGAAAGAAATGAAGAAGAAATGAAATAGGTCCCCCCCCCTAGGGAAAAGAATGGGTTCTGACAGAGACAATTATGTTTTGGCACTTTTACTGTCTTTTTCGCACCAAGCCAACAGATTCTATCTGATTCTGTAACCACGTTATTCTGAGTAAAATATACTCTTGGGGGAAAAATGAACTAGGAGCTTTTTTTGCTAATTAAACTAAGTGGGATGGATGACATTGTATTAGTCACAAGTACACAGACACCCCCTCTCTCTCCCCCCTCCCTCTCCCCTAAAGACAGTGATATCCTCTCCATCTCTCAACATAAGCAGAAATACAAGAAATTCTTTCTAGCACATAACATATTGTGGATGGTCCCGATACAAACAGATCTCCCTCATTTCAACCATACCCAGCATTTCTACCCGCTTCTTCTATCTCTCAGCCACACTTGGATCAAAACTCTTTTAATTGCTTACAATCTCCTCTCACAACTCTGGCCTGTTCATAAAAATACACCCCCTCTCTAAGAAAGACATGAATCTGCTGTCCATCCACCCAAATACCCCAAAGCCCTTAATCAAGTCATACAGATGCCCTTCTTGTGCTTTCTTCCCTCTGCAGGCAATTACCTTTGTCAGCTACAGATAGATGCACAGCCTCAGTCTCTTAATTGTACACAAAGCTTCTCTTCCTCTCTCTCACTTATGCACAGAACTCTATCAACCTCAGACACTGTTTCTTAAGCAGGCCTAGGCTGTAACACCTGGTCTCATCCACACAGAGATTCCCATCCACACATACACAGCACTCTTTTATCAACTACTTTTTTTTAGCCACATACCATTTCTAGCTCATATCTGCTCTCCCAAAACTCTCCTTAATGTGTCTCTGGTTCTTCTTTGGATAAGAGGGCCTGGTTCTCAACCACAAAGAGCCACTCTCCTGTAAGGAGCATATGCTCTTTCAACATACAGATACCTTCTTTCTCTCTTAAATCACTCAGCAGAGAACACACACACACACACACACACACACACACACACACACACCAAAAGAAGAACAGTCTCCCTTCTCCAAATGACCAACCTGTCCTCTTTCTTAACTACATGTATACAATTACCCCTTCTTGCTCAAATAAATACACAAACACACACACATCAACAACTGCATATTCTCTTTCTCCAACACCTTATTTGTCCTTTTGGTATAATTTCTGCTAGAGACTATAGCATCTTCTAAAGTCAGCCAACCATAACAGTAAATAGGATAGATTCTGTACTACCTCCATGATGTCTGGAAGAAGCCATAAGATTTTGTAGGTCTCAAGTGAGGAAATGGTTTTAGCTTTACAAATATTTCCTGTTGCTACCCATTACAGAGATACTCTTAAACAGATACTTCTTCTCACATGTTTTTTTTTCTATATGTTTTTTTCTATATAAAAGAATGGATACCCTCTCTTAGACATACACAGATAGCCTCTTTCAATCTGTAATCATACATGCATAAATACTCTTTTTCTCTTAGTCAACTGCATACAATCTAGCAATGGAACATACATTAATTGTCTTTCTTAAACATTTACATAGATCCATTGCACTAAACTACTGATGCACTACAATCTACATATACCTGACCTAATAAAAAGGCTCCACCAGTAAATTTCTCTTTGAACTCACACATAGACATCACCATCAACATCTCCAATAGCTATGATGTCCTGGGAGGGGTGAAAGTCAATGGTATTTGCTGCTGCCTCAAAGAAAATGTCTTCAGGAGTATCATGAAGTCTAGGTTCCAGTCCAAGTTCTTCCTCATCTGAATGTACCTGGATGGAGTAGAAATAAGATGTAGTAATCGAATTTTCATGGTAGGTTTATAGTCTCTTACTAATGTAATTAACTAGAATCAAGAGTTGGAATTAAGATTGCTGGGAGAAATATCAACAAATTAAGATATGCCGATGATACCACTCTAATAGCAGAAAGTGAAGAGGAACTAAAGAACCTCTTGATGCAGGTGAAGAAGGAGAATACAAAAGTTGGTTTGAAACTCAACATTAAGAAAACCAAGATCATGGCATCCAGCCCTCTTAATTCCTGGCAAATAGATGGGGAAGAAATGGAGGTAGTGACAGATTTTATCTTTGTGGGCTCCAAGATCACCACAGATGGGGACTGCAGCCAAGAAATTAAAAGATGCTTGCTCCTGGGGAGGAAAGCTATGGCAAATCTAGACAGCATACTAAAAAACAGAGACATCACCCTGCCAACAAAAGTACGTATAGTCAAGGCCATGGTTTTCCCAGTTGCAATGTATGGCTGTGAAATTTGGACCATAAGAAAGGCTGAGCACCAAAGAATTGAGGCCTTTGAACTATGGTGCTGGAGAAGACTCCGAGTCCCTGGACTGCAAGGAGATCAAACTGGTCAGTTCTATAGGCGATCAACCCTGACTGCTCTTTAGAAGGCCAGATCCTGAAGTTGAAACTCAAATACTTTGGCCACCTAATGAGAAGGAAGGACTCACCGGAGAAGGGCCTAATGCTGGGAAAGATTGAGGGCAATAGAAGAAGGGGACGACAGAGAATGAGATGGCTGGATGGAGTCACTGAAGCAGTAGGTGTGAACTTAAATGGACTCCAGAAGATGGTAGAGGACAGGAAGACCTGGAGGAACGTTGTCCATATTAATGTTTATTTATTCAATTCATATCCAGCTTTCTTTAGAAGTTAAATTGTTTTCCATTGAGGCCTTCCTTCATTTTCTCCCACAAGAGGAATCCTGTCAACTCAAGTCCCACCAGATTGAATTGAATTAATTGAACTTTATTTGGCTAAGTGTGATTCAACACACAAGGAATTTGTGTCCGATACAGAAGCACTCAGTGTACATGCAAAATAACAGAATCATCATCATCATCAACATCCCAATAAAAGGGGGGAGAAATGAAGATAAGAAGGATAAATAATACTAGAAGACTACATATGTAAATATACATAGGCCTTAAACAGTACTGTAAGAATTAGGTATTTAGCAGAGTGATGGCAGGGAGAGGGGAACTATTCCTGTGTCTTAATTGTTTTGGCCTGCACAGCGCTGTCCTGAGAGGAGGAGTTGAAACAGTTTATGTTCAGGGTGTGAGGAGTCTGCAGATTATCTTCTGACCCACGCAATATACAAGTCTTCTATGGAAGATAGGATGGTTGCAATCGTTCTTTCTACAGTGTTAGCTAACCATTGGACTCTGTCCTGTTTGGTGCTGTACAAACCAGACAGTTATAGAAGTACAAACTTAAGTCCAATTTCTTAACTTCTAGACCAACTGGCTTTTGAATCCTTCCATCCTCTTCTTTTCAATATGTCATGAGCCACTATCACCGATTTAGCAACTTTTTATTAATGTACTCATATGGTTATTTTCCAGCATCATCACTACATTACATACAATATCATCCTACCCACCATAAACCCACACAGAGAGAATAGAGGCAGCAATCAATATGTGAGAACAGTTCAGCTGATTTTTATCTCATAATTTTTACTATCAAATGCTCCTAGAACTATGCAATGTTTGAGTTCTTAATAAAGGACATTCAATAAATTTATACATACATGCAAGCAGACATGCATACATACCGAGAAGGAGGGATACAGCTAGAGTAGGGTAGGCAACCTTGGCTCTTTTATGACTCGTGGACTTCAACTCCCAAAATTCCTGAGCCAGCATGGCTGGCTCAGGAATTCTGGGAGTTGAAGTCCACGAGTCATAAAAGAGCCAAGTTTGCCTACTCCTGAGCTAGAGTAAGGAAGCCCGAAGAGGGAGCCAGTTTTAGTTTGCATGGCTCAAGCTCTTCCGGTGCCAGCCTTCCTCTGTAACCGGCTTTGAGTGCCGGGCGCTCCCCATCTTCACTACCCATAAAACTATACTTGGAACTGGGACTCGGGCCAAAGGGGTAATCTATATCCCATAAAAGACGTCAAAATAGCAAAATAACTAATCACTTTCAGTAACTCTAAGCCAGCCCCGTGATAGCCTCTAGCACTACATTCCTACCCCACCAAAACTCCCGCACAGACCACTCCTGGGTCGCCTAAGCCTAGATTTCCAGACCGCTGTTTAATGACACAGGAAGCCGCGCAAACACCTTTCCCCGGCAAAGGGAAGTCAACATGAGGACAAGCGAGCGCCTAGGGTCGTGTGTACTCACAGTGTCAGGCGCAGCCATTTTCACTACAGCATTCTGCTTCGGGGCACAAGCGTGTTGGGAACTGCGGGCGCCTGCGCAGCAAAAGGATAGGCGGAGCGAGCACTTTTCCTCTGGAAGCCAAGGAGATTGGAAAGAAAAAGTGGCGTGCTGATTGTTGAACTGCAGGTTGGCCTTCTGTTGTGGTTATTTTGTATACCGAAGTAGCCATACAGCATGCACTATCGATAATGTTTACTGGGCAGCAGGGATCCAACATCAGTAAAGTAAGAAACGATTAAAAGCTGAAAGGAGGATTTTTATTTAATCCCGTAATACCAACCTTATCAAGAATGTTGACTACTAAGGCTTTGATCTTTCCTTGCTCGGAGCAAAGGACTTTAAAAAACAAAAAGAAACGAATGTTCCTGGAGAAAGAAAGAAATGGGAGCTTTTCCTCGTATCTGTGGTTTGCAAAGCTCCTTTATTCTCACCCGACAAAGACTGAAATTCAAAGGCAAATATTTATTGCTGAGTCTCAACCAAATGTCACATTTAGAAAGATTCTAAATGATTTGTATAGCTCACATACAGATTGCATCTCTAAAGTCTAACACTTAAAAATCATGTGTTTCTCTCACAAGAAGAATCCTATTAACCCAGCTCCAATATCATGACATGATATTGATTTGTCAACAAATTTTGACACCAAGGTACAAGTATGGACTTTCATATTATCAAATGCAAAAAATAAAAATAAATTTTAAAAAATCCTTTGCTCCACCTCCCAGATAAATTACACATATTTGTACTGCCAGAGAGCAGGCTATATACATGGGATTTTACAAGTTGTTTTAGCTAAAACAAAAGAATTCCCATTTGCTAATTTTCTTGACAATGTAAAAACTTTGATTATGGAAATGTAGGAATTTTATTAAAATGCAAAACCGCAGACAATGCCTAACAAGGAGAATTCGAACTGTGGCAAGCAATTTATATTTCACTGTTACTGCATGCCATACATCCTTTCACTGGGAACAAAGACTGAAGGAGATGGGAGTTTCAAAGTTCAGAAGTGATTAGCCCATATGTCCATCTTGACATATGTAGCCTTCTATGAAAGCATTACTGTATTGACAGTTTCCTCTTTCCGGCAATTTCTTAAAATTTCAAGCACTTTTTCAAAATAAAAGTCAGAGTTGGGTTTTTTTAACTGATCCATCATACCTTTCTTTAATTAGCTACTGTCAACTCAGATCCATTAACTTTCTTTAGAAGTTTTTTGTAAAATAAAGGAAAACAGGAAGGAAACATCTGAATATAACCCAGTCGTGTAGCAAAATGATTAATATGAAATGTTTAATATGAAAGTGAAGATACTCTATAGCAGTGGTTCTCAACCTTTTTATACGGCGGCGCCGGTCATACGCAGGCGGCGCACATGCGCGGCACCACCCCCTGCGCCAGCTGACGAAAAAAAATTGCAGATCACATTGTTTGGTGACCCCCGTAAAATGGTCATTCAACCCCAAATGGGGTCGCGATCCACAGGTTGAGAACCGCTGCTCTATAGGCTTTATTATAAAACAAAGAGGGTAAAATGCCTGCCAGAGGTTTGAACTGATATCAGATTGTTATGAATTAGTACAAAAGTAAGAATTTATAGACTGGAGAGAGCTACAGTTTACATACTGTAGAACTGAACTGTGAAAATGAAAAAAAAACATGAGTTTGGTAAGGATTGTGTAACTTACTGCAATTTCAGAACAGAAACTGGTGACTTTTACAAGGTTGGTAACTTAGTTAAAAAAAGGGTACTGCATATGAAAACCAAGTTTAAGTAAAGCCATGATGGGTGGCATCACAAACACTTATCTATAGGACTATCTGGTGACAACAATGGCATATGGAAGATGGCCATTTGGAATGTGAGAGGTGTATATGAAGTGTGTGAATTAATGAATGAAATGTAAGAAATAAAAGTAGATATTTGTGAAACTAAGAAAAAAGAAAGTATGTAGATATATTTTTGTTCTGATAATCCACCCACATTAGTATATAAAAATATAAAAAATATGATAATCAGGGATACATTTTTGATGACAAATGAACAATAAACATAGTTGCACCTAATTAGGGCACAAATCTGAAAAGCTTGGGTTTGCATAGCACACACATTTAATCATTTTTGTCACTAGTTTATACTAGGCACCTATGACTCTTCTGCTGATAATAAAGAATCAGTGATTAGTTTTTGGCAAAATTGTGCAACATTCTGAATGAATGTGATATGAGATATGAAATGAAGGAGCACAATAATAGTGATTGGGCCTTTCTGAGAACCAAGAATGAATGAGAACAATGGAGTATCTGCTTAAAAGAAAAAAAATATTATAAAAATTACAGGTATTATGATAGTGGATTTTTTTTTAGAACTTTCCTGTCTTACAGTTTTATCCCTGAGCACACATTTTGCATTTTATAGATTCTCCCTATCAAGCTGATCAACTCTAAAAACCATTATGAGTGCAGTAAGAAAAGTATTAGGCGATGCTTCTGATACCTTGATAGAAGGTTTGTTTTTTGTCAAATTTCCCCTGCATTTCCATCATTCCAAGCTATAAAGCATATTTGGGAGATGCTGGGACTGATAATTTTTTAAAGTCATGGACAAATAAGCAGTATCAATACTGATCAGATTATTGCCAGTTAAGATTTTAAAACTTTTCAGTTGTTCTCACAATGTAAATTTGAGTTGTTTAAAATAGCAAATGAGTGATATATTCAATTTAAAGATGATTTCACAATTTTGTTCAAAAGTTTTAACTGTATTAGTCATAAAGAATATTAAATGTATTTCTTAGAGTATTGAATTATATACCAACATGTATAATATATCAGTATATGATGAACTATGGATTTATCAAGCATGGGTTGTAGCAAAAAAGATCATTCGTTTACAATGGATTTTATAATAAATTTATTACCTTGAATCGATAGTTTTACAAAATGGCTCCTTATTGCATTGTAGATTAATCAATAAAACTGTATAATGCTGTATTTAAATGCTGAGTTTTTAAAACATTATGTTTTGCCTCTCGCTACATCTTTTGTATTTTTTCTTTCTAAACTTTATAGTGTATAATCATAATCTTTAAGAAGCTCCACTCACTAAGCCTGCCTGATTTGTCACTGCAGAGAAGATATAGTAATTGCTGCTGTCCATACCAGGAAACAGATAGTTTCTATTAATGAGAAATTAGAAAAATATTGCTTAGACTAATACTCAGAACACAACTGATTAATAGATTTGGAATCTTTATAAATTTCCCATCCATATCCCAAATAGATGGTACACAATTATGCCGTTGCTGTGTTTAAATCCCAAAGCTTGGTATCTGAGTCTTCTTTTTTTCATTCCCTTTGTTTGGTACCATATAATTAAAATTCTGCTTTGAAAACAAAAAGCTGGCTAAATTCCTATTTAGCAATGACCAAATTTGTAGATGGGTCATGAGGTAGAATGGATATACAGTTGATTCTTTCTATTTCTCCTCTAAATATTTAGCTAACCATTGCTTTTTTTCTTGCAAGGCACAGGGATAATTAGACTTTGACTAAATGCTTCAGTACTCTCCCATTATAGATGATATAACTGAATCAGAAAAACTTATTTCATTCGCTTAACAAAATAATCTAGTAAAGATACATTCAGAACTGACTTAATCATATCCAAATGTTTATCAAATACATCAATAAAGTTCACTAGATCAGGGCTTTTCAACCTTTTCACAGATTGTACCACTTTTAGGACATGACAATATTTGAGTACCACCAGTGCTTAGCAAGGTGTCAAAACTTGATGACTAAAAAAAAGGGGGGGGATTTTGGGTTTTACTGATTAGATTAATTTGTTGTTATAGAAATGGCTAGTTTATAATATTATGGAAAAGTAAAAAGTTGAGGTTCAGTGTTAATGCTTCCTAACAGAGGAAGTATGTTCTTTTTCCCTTTTCCCCCTCACTTTCCCCCCTTTTTCCTCCCCACTGTATCGTACTATTTGCTTTTGTATTTTTGTATTTTATTCTATAATCTAATAAAATGTTACAAACTGTAGAAAAAAAGAAAAAAAGTACCAGTTTTAATTTCTTTGGTGGCAGTTCCTTTGCTGAATCACTTTCTCTTTGCACTGACAAATGTATGATGAATTTATCCATGTTTATTAATATGCACCACTACCAGCTAGTCCAGGGGTCTTCAAACTTGGCACTTTTAAGATGTGGACTTTAACTCCCAACTTCCTCAGCCCTTATGGCTGGTTGAGGAATTCTGGGAGTTGAAGTCCACAGGTCTTACTCCTGAGCTAGCTGGTTGGCCCTTCTGAGCTCTTCCACAGAATGCACACTTACCCAATCCCTTCCCTGTACCCTTAAAGACACAGGAATCAAAAACTCCGTTTTTTTTCTCTTTAAGCTGCCTCAGGTGTGTCACATGTCACAATGTTGCAATTCTAGACTGAAAGGCTCAGTTGCAAAAAGCTTTAGCTTTAAATTAATCCAGTTTACCTTCAAAGAAAACTTTCTAAAAGCCACAGACTCAATTAAAGAGGGTAAAACTAATTACATTTATTTAAAGGGATTAAACCTTTCCTGTTGTCTTTTTTCCCCTCCCCCACCCAAACCACGTTTTTTTATAGCCTCCTCTCTTCCCCCCCCCTTTTTTTTTTCTTCAGTTCCCCTCCAGCTCCAAGCCAATCAGCTGGAGCCCTGCTGGCTTCTGCCCAGCCAAGACAGTCTTGCAGCTGCAGCTGCTCTCCCTCATTCCCCTCCACTGCTACATTGGCTAGCAATTGTGTATCACCTGCCATGTGGCAAGTGGTATACATACCACCAGTTGAAAAGCCCTGCACTAAATTGTGGTCTAAAATTGTAACAGCATCTGTGTCACATGCTTTAACTGTAGACATCAAAGAATGATTGAAAGATTACCAAATTCTGTTTTAATTCATATACATTATGAACATATTACGAATCTAAATGATATAAATTGGGTGATAGTGTTAGGAACTACAAAAAAATCCAAAATTTTATTTAACTACGTATTATATAGTTCATGTAAATATCATGTATTTGTTTTAAAGAATATATGGTTGGATTATAAGAATTCATAATTGCTAATTGACAATTATCTGACCATAAATATTGAAAAGCAATCTTTTCATCAGATAATATATTCTGCAATTAGCCTAGAAAGCATTATTAGAATTAGTATTTCCATTAAACCCCCCTAACCTGGTTTCTGTAAAAACCATTTGTCTTTAGAGAGATGACACTAAGGAACTGTGTATCTGTTTTCATAAGATAGTTTTTATTTAACTGATATATTTTATTAAGAGTGGATACCCCACTGCTTATTTTTTTAAAAAACAAAACATGAAACAGCTTTTTTCTCCTTACACTTTGAAAAAATTTGTGGACATTGTGTAAATCAAGAAGAAAACAGGCATTTTTCCTTGATGGCTTAATCCAGAGAGCCAGGTTCTTACAAAAGTCTCTAGAGTGGTTCTTATGAATGACTGGGCTTCAATATTTGGGAGACAAAATACTGAATTGTTTCACACAAAGGTAGTTATCTACACACAATTACCACTTAATGATTGTGATTTATTTATTATGTAGAGAATGGCAACACTGACAAGCAAATGTTAATGTTTAACTATTAGAATCCAACAACAAGTAGGAAAACTTGCAGACACGTCCTCAGAAAGTTTAAGTTGTAAGACCAATCTTTAAAAATTATTAGTGGGGATTCAACAACTGAGGAAAGTATTATTGCCTCTTCATTCATGATCATTAAGCAAATATTTGAAATGTTTACTCCTGTTTATATTGGATTAATATTTCTATTAGCTTTAATGACTTAATTGTGGCAATTTTAATTCATTTAATTAAAATATTTGTATTTTATTGTTATTTCTTTTTTATTGCGGCTAACTCTGGAAGCTTTACAGTATCCAAATATACAGTTAAAACAGTTTAAAAATATGAAGCATGACATGGCAACCCAGACTATAAACAACAGTACTAATAAAATATTAAAGTGCTCCAGAGGAACAGAGCCAAGTCTTAAGGGCATTCTGAAATCCAAGAGGAAAGGGTGCTATCTGTGTCCGTGAGGATGCTGTTCCAGAGGGCAGTGTCAGTGGCAGAGCAGGCATACTGTACTTCCTTGGTCTCACAAGATGATAATGTTTAATTGAGGGAGCTTGGTGCACACCTACTCTGTACAAGATAGGCAGAAACTATAGTAGTAGTAAGTAACGATGAAGACAAAGATTTTTCCTAATAGGCAGAATATGCTATGTAAGTTCACATCAGGATGTATTTCAATAATAGCAAATACTACTAACAAGACCATTCATATTACTTTCTGTATAAAGAAAACCTCCCCCCCCAATTTTACCTGCCCCACATTGCCATGTATTCAAGGAATACAATAAGAATTCTGTAACATTAACATTTTAGCAGTTTTTATTGCAGTACAAATCCAAAGTGCAAGCCCTTGGGGAACATGTGCTGCAGAGAAGGAAAAAAGCATCTAAAAAGTTTCATTGCAATCAGGAGCTGCCCTTCATATTCATATGTAAGCAGGAAGCAAGGTGGGCTTGTTCCAGTGACTAGTCCATCAGAATCAAATCTCCACTAGAGCTGAGCTTTTGAAATACAACTGAAGGAATCAAAGCCTCCTGGCAGCGTCAGTATTTTGGTCTCTTCACCTCAACCCTGAAATTATAGACATTTATATGAAATACTGTAATATGGGGCACTTTAGCAGAAACCACACACACAAAAAAACATATAGTACTAAAAACAAAGCATATCTAAGAGCAAAAAATGCAGAAGGTAAATTAATTAACATTCTTCAGACCAAACATGTATCTCCTGCCACAAATGAGTAGCAGCACTTTGCTGAATACATATAAGATAACACATAAGACATAGAGATGGCTCCATGAGTACTTTTCACATCACACTAACTTTTCATGTGCAATTATACTAACCCATCAGCTTCCATCTTCTTTCTTTTTTCAATGATCTGTAAAGAGAATACAATCACTGTATTGTGGATATGACATTAAAGCATTTGTTTTTTTTGGAGTGCCTAACTTTCAAGCAAAAGACTGTGTGAATAGCACAAAAATTAAATAGACCAGCACATATGAAAAAGTTTAGTTTGCTCCCACAATATGAAGAGAACATTTAGGCATCAGAATTTTGATCATAAACTAGATATTAAAAGGTGTCACAATCTGATTGGAAGCCAACACAGAAATGAAAGCACCTAAAAATATAGCATATTTCTATGCATGAAACTGAATGAAATAGCAGAACACAATCCTTTCCAAATCTTAAAACCTGTAAGGCATGTGTACAAAACCGTAAAGAAAACTACTACCCAAGGTGGACAAAACAAATGTTACTAATAAATGTAGCTTAAGATGCTTACTGCACTAATCTTTTTCCACTGCCGATCCAGTTCAGCTTTGTCATTGGTCTCTTTGAAACGACGTGTTTTACGGCCTTCAGACATCTTGATTCCGTATTGGAACGCTGCTCTAAAATAAGAGGAACAAGTACAGATGGGGAATTTATGATTCAGCTAGTCTGATGCAAAAAACTGAGATCTAAGTTCTGTTATATGAGGCATCTTATGAGGCATTCTGCAAAAATGTAGTAGGAATTTAATTATAATAATTTTAATTTAATTTAATTGACTTAATATGTCTACCCGTTCCAGAAACCTCTGGGCGGGCTATAAAATCCATATAAACAGTTAAAAACCACATAAATAGGCAGCCAAGGCTGAAACAATAGAACAACAAACAGTGCAAGACAAATAATATGACAGGGGTATAATTAATATATCGTACCATGTTAACCCTCAGCCTGGGGACAGAGACAGGTCTTAAGGGTTTTCTGGAATCCTATTACTTATAAATAATATACCCTATAATACCATCTATCTTCCTACTCTTAAAAACAACTTGCAAACTCACTTGGGTAGAGCCTCTTTGTTATTCATGTACTCGCTATATTCTTCCTGTGTGTCGAAGTCCCAACGACCCAGAGGTCCTTTTTTGTTTCCCTTGGGGAAGGAGAAAAAGACAAATGAAGTAGAATTATGTAGTAAAAAGAACTGTACCACTTTAGGCTGAAAGTAAATGAAACTGTGTTTGAATGCTCCATATAATAGCATACTCTAACTTTGCTGCTGAAAAAGTAAACAAAAAATATTAGCTTCCAAGAATAAAGTTCCTAGACTATCCATTATGCTACTTTTCTCCTTTTTGCAGTGGGTATGAACACACATTATACAGAAGAAAGCATTAAAATATTTTATCTCACATAGTAAAATCCATTATAGCACCTTATTCAACTGCAAGTAAAGCTAGAAAATTAAAGCTGCCAGGTTCCTATGAAAAATTTCTCTCCCTCCCTCTCTCCCTCTCTCCCTCTCTCTCTCTCTCTCTCTCTCTATATATATATATATATATATACACACACACACACACACACACACACACACACACACACACTAGACAAACTCTGATCCATTGGGTCAGCTTTTCAGATCTATTTCCTTATCAGATTCCTCAATGCCTTCAGCAATGGCAGAGATTCTAATGTACTGCCTTCACTAGGAAAAAAAACTTAAAATATTCACGGAGCTATTCAGAGATGTATCTGCCTTGAAAATAGCCCATGTTGAACTGTACAGCACAATTGACCATAGGAGGTGGTTTATGATGTTTTGTATTATGTCATAAAATTTGCCAAATTTCAATTGCATGAGAGTAAGGATTTTGAATTTTGAGTGCAATCTATAAGTTAGTCCATTTGAGGTATCTCCTATGATGTACTATTTTGCCCAGTTAAAGTTTACACACAAACATGGAGAGTTTTAATAGTATACAGATTCCAAATGACTCATTATGAAATTATTACAACATACAAAAATACTTATTTTAAAGTTATCGATGGTATACCTGATCCATTTTACTATAATCTACTTCTTCATCACTATCCACAGCCATGGCATCCATTCTAAGATAAACACAAAATTGGCAGTAACTGTATCTACAATCCCATTCAAAATTATAGTTTGAGACATAGCAGTAACAAATCTTGAATTCTCTGCTTAGTTTATAGATTCTATAGTATACATGATAAAATCTAAAACTGAAAAATTGGATTTCAGTCAGCATCTATAGAAATAGATTATTTCAAAAAAGTTATATTCTCCTAGCCCACTACTCTGCTACTCAGTTGAGTAGAAAACATATGTGTGTGTGTATGTGTGTGTGCACAGGCTGATAGTTGCAGGACCATTTTGAATATCTTCAAACTATTTAACTTCAGATTCTGCTAATGCTTTAGTATAAAGCCAAACTTTTTCCAAGTTTGTGCATATGACAATGACTTAGCCCTATCAACTTCTGGCCCTGACATTTTAAATAAATAAATGTTTTTTTTGTCAAAATTATTTGCCAAGAAAATGTACATGGTCCTTGAGCCAAAAAGGTTTCATATTCCTGGTCTAAATGTTTTTTTTTTTTAATTTAAAATTTATGTCCCACTATTCCAAAATTTAAATAACTTTCTGATGTTAAGTTCTGTTCCTGTATCAGTAGTCCTCTGAATGGTGAATACATAATATTCTTACGTTGCAGGGTAGCATTCGGCATAGCTGTTTAACATTCCAAAGAAGTCACCCACTTGCTTTTTATCTTCAGTTTTTTTTAATGTATTAAAGGATAAGGAACAAAAGTAGTCTGAAAGGGACAAGACTGTCTCTACCTAATAAGCAAGCACCATGAATCCATATGGGGAGACCAAGCAGAATATTGAAAAGGTCTTAAGCTGTTCAGATCAATATTTTCTTTCTTACAAGCTTTTGTAACAATCATACCAATTTCATTGGAGTAAAGTATCTCTTCCAGTCACTCCACTGGAAACAATAGGTAGTCCTCAACATAATGGAGCCCAGAATGTCTTTCTTAAGTCATAACAGTTGTAAGTCAAAACTGGCCCAATTTTATGACTTTTTTCGCAGCACTTACTAAGTGGATACTGTGGTTGTTAAGCAAATCACTGTGTACCAATGGGTGTTTTCTGCTGGAAACTGGACGAAAAGGCATAAGACGTCGTAAATTGTGGTCACATGACTGTAGAACACCGTGTACAGCTATAAAAGTGTCCTGGTTGCCAAGTACCTAAAATACAATCGTGTGATCATGGAGGGTATGCCACTGTCAGAACTTTGGAACTGGGTTTTATGTAGCTTTGCCGGGGGGGGGGGGGGTGTCTGTCATTTATTAAACGGCCACTAAGTCATTAAGCAAGGATTATTTCTATATATTTCCATAAAACATATATATAACTGCAGTCCTTGACTTAAACAACCTTTCATACAATGATAATTCAAAATTATCATTTTGAAGGGACTTGCAACTGTGCCCAAATCTATGGCCGTTGCAGCACCCCTGCAGTCATGTGATCAAAATTTGGATGTGTGGCAACCCACCTACACTTACAAACGCACGGGCACTGTTAACTCCCCCCTCCCATGTATGTCCCCTAATACCTGCCCTACGCCTCATGGTACAATCCTGACATAGAGGTTAGGGCCTTCAGCAGTCTCAGCCAGCTATCTCCACTCTTAGGCCTCAATTTCAGCCCCAATGCTGCCTCTACCATCAAGAAATGCTATCTCAAGCCCCATACTGCAGCCGCCACCATCCAGCACCAATCAGCCCCATGATGTAGGAAATGAAAAAAGAAAAAGTCAGGGAAACGTCTGAAGTTATTACAAGAATGGCTACTGCCTTTTTCCATGCTGGCATTCTGGGGGAAAACAGCAGGTGAAAAACAACTGAAGGTGAGTAGCGTGCAGAATGGCAGGCCACGGTGTGGGGCTTGAGACAGTATTTCTCAACAGCAGCGACAACACTGGGGCTGAGGTTGAAATTCGGGGTGGCGGCGGCAACAGGCCAAGATTGCTGAAGACCCTAGGACAGTGTTTCCCAAACTTGACAATTTTAAGGCATGTGGACTTCAACTCCCAGAATTCCACAGCCAGCGTTGCTGGCTGTGGAATTCTGGGAGTTGAAGTCCTCATGCCTTAAAATTGTCAAGTTTGGGAAACACTGCCCTAGGACTCTAGTTCAGGACCAATACTGGCACTGTTACTGAATTCTGCATTGTAAGGCTGGCCTGGGCTGGCTGAGACTTCCTGGAGTGGTTGTGGTTTTGTACTGCACTGTAGCACCTGCCCAAACTAACATATGCCCTGCACAGGCCTTCTAGGGCCTCCCCCGCTCCTGAGGCACCCTTGTATTCCTTATCTGGGACTCCTCCATTTAACAACTTGCAAGATTGCTTATTGATTACAACCTGGAGTGCCAGGATTGCAGTCATTGAGCAAAGCAGTCATGTACGGTCTCCTTTAACAACTACTTCAGTGAAAAACCGAGATTCTGGTTCCAAATGTTATCTTAAGTCTTGGTATTATTTTGGGGCTTTCTCAAGATACCAAAGCAAAGTATTTTCTTTAAATGAAGATTTGAATTTCTAGCGAAGATAAATGCTTTACCAAAAACCCTATAGCAGCTGCTAAACGCTATACAGAATCCCTCATTCAGTATACAGATGTAAAGGATATGGTTCTGTCCCTTCCCAGCCAGTAGCACCAGCAAACTTTTCATTGATTGATTTAATCAACTCTTTGGCTGAGCCAGGTCCTGAAAAAAAGAAAGGAATTACTGACCAGCCTGACAGAAATAATACTATACTCCAGCTGAATCTTAATGAAAACTAAGAGGAGATCATAGAAGATCCTCTTGATTGGGTGCCATTGGGTGTATTGAGATTGGAACCACTAAACCAGGAGGCTACTCCAAAACTTAAGGGATATAAAAAAGCCAATGTTGGCTTATTGTGTTATGTAAACCAGTCTTTAAATTTACCACAAATAAGGAGATAATCATACAAAAAACCCAAAATATACGTTTTTAAAAATCTTTCTAACATGGCTAATCATCAAGCTAAAAAAAAATTCCAGTCATACTGTATTAGGTTTTCTAAATATTCAATGGAGATAAATCTCTAGTGATATTGAATGACTGAGATAAAAGTTATTTCTTAAATCTACAATTGCACAGATATTTTGTTTAGCAATCGTATTTTTCCTGTTTGCAGCCAGTTTTTAAATCAAATTTAACATAAGAACTTACCTTTATCTATATCATTAGGCTAAATGGAGAAAAGAAAATGAACACATTACTCTCAAAATAAACAATCAAAATGAAGGCTAGTTACTTAACATAAGATAAGCTATGTTTGATTAGCTTAAAAGATGCATATAGTGCAGAATTTTGTCCCCACGTGCCAAATATTGATAAGAAGCCAAAAGTTCATGTACCTTTGCAACTAGTATCTGCGAACTACTTGAGAATGGAGTAAAATACTACAAGACCATTATTTCTACAATTTTACTGGCAATTTTGCACAAATATTCAATTTAATTCACTGTTTCCATTTAATTATTGTAGCCTCATTAAGGTTACAAAAGATTTCAAAATTGTTTTATAATGGTAAAACATAGTCCTGATCAAGAGCCACCAAAAACACAGTATCTGTGATGGAATGTCACTTGCAAGAGCAGTGGGGGAGTGTTTTGGCAACAGAGAGCTTTCCCACATAGAGGACAGGATTAAGAAACTACACAATCCCACACTGGATGGGGAAGGGGGGGGGGGAGAAAGAGGCTTAGGGTAACCACACCCTAGAATCTCTTAGGATACATCTAGTAAGGTAGAAAGTTATAGTTTTAGTTTGACAAGATCCTGTCCATTAGGTGTAAGCAAGTAGTAAAGAACTAAACTTAATTCATTTTTGGGCCTGACAAAGTCTTAATTTTATGGGACAGAGACATGTGTGCTTACTTCATCATCAGCTTTGGGTTTCTCAAAGTAGCTGTGCCTCTTCTTCTCCTCTTCACGTTCCCTTTCTCTTTCCCGTTCACGATCTCGTTCATGTTCCCTGTCTCTCTCTCTCTCCCGTTCTCGGTCCCGTTCCCTGTATCTCTCTCGTTCCTTTTCTCGTGGCACTTTTGCCGCAGTCGGTACATAATCACCAATATCTTCAAAAATACTTTTCATCAAACAAGCACATATTAAAAGGCAAAAGATAAAAAAAAACACCTAAGTCTCAGAAAATGGCATAAAAATCTTGCCCGGAGAATTACTTATCACAAGTTATTCTTTTTTATTAAACACTTTTGCTCCCAAGGTGTGATATCTTCCTTTTTACACAATTCAGCCCCTGCATCCTAAAGGGGAAGCCAAATTAGTTCACTTGTCTGTTCTTTCCAAACTGAAGACCATGCAAAAATGCAGCAGCTTCCTGAAAATAGTTCCAAATACAATGAGAAGGATCCAGCCCTGAAGGATAAGCACTTGACATAGCCATATACTTACTTCATGTCTGCCTCTGGGGGTTTCTTCTCATCCAGTTTCCCTAAAAATAGCAAATCAGAATACACTTACTTCTGTACCCATGGTATATTATTTTTTTAGGAAATAAACATATGGTTTTGCAAATGTCTGTAGTATTTCATCAATGGTGCATTTTTATATGATATGGTACCCAACTTAATCTTTTCACTCTTTGATCATGCAAGCGTCTATTCTTCAGATTGAAAAAGAAATAATCTCCATCTTAAACACATTTTTCATACTAATGTGAAACATCAACATTTAGGGAAATGTAGAATCTAAGTTTTGTACTCTGTTACCATTCTGACATTTAATCAAATGTTAACAAAATGTTCATTTTTTAATGCTGTTCATCATGGAAAATGAGATATGCAAGTCTGAATTCTAAAAACATATGCTTACCTTTATCCTTTTTCTTGAGCTTTTTATTACGAGTGCCTTGCCTCAGATAGGAAAGAATCTGAGTCAGTTTACTAATTACAATATCATTTGTAGTCAGTGTGGTCTGGGCCTAGAAGAATAAATCACAGGAATCACTACCCTGATAGCTCATATATGACTGCCTTGCTCATAAAGCAACCACAGCAATTAGGTCAATTACCTCCATGGTTGGGCAATCAGCCTTACTTCTAATCAAGGTTGTGGGAATATCTGTGTCAGCATACTCATCATCAAGATCCACCACATAAGCCATTCGTCCTGGCAGAAAGAGCTCATTCCGCTCATATGCCTTGTTCCTGAATAGCATCCGATAGATGTTACGGCCTAGCAAAAAAGAGGATTCATGAATATGCCACTATTCACACAATACATTAAGCTAAACAAGCCACAGTATGATTTATGATATTGTTAAGAACTAGAGCCAAGATACTGCAGCCATTTCTCCAATCAGCCATTCTTCAAAGCACATAAAACCAAGACTAGAAAAAAATATCTACTTTCACCCTCAGGTTATTTAAGAACTCATAAAGTCAGAATAAACTTGGTCAGAGTACATGCTCATAACATCTTATTCTAGGTCAGTGGTGGCGAACCTATGGCACGCGTACCAGAGGCAGCACTCAGAGTCCTCTCTGTGGGCACGCACGCCATCTGCCTCCCCCTGCGTCCCCCTGACCAGCAGCCCCCCCAGAGCAGAGTTGTCCCAGGCCGTGGCCCGTGTTTTAGCAGCGCAGCCAAGGACATGGCAGCCGGACAACAGGGACAAGACTCCGCCCTTGAGCCCCGTCATGCGCAGATGATGCTGCGGGGTATGGGCGGAGGGCATGGCCGCCATGGCACTACAGGGCCACCTGGGCAATCTGCAGCGGGCCGTGGAGGCAGTAGGTCTCCCTGTGGATGGGTGGGATGGGGGCAGGGCGGGGAGGATTTTGGGCACTCGGTCTCTAAAAGGTTCCCCATCAGTGTTCTAGGTAAAGAATATGTAAACTATTGGACTAAGACTGAGATGATCTAAGTTCACTCTCAAACACAGTAGTTCACTGGGTGACTCTGGATGAGTCACTCTCACAGGCTTGTTGTTGGACAGAAAAAAATGGAAAGAAAGCATTATGTATGTTACCACACACACCTGGGGGGGGGGGAAATAGAATGTAAATCTATTAAATAAATAAAATGTTTGAACAACCTTACCCAAGCGAGTCTTGAATTCAATTTTATTTTCAGGATCTTCATCCTTCCTAGAAAGGAAGCAATGAAATACATGAGAGTAGTGGGGCTACTATTTTTTCAGTCTAAAAGTTCATCGGTCAGAACTCTCTTATCTCTACTTACTTAGTTTCTTTTGGGGGCTTTTCCATTAGGTCTTCTTCTTCTTTTTCTTTGCTGGCAATCTCTGCCCGTACCTGACCAGAAATACATTTTCTTCAAAATGGTATGATTTTATGAATATAGACTCCCAATAGATTAGATAAAATAGGAACAAATTGCTGGCTCCCAACAGCTCTTCACCACTGTCTGCAGATCGGAATCCACTGTTTTCCACTAGCACCCAGCTGGTCAGCCACCATTGTTTTTCCACTGTTATGAGCAGCAGGGAAAAAAACTTCATAACTTACCAGGAAGTTTAAAATATCTCCCTGCATCATAGCCTTGTTCAAGAGCAAGTATTTACTTACTGTTATTAGCAACCAAGAAAAAGCACTCTTCCCTGCCTCAGGATTGCTAAGGCATGGAAGGTTAAGGAGAGAGGGAGAAATAAGTAGTGGCAAATGGGAAAAAAAGGTTACTTTAGATGTTTAATGCAGATATTTCATACATGAAATGTATGCATTCTATGCCAAATATGCAATTGACATAATATACTTTCGTAGCAACCACTGAAAAACAGTGACTTGAAAGCCCTGAACAAATTCTCAGATTTTTCTTGATTTCAAACAATTTCTGCAATGATATAATTGGGAAGAGGAGACATTACAATCCAAGATAGGAAAAATTACAAAAAAATAACTTAGATGAAATATTTTTAGGTACAGCAGCAACACAAATAAGGGCAAGAACTTCCTTACATGCACTGTTGCATTATCTGGCTCACCTTTTGCAACAAAGCAAAATCCAGACCCTTCACCAAGTGAGTGTGTTCCATGTCACCACCCAAGAATTTGGACTCCTGAATCAATTGCCGCCTCTTTTCTGCTGCTGATTTATCCCTAGTACAATAAAAATAAATGTTTTAAGATAAGCACTGCTCTGTACTCCAAGTCAGAATGGCAGTAACTGTGACTGTACTCACGCCTCTGCAGTGGGTCCTACTGCCCTGTAATTGGCAGTTGTACTGATTAGTTCTGTTTCTTCATAATCTTTGTTGACACCATCGCGTCTTTCCTTGGCACGGTCTCTGTATTTCTCGGCCAATTCCCTCTCTCGCTCAATTTCTTGTTGGCGTAGTTTTGCGTAATAGCTGACATTTTAAAAAAGAAAACAAAAGCCAAAATATATTAAGCAAACAAACCACAATATTCTAAGAATACTTTTTTAACACCAGTAATACTGATTGCCACTTTCCTTTGTTTCATCCTTAACCTAGGCCAGGGGTGTCAAACTCACAATGTCATGTGACGTGTCGTGACATATCGCGTTTTTGCCATTGCCGGCAATGGGGTGGGCGTGGTTTCACTATGATGCATCCGGCCCGCGGGCCAGCAGTTTGACACCCCTGACCTAGGCCTACATTATTCATACAGAGAAATAACATATATATTGTCTGATTCATGCTTACATTAAGTACCAAAAGATACGCAAAACGATTAGCTCCATTTATCCAGCAATATGATTCTTTCTCCAGTTCAAAAATACATCAACTCTTTTGGAAACTTCAGGAACCAGTCCCTATTACCTTTTTTTCTTTCTCCTACGAGCGGCTGGATCTTCATCTTCATTGTACTCTCTTGGCATTCTAAAAAGAACAAGAAAACGTTCATAATATCCTATGATTAAATTGCAATAAAGTTTAAACTCTAATTTCAATTTTTTTTTAGCAATAATGAAGTTTTATTCTTTATTCACCTCAGAGGGAACCTAAATCCCTTTAAGAAAAATGCTTTCAAAATAATAACATCATGTAGGCAGTTTGTAGAAAGTAATAAACTTTACTTTTCAGGATTGGTACACGGATAAAATGTACAAAACATTTTCTGAATTTTGCAAATTCTATTTATTCAAATAGCCTGGTCTTGATTTTAGCATTTATTGTGGGTCTGTATTTCAATTATTTCAGTATACAAGTTAAACATGTATTTGTTTTATAGATAACATGAGATTAAGTTAGATAGTTATGCATCAGCTAAAATGTATTTGATAAATATATTTTTGATAAAAAATACAAAAATTGCATGCTTACTCATGATGGCGAGATTTTGAAGGTGGTGCAGATGTTGGTGTTGCCCGCGGAGTCATAAGAAGCTTACGAAAGTCTTCATTGGTCAATTTAGACCTATCACAAAAACAATTGCTTACAAAAACGCATAAAAACAGAATAAGTATAAGTATCATTATTCATTAATTTTGTATGCCAGCTGACTCCAAATGACTCTGAAAAAGTTAGAAAAATTAAAGCATTTGAAATACTGCAAAAATGTGCAATTTGTAGTACATAATTTATTAAGAAAAATTAAATGCCCCTATATAATATTCAGTTAGTATACCCATGTATTGTACATATGGTAGATTTCCCACAATCCCTGCTAGTGAGAAAATTACTTTGTGATGTCACATGATTTGCCCACTGATTATAGCATGAAAATTGGTCAGAAAAACCAGAAAGATATAGAAAAAAAATCAGAATGTTATAGTTCCATTGCACCCTTATTGTTTGCTTGGTCAGGTGGTATTTTATATAATTATCAAAAGTACACTGGATAAAGTGCCATTATCTAGCTCTCTACCTACCTACCTGTTTATTTATTAAATTTGTTTGCCACCCATCTTTCTGCAAGGCAACTCTAGGCAGCTTACAACATTAAACACTATTTTGGCCCTTTATAATCTCTAGGTAATATACACAAGTTTTTGCTGGCCAACGTAGTCCAATCAGCACTGACAAAGACCCTTTCCCTTGCCTCCCACTGCACCATTGTTTAATGACAAGGCTTGCTTTTCCTCCAAGTATAAATTGGAGATGGAAGCAGGGATAAACAAAGTGGTACTGCTAAGATTTTGCATTCTACATAAGTGTGAGAACAATTGGCAATCTTCAAAGTTCTATGTACAGAATACAGAAATTCTATTGTTGAACTTGGAGGAAAATGTCCCCTTAGCAATGTATATGACAAAAATTGGTCTGCAATACTGAAAGCTCTATCTTAAAGTAAAATTAAAAGTTCTACTCACTGGTGAAAAGAATGAGAATCATCCACATCATGGCCATCTGGGGCTAAAGGGTTCGAGAACGGCTCACCTAGAAAGGGAATTATAAGTAAACATAATATATCTGAAATATAAGTATGCATTTCATTCAAACAACCTTTTGTGACATTTTACTGCAGAAGTAAAATATCTGCAAAGAAATAATATCAAGAAATACCTGATATATAACTGATTTTCAGCCAGTTCCAAAGTGGTACTTTAACAGTGTGGGAAAATTAAGAGATTCAAGAAAGTACTTGTCCAGAACAGTATTAGCTTTCTTGCAGTCTACAGACCATTCTGTGAAACCCAGCAGGAAGGTACAGCGATGACAGAAACTATTTCTTCTTTATCTTAATTTTTCCACATTTCAACGTTCACAAATATAAACTCCTCTCCTCAATTGAATTTTTCTTTACAATACTTTGGTCTTTTTATTTTGTGCATAATAATTCATTATCTGTAGGAATATTAATATCTGTGTCTTGGAATTTGTACCAGAAATTTTTCAATTTTTTCCCCATTATTTTCTATGCAAGTAAAATCAAGGGACTAGCACAAAGTAATATGATCATTTGCAATACCTATTATTTGGAATCACTTCAGGATTCCTTGAAGACAGAAGAAACAAGGAGAGATTCCCAAAAGTCATGTGTGTAAATCCCACAGAAGCACAAAACATACATGCTTAAGAATCTGGTCATGTTTATAAAAATCAAGAGGTAAATTAAAATATAAAAGGGTAAAAAAATTTCCCATCAAACACAAAACTTTGGTTTTCACCAGTCCCTAAAAATGTAAAATAATAAGAATTAGAAACTGAGAGCAGCAAAAACTGCATTTCACAGTATTGAAAAAATGAAGAAATGCCATAATCAGGAAGACATAATCAGGAAAATTTTAGATTGTGCAGAAATGGATAGGCTCACGCTGAAAATGAAAGGGAAAGAAGATACAGAATATTTCCAAACATGGGATAATTTCTATAAATAGCTGGAAAACTGGAGTAGAGAGTAGAAATGGAAGTTGTATTACTATTGTTAAATATGTGAACCCAGACAACATGTTGTTTATTAAGAACTAAAGATTTGTAATTATAAAAACTTAATAAAAATATTTATATAAAAAAGAATTAGAAACCGATGATCATATTCAATTCTGAAATTGTAATTGAACAGGCAATACTTCATGTAAGTAACTCTTGCTTTTCCCTTCATTTTTCTCCTCAGATTTCCCCATTGAAAATTAGCATTTTTATATCTAATATAGTACAGCACAGAGCAAAATACAGAATATATAATTTAGGAAAAAACCTGGCATGTTTTGCAAAAATTTAGCAAACAAATCACAAATAAATAATAATCCATCATCCGAGTACTGTATTCTTTGCCCATCTGACTCCATAAAGCAGGGGTCTTCAAACTTGGCCCTTTTATGACTTGTGGACTTCAACTCCCAGAAATCCTCAGCCAGGCACGCTGGCTGAAGAATTCTGGGAGTTGAAGTCCACAAGTCATAAAAGGGCCAAGTTTGAAGACCCCTGCTATAAAGCTCTCTTCAAAGCTGCAATTAAAATCGAAAAAGCACCTGCTCTGTGATCGTCCATTCTTTTCAGGGAGAGGGTCCATCGTTCATTAGGGATTGTTTTACTGTATCCATCAAAAGGGAGCCAAGGAAAAAGACCCCCCTCCCAGCCTCCCCTCCCCCGCCACTCAGGAATAAAACAGGGAAGGGGCGGCAGACTGCCTAAGATCCCTCCGAACATGTATTCGCTGGCCCTTCATTTGACAGCAACAAGAAGCCCGAGGGCATTTCACCGACTCCCTCTCATCCCCCGCAGCCTTTAAGGTGACACTCACTGTCTCGCTCCGGCATTGTCGCTTCTCTTGAGATATTAACGGATCCAGCTGAAGTGACAAACAACCATCCACCGAACTCTGCCTCTTTCCCACAAGGCACCGCGCAGGGAAGGGCCCCTTAAGCCCCCTAGTGCACTGCGCGGCAACTTCCTGGGAGCTTAGAGATAAGATATAGTTCAATTTAGACTTGTCGAGATAGGCTATTTCCGGGTTGAGTTTCAGAATTAAGTTAGCCTTTCTTTCAATGATCTCTCATTAAAAATAACAGACAAATCAGGACTTCAGCATGTCTATTCAACAGATTGCAGCAAAAACACCAATTTCATTCAATATATATCAAGTCTTATTTTAACACTGAAAAACGTAATCCTTTTTTGAAGACTGAGGGAACTTTAAACGAACTTTTCATATTTTCTAGGTTGATTTCAACGGCTTTCCAGGTTCTCTGCCTAAATGTTTAGAAACTTAAACGCATCACTTTTTAAAACAATACATAACGTCTATACAGGACTTTGCGATATAGACTGCAAAGATACAATCTAGTGATCTTTCGTATGACCTGACCTAGCAGGCCCTATTTGGTTGCTTATAAAAATGTTGGTCTCGCTGTGCTGCCGCCTTTGTTTCTTCATAGATCAGCCGTTCCATCGCTGCTCTTCTAATTTTTCGCTGATTTCTATGCGTAGAAGAAATCCCTAGATCCAAGTACCTCAGAAAGTTCTGAGAAGAGAACAAAGATGCTAAGGGGTCTGGAGGCTGAACCTTACCAGGAAGATTGAGGGAACTACGGTAGGTATATCTTCTACTCTAACGAAGAGAAGCCGTAGAGGTGACATGATAGCTGTCCAAGTATTTGAGGAGGTGTCATAGAGAAGAGGGGTTCAACTTATTCTCCAAAGTTCTTGAGAGCAGGACAAGAAACGATCGGTGGAAGCTAGTAAGAGAGTGATCCAAAGGAGAAATTTCCTGACAATGAGAACAATTAATCAGTGGAACGACTTGCCTTCTGGGGTTGTGAGTGCTCCATAACTAGAAGTTTTCAAGATTGGACAGCCATTTGTTCGAAATGTAACAAGGTTTCCTGCCTTGGGCAGGGATTTGGACTAAACGAACAATCAATCAGAATAGAACTGGACGGGACCTTGGAGATCTTCTAGTCCAACCCCCTACTCAAGCAGGAGACCCTATACCATTTCAGATTGGTGGCTCTCCAGTCTTTTCTTAAAAACCTCCAGTGATGAAGACCTCCAAGGTCCCTTCCACCCCGATGATTCTAGTTTGCAGTTTTCAGTGCAGAACTTGTGCAGCCAGATACAGCTTTAAATCAAGAAAAAAATATGAGTTTTATATCTCTTCAAACACTCATAAGTCTATAAGCCGCGGCAGAGAATTATATATTTACTACCCATAACACCTCGCGCGCTTCTCATCCTGTTCGCGTCATTAAGCGTCGTCTGCTGCTAAGCGCCGGATTGGCTACAGCGAAGGCGCAGCAACGCCCACTGCCCGCGGGACATTGGGGCTGGCGGTCACCATGGCGGCCGCCGCAGTTGTCCGAACCGTTGGGGGTAGCCTTGGCCAGAATCTCAAGGAAATTCGGATCCACCTTTGCCAACACTCGGCGGCTAGTCAGGGAGTCCGGTAGGTGGAGAGGCGAGCAGGGATCTTATTCGACCCCTTTGTGGAGGGACATGGAAGCTGTGCCGCTTATCCTTTGGCGTTGCGCATCGCGCGGGCTAAAATGTGGATAGCATTGCTCAGCTTGGCGGTGGTGCATTGTGGGCATTTGAATAGGTTTCATTTAGTACGCTTCAGTATATTTGGCTATACGAGGGAGCCGTCCGAGAGTAAATGACTGGGAACACTGGAGGTACTTGGTATTCAAGGTATCGGAGGAAACAAAAGTTTCTTTCAGAAGTGGCTCCTGGCGGTTCAGAAAAAGAACCTCGCCCTGGCTGCTTGCTTAGGAGTTGCTAAGCGGATAAGCTGGCTGGAAGCAAATAGCGAGGTGCCCTCTGGGTTGCTATTAAGCTTTGTAGGAGAAAGCCCAGGAGGGGTTGATCCTAATCCTTACGTTTCAAGGCAGACGGCATTAAAACAAATCTTGCTTTCTTTACAATACAGAGAGCAGAGGAATTTTTAAGGGTGAATCATGATAGGACAGGCAGAGAGGATACATTGTAGCTAAGCAAAAAGGAGAAAAGATGTGTTCCCTGGAGCCTCCCCCTCCCCCCAGGAGAATGACAGAACCCACAGAAAGAAACCGAAAAGAACAGAACACCCCCCCTCCAACCAAAGGGATGGGTTCTGACAAGCATATTGTGTGATTAATATTTGTTAAATTTATTTGCTACCCATGTCATTGTTGAGAGACTCAAGGCTTACAATGTCATAAAAACAGCAATATAAATCATTAAAGTAAAACATTGAACATTGAAAGTTAATCAAAACTGGGTAAAATATGAATGAATACATGTTTTTTGTAGTTTTGGTAACTGAATGGAATAACATTCTTGAACTGAATGTATTGCAGAGATTTCATTGAACAACACTATGTCACATTGAAGAAGGCAAATCCAAACTTCCCCATCTTGATCAGAGAGTGCTCCAATGTTCATCCTATGCTTTGGGCTAGATATGGTGAGTTAGAAAAGGATTGCTAGCACAATAGAAACAGTTTGTTCAATTCACTCACCAGGGTTTGTTATTTATCTCTAAAACATTTTTTTTGAAATATATTATTGTTAAAAATGGGTTTTCTGCAGATATGAATTGCAGTTATTTGTAAGTCAAGGCTATTTTTACATAAACAATTGATGCCAACAATATATGCACATGTTGGCTTAATCTATTAAAAGAAATATAGAGTATTACAAACAGAAGGTAGAGATTCAATAGAGACTTTTGTGTTAATTCTATTACATAATATATAACAAACCTATGGTGAATTCTACATCCTTGCAACAGAGAGAAAAAAAATTGGCAGGTGCCAATATTGTATAGAGTAACTGGCAGAAAGGAAAATCTGTTAGAATCATAGACAAAAACAGATGCTCCTGTTAGTTTCTTTTACAGAGTTTTTACTTATCTTCTAATACAACATTTATTTTAAAAATAATGTTTTAAGAATCTAAGAATGTCTAAATATAATGTATTCAATTTACATTTTCATAGAAACATTTCTGTCACTCATAATTTATGTTGAGGCTGATTTTCTATTATCAATTGTTTAATTAAATGGACCTCCCAATGGCCAAATGCTTGAAATGTATGATATTAGTGCATCATGATTCTTTATTGCCTTCCATAAATAAGTGAAAACAGGATTTTAATCCTGTAATGGGAAAAATAATTACTACCAGTATTATGGAGGGCATCTTTCTTCTAACTGTATAACAAATTGTGATGACATTGAATCTTTATTTCTAAAAATCTGACCATCAAAATATAATACAAGGCAATGAAAATAATAAGCCCTGTATGGACTAATGGATAAAGTTGTTGACTGAACAAAAGTGCTGTATTATTGTTATAGTAAAACTTAATGTCTTTGTGGAGTGGATATATTTGCCTACATCCCTATTAATAGATCTTTTTAAAATTGTACAATCTAGTTGAATTATAAAGCAGGATAGATTTCAGAATTAGATGGGAATGGGAGAAATGCTCTGCTTGCAATGAGTATTGCAATCTAAAAGGGCCTTCTGTGACTCATAAATGGTAGACTATACTCCTAGATATAGTCTGTTATTATTTTGATCTCTCACTTGTCCAAATTCCTGGTTTAGAGAAAATTGAACAATTGATGAAGCAAAATTGGGAGGGACATGTGAATTTCAGCTCTGGCTGTGTTCATATAATATGCTTAACAAGCGAGCTAAAAATCCTAGAGGTTGCACTCATGCCATATATACTCTGTGCATCTTGGGTTTTGGTGTCATAGCATGATATGCCAGGTTATATTGGGTTGATATTCTGGGCATTGTATGCCCCAAGAAGATAGGCAATAGAGTATATATAAATATAACCTATTAAAATGAGTTGTGTATAGACTATAGGTACTCCTCGAGATAGATAGCTCACTTAACCTCATTCTGAAGTTATGAACCCCCGAAGTTAAATAGATGCTGTTTCAAACTGTAGCACCATGATGGTCATTCAGCCTTACAAATGATCACAAAAATGCTGCAACATCCCCACCTCTTTCATCCCATCCCACCCCATTGGGAACTCATAGTGCTTGGGCCTGCTCCCAATGCCTCCTGGAAGCAGCTGTCATTTTACTTGTGGAAATGGCGGCTGTTTTTGAAATTTTCTGCCCTATCAGCTGGCTGTCAGGAGATTGCAAACCTCTCCTGGCTCTTGCTAGACTTTGGGGAAATCAGTACCTACATGCAAAGACAGCAGCTTCAAAGGAGCATCTCAAAACCTTTCCCTTGCTTAACCCCTCCCTCCCCCAGAAACCCATATATCTTCAATAAAAAATTAAAAAGCTGGGGGATATGTTGATCTTTCTCTTCTCTCCCTCCAATTGCCATCTTTTTTAACTATCCCATTTGCCAAATTTACTGCATGCCTGGAAAAAGGGTGAAAAAAAATCTGTAAGTTACTTATATTGATGGGTGACTGCCAGGCTGAAGAGTAAAGGAAAGAAGTGAACAAAATCTTTCTGCAGCTTGCATTGAGATGAAGAAAAAACTCAGGTCAAAATGTTCAGGCGGCTAGAGCACAACGTGTGAAGCAAATGGGCAGGGCAGAAGCTGAGCTCTTGGAAAGTTAATTGCTATTTAGCTGACTGCCTTTAGAGCAAAATTTAAGTTTAATTAATTTAATTTAGACTAAATTACTGGATCAGGGAAATACTGTCAACATAGTTTATTTAGACTTCAGTAAGACATTTGACATAGTAGACCATAACCTACTTTCTTGGTAAGATTGAAAAATGTGAGGTAAATAGTATCACCACCAGATGGATTCGCAACTGGCTGACCAATCACACTTAATGTGTAGTCCTCAATGGAACTACATCTAAATGTAAGTATGCAGTGTGGTACTTCAAGATTCTGTCTTAGACCCAGTATTCTTCAACATCTTCATAAATGATCTAGACTAGGGAGAGGAACTCATCAAATTTGCAGGAAATATCAAGGGGGGGGGCAACACCTTAGAAGATGGGCTCAAGATTCAGAAGGACTACTTGAACACTGGGCCCTATCCAATAAAATGCAGTTCGGTGATGAAAAAAGGTTTACGCTTAGGCAAGAAAAACCAAATGCGCAGGTATAAAATAGGTGGTACCTGATTCAAAAACAGTAACTGTGAGAGGATCTAGGCCAGTGGTTCTCAACCTATGGGTCATTCGAATGACCATTTCACGGGGGTCGCCAAACCACGCTGTCCGCCATTTTTTTCCCTTTTCCCTAGCTGTCCTATTCCCTCTTATTGATGGCCACACCCACTTGGGGGTCACCACAACATGGGGAACTGTATTATGGCGTCACGGTATTAGAAAGGTTGAGAACCACTGATCTAGGCATTCCAGTGAACAACCAGTTAAATATGAGCCAGCAGTGTGCTTCAGTTGCCAAAAAAGCCAGTGCAGTCTTAGGCTATATCGACAGAGGGATTGTATCAAGATAATGCAAAGTGATAGTACTGCTTTATACTGCATTAGTAGGACACACTTGGAATACTATGCCCCATCCCATTCTGGTCACAATACAAAAAAGTTGTTGAGACTCTAGAAAAAGTGAGTACAACAATAACAACGAAGAGTAGAGATCTGGAACTAAACTGTATGAATGGTTGCACGAACTAGATATATCTAGTCTGGTGAAGAGAAGGATTAGTGATGACATGATAGCAGTTTTCCAATACTTAAGGGACTGTCACAGAGAAGAGGGGGTTGATCTATTCTCCAAAGCACCTGAGTGCAGGACAAGAAGAAACAGATGGAAGATTATTAAAGAGAGATCCAACCTAGAATTAAGGAGAAATGAGAACAATCAGTGGAGAGGCTTGCTTCCTCACTGGAGGTTTTCAAGAGATTGGATTTATCGGGAATGGTACAGAGTCGCTTCCAATTCTGTTATTCTGCGATTCTATACTTGTGACCGTAATAGGCAGGCTCCATTATGGTTGTAGGTCGAGGATTTTCTGTATTACAGAAAGTGCTGCTGTCACATCACAAAGAAAATATATCTTCATCAATGGAGCAGCCTTTTTTTTCTCTCATACAATTCAATGCCAGCTGAAAACATTTTAGAAAAACAGTACTGTGCATATATATTTTATCCCCATAGGCTTTTCTCTGAATTGTATTAGCAAATTTTAGGTAAGCAATTCAGTTATAAAAGACCTGTAGATTAAAAAACATGATTGTCTTTTGAAACCTTAGAATTATCTTTGAAGTCTATAAGATTTTTTTAAAAATCAAATTTGCTTTTTTACAGCTTTTGGGCTAGAAAAGAATGTGTCACTGAATAACCTAAATGTGGACCAAGTTGCCAAAGCCTTGGAGAATGCTGTTAATAGCAAAATATGAAGATAATCCTATATTTGTGTTTGATTCTAAAATAATATATATATATATTCATTTGTAATTTCCATGTAATTAATTGTGATCTACAAATAAAGTCATGTACAATGTGTCTTGTTTTGGTCAACATATGTACCACGGCAATCTAAGCAGTGTAGTGAAAACATGCAGAGCAAGACTTCTAGAATTCTTTCCCACTCATTTACCAGCAGTGGCCAGAAGAAGTTGTGTTCATTCTTCTGATTTTTTTTCTACACTTCCCTCCATATTATATCAGTGTGTGGGTGTGCACTGGGAAATATATGGTGGATAACATTCACTCCAGTTTGGATCACATCACCAGAAAGAAGGGGAGCTTAGAATGGAAATCAGCAACTTTTGAATTTATGTACCATAAATGCCGGCGTATAAGACGACTTCTGCGAGCGCTGAAATCGGCGCCAAAGACGGGGGTCGTCTTATACGCCGGAAATACTGGTAGTTTCCGGTGTATAAGACGACGTTCTAGGAATGCGGCCCGGCTATAAAGACGGGGGTTGTCTTATACGCCGGGTCGCCTAATACGCCGGCATATACGGTATTTATTAAATTGCTGTCCAATAGACTCCAAAAATGATGTATTGGTGGATTTTTTTCCTGGAGAGGTTTTTTCCACATTCACCAACACATCCAGTTTATTTTAAACTGGGTCCATTTTTGCTGGCTTCTCTCACCCAACCAACTAAATATTAGAAGCATATATAATAACCAATTCAATGAAGAAAAATATGTGTTAAATCTGCAGGTTGGAATGCAGGACTTTGGCAAAGTATTAATGATAAATTTGAAAACTACATTCATTATGCTTAAAGTGTAAATCCAAATAGAAATACCTTAAATTCATACAAACTACTACAAATGCTTTCTATATGATCTAATAAACCTATAACCACTTTTAGATAAATTCCATTAAATTCAGCGAAATTCACTCCTGAATATTTATTTAAAACATTTTTATTAATTGTGCTAATTTTTACAGAATTCCTGGAATGCCTTAATACATATACTCCTTTTTTTAAAAAAAAAATGCTTTGATTTCATTTTTCAGCTGAAGGGAAAAGAAATGTATGTGAGCACAAATGCTCAGAAAGGAAAGGTGCTGATGGATGTGGATGTCAGTCTGTGAGAAAGAGAACACAAGAGCATAGGGATGTATTCTGTAAGATAATCCTTTTGAGATAAATTGGTTCAAAAATTGTTGCTCTATGATGAATGTTTTGTTCAAAATGAAAGTTACAAATGATACAGATATGAGAGATTTAGTAGTACAGTGCTGTTCAAAGGGTTTTGTTCAAAATTTGTTGGCAACAGGTTAATATAATTCATTTACATATGTCATTGCTTCAATTTTGTAAAGAGGTAAAATGAAGATTTTCAGTTCCAAGGGTATTATTTTGAGGGACAGCAGTTATCTGGCTAACTGTTTGAATTAGCACTTTGACTCGCTCTTGCAAATGTAGGTTGTCTTGATGCTGCTGTAAGGCGTATAGTCCAGAATGATTTACAAAGTCAACAGCAGCCTGGCAGAGTGAAAGAACATACACATTAGTATTGAAACTGCTAATACACCCTGGATTAGAAAATATAATAATACTGTGATACACCATGCATAAAAGTCTACCTTTGGCCAGTAAAGGAAGATAAGATGTAATAGTTCTAGATCTTGGCCTATTACTTGGACATCAGAAACAAGAAGGATATTTACAAGAGAAGGAAGCACAGCTTTTTGGTGCAGCATTTCACAGTAGGCAGCACCCTTGGCAGCTATATTGCACAACACTGTTAGAACCTAAAGGGGAAGATGGAATCAGAAACTAAGATGAGTAACTTCAGTTACCAATATCAATTTATACAGATATTAAAAACTTACCTTAAATATCTTACATTATTTACAAAGATTTCTTCATTGCCTTTCCACTAAGATTCAGGACACAGTATCAATGTATCTGAATCCTCACACATGAAAGCCAACAATACTTTATTGATAAGCCACATATATTTTAAATTGGAATAAAGCCATAAAAATAAATAAAAACAGAAACTGCATTCAGAGGTACTTAGCGCCTTTTTAATTTACCTCAATCCGATTTACATATATTTGGCTCTTTATTTGGCTCTTACCTGCATTATTTTATTCAAAAACGGGCTGTTTAATATTTGTGTTCTGATCACAATAACATGTTACTCTAAGATAAGGGGTACCAGTGAACCACTTGTCTTCTATACAGTTGCAAATAATAATATCTTTTTATATGATATGTATGTATGTTCATAAGGGATTCACTTTCAAATTTCACATGGGTAAATTCCCTAAGATACTTGGGGCTTTTAAAATATATTAAATACATTTCAATTTGAAAATTAATGTATATGTAATTATATTTCTAAGTTCATCCATCCTATCATACCAGCCTTAACTGAGAGTAACAATATATACAATATATACTCCTATACCGTATCAGAGATTATTTGTGTAGCTATTTTCTGAACTTGAAGAGATACAGCTAAACAAGAGATGGAAACCTACAATTCCTAATATAATGTGGCAGCAGTACTATCCAAGTGGAGTCTAAATGAAGCTTAGTTTATTCTAACAGTAACAATTTTGGGAATCTTAATTTCCATGAAGTAATTTTCGACCAATAATTATATTCCCTAATTTTTGAATGAGTAAAAATGGAAACATTCCCAATTTGGCTCTAACTACAGCAGTTGGAATCTTTTATCCACACTCAATAAACTAATTTCAATAATTTACTTGAAAGGTCCAGAAAAAAAGACAAACATAAGCTGAGGTAATCTCCTGGTAACTCAAGAGATGGTGATCTGAGCACATCCAAATATGCTATGAAATTTTCAAATGTGCCCATTAGGCCATAATAACTGAACATTTCTAATCTATAGAAATAGGAAATGACCTATGATCATTTGTTTAGCAACTGTTTAAAGTTAAGATGGTGGTTACGACCAATCCTTGGAGTTTTGGCTATCCCAGCACTGCCTTGGTCAAGAGATTGCAATCTGTGTGTTGGCAATCACACTTGATTGCCATTTGCAACCTTCTGGCAGAAAAGGTTGCAAGTTGCTGGGGTAAGTCCCACATGCATGTAATCTTCCCCAATCCCTTTGTATTTGCACCACACTGGCCATGTGTGCACCCCCCCTAATCTATTGGACATCCATGCACAACACTGACCTGTATTATTCCTCTTGTGTACCCTAATGTACCCTCCGCAACCTGTGCTTCTTGTGCATCCTCCACAATCAATGCCTCTTGCATCCCCTCTTGCGCCCTACCTGACTCATGCCTCTCATGCACCCTCTCCTCCGATTCACGCTTCTTGTGCATCTCCGCACGCACACTCCCTGATCCATAGTGCACCTCTCCTCCTTTCCCAACCCACACACTACTTGCTCTTCCCCTTGCACCCTCCTGACCCATGTTACACCTCTCGCACACCCTTGCCAACCTTCCCCAATACTTTTAAGGATGCCCTCACTCCTTTTGCATTGTCCCAGCATATTGTGTAAAGATCAGTTTTCTGAAGCAGTTACTTTGCCTTGATTAGTGGCAGGGCAAACAGTTTCATGTATGTCTTCAACTTAACCTTGCCAAAAATATCACTAAAAAGAGCTATTCGTATCAAACTGTGAATACGCAGTTCCAGATTTTTCACAATGACAACATTTTAGAAACAATATTTTTACCTACCAGCAACCTGATCACCTGATAAGAACATAAGAGCTTCAACAGATACGGAAAGACTTCCAGGCCGAGCAGAGCAGAACAAGATGTGGTGCTGCGAACTGAGAACAATACAGAAAAATCAGGCATTCGTTTACAGGTAGTCTTTGATCTAGGCCATTTGTTTAATGATAGTTTAAAGTTATGATCATGTTAAAAAAATGACTTATGACCAGTCCTTGAAATTATAGCCATCACATGCACACCCCAGTCACCTGATCAGAATTCAGATTCTTGGCAGCTAACTCCCATTTACAACGGTTGCACCATCCTGCAGTCATGTGATACTGATTTGTGGCCTTCCCAGCTATCTTCCAATAAGCAAAGTCAATGGGGAAGCCAGCAGGAAAGGTGGAAAATCATGATCATGTGATGTCTTGCTTAATAACCAGTGATTCAATTAATGACCATGGCAAAAAGGTCATAAAATTGTGTGCAGTCCCATGCCTCATTTAACTGGATTTTTCAGTCCCAATTATGATAAGTTGAGGACTCCCTGTCTGGAAGTTAAGTCATGTCAACCGATTTATTTTTTTTGTTGGTTTGAAACATTTCACTGTTTATCCAAGTAGCTTCTTCAGTCAGAGAAAGTTATTCTAACTCCTAAAAGTCTTAGGCATCATTAAGTATGGCCTCCCTGCTGAACCTGTAAAATGCTCTTAATCTTCTTGGGGACTGATAAGACAGCAGCACAAAAATGGGGGAGAGGTTGTGTCTGAAGTTTCCACTTCTATTGAGGGAAAGCTTTTCAACTAAATGGACACTTTCACTCCTCTCTCAAGCCATTTGCTGCATGTCCCCCCAAAATAAGCCCTAGCTCTTTTACACGTGCACGCAATATAAGCCCTACCACAAAAATAAGCCCTGGTTTTGGTGCAAGGCACACGCATAAAAATCAAGCTAGGGCAGGGTGGAGTTGCCTCACGGGCCACACACCCACTTAGGACTGCTGCAGCCAGACTTCCTATGCCCCGACACCTGTCATGCCGCTGCCCGAGTTCTACGGCCACTTGCCATGTGGCGCATCATGCTGCTGCCACCACTCGGCTACACGGCGCATCACACAGGTGCTGCTGCAAGCGGCAGCAGTGCAATTTGCACGAGCCACATGGTTTCCTACTGCAAGTGGCAGCAGCGGCATGATTGGCGTGATGAGCCATGTGGCCTCCTGTTGAGTGGCGGCAGCAGCGTGATGTGCCATGTGGCACGTGGCTGCAAGCAGCCAGAATTCAGGTAGGGTGCGACGGGTCAGGGCATGGGAGGCCTGGCTGTGGTGGTCCTAAGGCAGGGGTAGGCAACCTTGGCTCTTTTATGACTCGTGGACTTCAACTCCCAGAATTCCTGAGCCAGCATGTAAGACATCCCCCGAAAATAAGACTGATGCCTCTTTTGGAGGCAATATATATATTATATTGCTGATTCTGGTCCTGTGGTACTGTTTCTCCTGTGCTGGGCCACTTATGTAGAGCTCTGAACTCACTGAACTGAATTGCATACACTATATTGCTCTTCTTATGTTTTGGTGTCCAGTCTTTAGAGTGGACAAACCTCTGTCTCAGTGTGTTGGTGAGTTTGAAGAACATATTTATGTGATGTTTCCCAAATATCTGTTTTAGCTTCTCCAATACATCAGCCATGTAAGGAAGGACCAGATTCTTCTGCTGACTCTGAGTCTCAGCTTGCCTGCCATTCTTTTGTTGGATCCAGATGCTGATTTAATAAAGGCCCAATCTGAATATCCATAAGCCTTAGAGAGCTGTCCTCAGATGCCTGTATTTCTTCTTTTGGGCATCCCTGGAAGTGGGAATGTTTTCTGCCTGTGACGTAATGTCCAGATGACTCCTAGTTTATGTTGGTGGGCGTGGTGGGAGTCAAACAGCAGTTATTGGGTTCTGTGTGGTGGTTTCCTGTAGCTTTCCATTTCTAGGTTGCCATAGGACTCAATAGAAGTGGAGTTCAGGCATAACCTGTCCTCTACTTTTTATGCTGCTCTTTCATTAGTCCCAGCAAGATTAAGACCTCTTCACAAGTTCTCCAGGGAGGCCACACTTGATGACCCCTAAGAATTTTATGAGTTGGTACATTCCAAAAACTCTGCCTACTCAGATTCCCTCTAACCAACTTGCTCAGACTGAAGAAGCTACTTGGATAAGCAGTAAACCATACAAGAAAATAAGTTGCCATGCCGCAACTTCTAAACAATTCTACCTGGATGACTGAAAATCTTCATCGATATATTGAGGACTACCTGTATTTTACTTAGTACATATAGGTAATATGGAGTTGAACAAGAACTGTATTACTGAATCTGGATTTTACCACTTCTCAAAAACAGATTTTGCTCTGAGCAAGGATGTTCTATCCTACAATAAGCACTGTCTTTATTAATCTGCAATGTTCTAAAATTAGACAGTTGTTAATATTCTAACCAATTCTTTTAACTGAGTTCTTAGTATTATCAAAGCTATTACTCTTTGGAAGAGTATAAATGGCAACAAAAGAAAGACTAGCAATCCTGTTGTTCTCTGAACCAGAATATCCGAAATGTATTCAGGGGACATACCGGTGAGGTTGTTCATGAGCCACAGACATTCGCTCACAACAAAGGTGTGTATGGGGAGGAAATACTGCATAAAGACAAATAAGGCCTTCAGAAGGCACTCTTCCTTTATTAGCAGTTCATCAGTATTTGCTTCATCTTCCGCAATAAGATTGCCAACACACCGCACAACAGGGCATATCAACTGAAAGTAAAATAATATGAGATATATTCAGAAAAAAGTTTCTGAGTCTTAGTCTGGTAAATCCAATATACAGTATTTCCCTTTCACTTTACCAATTCTAGACTCTCAACAGAAGTTGTTGCTATCCGAGAGGACAATTCCAGCAACAGTTGCACTAGGGATAGCACAGTCCTTTGGGAGATCAATAATGAATTGTTCACTTGGCTACAAATAGAAGGAAACCAAAAGATAAGCATTCTGTGTCAGCAACATGGATACAGCCCAATGCTTCTCCTTTCCACTACTGTAATCCTCCCCACATTCATTTTTCAGGACACCAGATTTTGAATGTTCACAATCTGAGTGGAAGCCATGGAACGTAAGAAACGCAGATTTAGCTACAGTAGAAACTTCTTAGCAATTTTGATCTATTATCTAGAACAACCCCCAGTCCGTGGACCAGTACCGGGCCACGGCATGCCAGGAACCAGTCCTCACAAACAAGCAAAGCTCCATCCATGGGATGCAGGCAGCACACAAAACCACGCACCCCCCCCCCCAGTCAGCGGAAAAACCTCTCTCCATGGAACCAAGTCCGTGGTGCCCAAAAGGTTGGGGACCTCTGATCTAGAAGCTTACCTCTTTGGGTTTACATTACCTTATAGGAAAGAAATTAGAATATACCTTCTATTTGGGTTTACATTATCTTACAGGAAAGAAATTAGAATATACCTTCTATTTATTCCAGATCTGTAAAGTAATGGATTTATTTCATATGTTGAAGATTGCATTCATAATAATCTAAACAGAAATTTAGATGTGTGGAAATATCACTTCTGGTATTCATAATAAGTATTGATCTCATTGCACAAACATCTATAGTATTCCATTCTAAATGATACGATATATGGTAAATATCTGTTTTCTTATTCCAGAATGCAGGACATACAATAATGGTCTAAAGTTAGAGTAAGACAGATGAACTGGCTATAATGGGGGGAATCCTGTTCATATTTCAATACATCCACGGCTTCCATCAAACTGGCATGCCCTCATTGCCTACCAAATGGACTATTTTAATCTATTCAAAATGGTTAATGGCTGGAAGGGTACCTTTATGTCAATAGAGAAGTCTTTGCAGTTTTCTTGGCAACATTTTTGGAAATTGTTTTGTCATTGCCTCCTTCCTAAGGCTGGCAAGATTGACTGGCCCACCCAGCTGGGCTTGTGTCTAAGGCAGGATTAGAACTCAGAGTGTCCTAATTTCTAGACCACTGCCTTTAAGTAGTACATCAAACTGGCTTGCTCGGTTCAAAATTGGACTATCCTTATCCAAAATTTTCGGCTGATACAAAATGCAGCCTGGTAGTGGGGACCTCCTAATAATATTTCGCAATGCCAGTACTTTCAGGAATTGTGCTGGCTAGCAATTTGTCTCCAATACAATTCAAAGTACTAGTAATAAAGGCCTTTATTGCTTGGGGCATAGATTTCTTATTCACAATCTATTCACCCAAGGTGTGCAACACAGGAACCATATTAAAAGTCGCTATCCTCCACTTTCAAGAGGCAAGAGATTTAGAAACAAGCATTTTTCTTAATAGGGAACTGCTTTTCTCTGGAAATAAAATCAACATCCTCATTGTTAATATTTAGAAAACTGGTGAAAACTCACTGTATTTAAGCAAGCATTCAGAAATTAAGATATGTAGAAATTAAGATATGTAGCTAGTAGTTGAGCATTATAAATGATATTGACAATATGACTTTTACTACTGATATTATATATATGAATGTGTATGGTATTGCTTTTTATTGCACCTGTTTTTGTAAGGCATTCAGATTGTTTTTTTTTTCCCCTGAAGCAAAATAAAAGCACTTGTAAATATATAAACCCAGTTCTTTTTCTCCTGACTTTTCAATTGTACTGGTAGCTGGTTCTGTCTTTCTTTGTTCTTGCTCTTTGACTTCAAGCAGATTGGAAATTTCCTTTTTCCTGATTTTCTGACATAATCATGTTACCTTAAAAATCCAATGATATGATGCCAAAGGACCAACTTTCTGTGTTATTTTTATTGTAAATCTATGTATACAATTACCTAATGTATTTATGGAATGATAAATAGAATCCTATCAAAAGGATTGTTTTGTTCTGTTTTCTATTTATTGACCCACACACCTTCTAAACAAAACAGAAAGGCAACCAGAGAAGTAATCTAGCACATGAACTAACCTCATGTCCTATTTAAAATAACAATGTTTTCTTCTTCAGGGAAAGCCTGTAACCAAATTCTGTTTAATGACTAGCCCTGCTACCAACTGTCTTTTGATCAACATTTTCCCCATCCTTTGTTGCTAAGGAGATTAATTAATTCTTTAATGCCCACTCCTCCCACAATGACACTAGGTTTCTTTTCTCACAATTTATCTACAAAGTCTGGAATGAAAAACTATGCCTACTGCTTAACGTTTATTCCCCTCTATATGCTGACTACTATTTCAGACCTTCATTGTCCACAAAATATATTTACCTGCAAATAATGTAGTGAAGACCCCAGGCACATTCCACTGCAGTTCCTATTCTGCCTTCCAGCCTGGAACAAACCAAGTGAAGCATGTGTTGAGGGAGAGTGGATTCTAAGAGCAACCTGCAGACAAAAAGAAAATATTATTTAATTATTAAGTAGAGAACTAAGCAATCAGATAAGCACTGTCATATTAGAGAAGCTTATATGGTGTGAAAGAAAACACTATACTATGGAGGCCTTGATAAATGCAGCAAGAATTTATATATAATTTTATAGGGATACTACATGTTAATTTTCTGCATTTATTAAAATGTATATAGGTACTGATTAAGGCATCAGGCTAGAAGTGGAGAGGCTCTAGTCCTGCACTCTAGTCCTGCCTTAGGCATCAAGACAGTTTGGTAACCTTGGACCAGTCACTTTTCTCAGCTTTAGAAAGGAGACAATGACAAACCACTTCTGAAAAATGTTGCCAAGAAAACTGCAAGAACTATCTATGCAATCTCCAAGAACTGAGCATGATTAAGAAGAAATTTTTAAAATGACCAAGGAAGATACAAAACAGGGGTCTTCAAACTCGACCCTTTTATGACTCATGGACTTTAACTCCCAGAATTCTTCAGCCAGGCACGCTGGCTGAGGAATTCTGGGAGTTGAAGTCCATGAGTCATAAAAGGGCCGAGTTTGAAGACCCCTGATATACATGAAAAGGCAAAAAGAGATTATTTCTTTTTTATGGGAGGTTGTGCAAGTGACTGGCAAAATGCAGCTTACCTGTGAGAAGTAGCCCACTAGAGGCTAGCCTACTAATAAGCACCTCATTTGCCCCATATCACCCAGGACACTGTTGCTGCAGGAGCAGTTTCCAAGAGACATACCTCCTTGAGCAGCCCTCGTGCCCCAGCTTGACATTGCCATTGTCCAGTGAGGGCAGGAGGAACTGAAAAATGGTATTTGGATCCACGTGGGCATCACATAACCACAAAAGCATGTAATTCCTAATTTCAATTTCACTTACGGTATGATTTCAGCTGGAGCTTCCTTGGATTGCAAGAGTTGTGACAGAACGTAGCCAACACCTTCTTGTATCGTCACATGAGGAGACTGAAATTAAGCAATCCAACTCATCATTCAATAGTTTAGGGTCAAAGAGTCAGTTGGAGAACGAAACAGAGAATAGCAACACATGCACAAGAAAACAGATTGTTCTAAATATCTCACAAATTGTGCAGAAATATCCTACAAAAATCCTCTTGTCTGGTAGATTGTGCTAAGTTCAGTGAAGAAAAAGCTGTAACGCTGACAATTCAGTTGCCTAAATTCAGTAGCATTTCTAACAGTTTTGTGCAGAAAATAATATATTAGACCTGTGGTCAAGGTTACCTATGCAAGAACTATCTCAGAATATAGAAATACTAAAAAGTTTCTCAATAGGTTAAGCAACTCTTAGTAATACAGTAACAAGCTATACTAAAAAAAAAAGGAAGCTACCCTCTTTGAAAATTATTTTAATGTCTTAAGTAACTGTAAGATATAGCACATGCTACGGAAAAAGGAGATTCCAATTTTTTTTAGTCATGGAGAATGAAAAATGAGTGCATTATAATAGTTGACGCATTCAATCAAGACTAGGAATACCCATTTACTCTTGGATGTCATTGCAAGGTCTTGGGCCAGTCATTATTTCTCAGTGTAACTTACATCACACAATTATTATAGTAAGAATTAAAGAAAGAAAATCTCACATTTACATCAGGAAGGCCAATAAAAATGTAATAAATAAAAGTAATTCATTACTCAAAAACTGATAGTCAAAAATGGCTGGGCTAAGAATTATATTTGATACTCACCTGGATACAGGATGCCAACACTGGGATAATGCCTTGAGGTAGAAGGTGCTTCTTCACAGCTTTCATCTCAACTACTAAGTTCCCTAATGTGTATAAACACAGCTCCTGAAATACATTAGGAAAGAGTATGTTCCTCCCCTATGTTCACTCTAGTCTAACTGCAGCTTTATAAACAAGAGCTGCAAACAAGAGTAAGACTGGTAAATATTTGGAAATTTAGATGCATAATAACTATTCTAGGAGTAAAAAGGTAAAGTATATAATTTCTATAGCAACAGAAAAAAAACAAATATGTTTTATACCATACACGAAGCATTCCCATTTGGATGTTGGGATCTAGGTGAGCTGTGTTTTTAAAGTGTTTTTTAATAAGTTTCTACTGTGCAAAACAACTCATCTAATTTCCATATGATCCTCAGAACCTTCCCTCCTGGAATCAAATGGTCTGCTCTTATACCATCAAAATTGCAAAAAAACAAAAACAAACCTTGGCTTATCAGATCTGTGCCATACGAACTCAGTTTGTTGCCACTACCTAGTAGATGACCACAGACATTTTGACTTACCTTTTCTTTTTAAAGCAAATAATAGCTTACTAAAAAGAACCATTCTGAAATTATTACATTCTATAAGTAGAATTACACAGAGTTAGTAATTTAGTCACTTCTGGCTTAACAGAAGTAAGAACTATTAAGCACAAGATTCCATCTTACCATGAGAGCTACACTGTGTCCAGAAAGGTAAGTCAGGAGATAAGAAGTTGCTGGTAAGCATGCTTCGACCACAGCAGAATCAGTAGACAGTGAAAGTTCGTGTAAACAGCAAGCCGCATCCATCTGCAGATTGGCTAGATTGCTGGTAAATAGGCCAATCAGCGCAGTCATACTTCCCTCTAACCTATCAATTAAAACATATATATTCTCCTGCTACAATGCATTCTTGCTGGATATGTCTGCCAAGGAAAGCAATGCACAGTTGAAAGTAACCTAGTAAAACAGTTACAGGTGATCTGACTCTTGTCAGCCCTTCATACTAGTCCAGACAAGAAGCACAAACTATGAGTATTAATATTATCTACATTATAAGGCTACAATAACAAAAACTTACAAGTCTGAAAGTATTTCTCACCTCCTTTACTTTTATTTTCCAGAAAACTAGGGAGGATCTAGTTCACAGGTTGGCAACCTGCAGCTCCAGAGCCACATGCAGCTCTTTGAGCCTTCCCCTGTGGCTCCCAGCCTCCTCTGCCATGTGCAGAGAGAGACAGGGACAGAGAGAGGCAATTGCACTTCCCTGCCTCTCTCTCTGTCTCTCTGTGTGTTTGTGTTTGTGTGTTTGTATAAAAGAGAGTGGACTCACAGTGTTCTCTGACAAACTGAAAAGCTTTTTGGGAGGGTCTCCTCCTTTTGCTGCGTCTCTGCAGGAAGCAGGAAGGGCAGGAGAGAGCTAGCTGGCCCAGCTATTCAAAATAAATAAGCGTGAGCACTAGGGAATTCTAAACTATAAAAGTTTAATAAAAAACACCAAGCTTATACACACACACACACACACACACACACACACACACACACACACACACGGTAAAAAAGGATATATGCAGTGTTATCTTCATTTTAGATGTCAAAAGGGTTTTGCAGCTCTCAGTGTTTTGTTTTCGGTGGGAAACAGTGTCTCTTTGAGTGTTTTGGGTTGCCTACCCCTGATCTAGTTCTTTCTTCTGTCTTTCAAGATCATTCCCACATACCATTACAACCCAAGAGGCCAGGATAAGCAAAAGTGAATAGCATTTATGGAACCAGAACAACAATAAAAACTTGAGTGCATTTACTCCCCTCACCAAGAGAACTGGAATAGAATACAACATGTACATTTTTGAACACAGATCAGAAAGTTTAAAGATTTGGGTTTTTTTTCCCCTTCCAAATTTGAGTTATCTATTGCAGGTTTGAAGTACATCAGCTAAGTGGAGCAAAGGGGCTGCTAAGTAACTCCCCATTCATAATATTTGTTTCTGAAGCTGTTGATTTTTTCCTATATAAGAAAAGGCAAAGGTACAAAATTATCTACATTCAAAACACTGAACAGTAATAGGTGCAGAAGTTCATCTTCTTAACCCCTGTATAAATCAGAATTAAATTCCTATAATCTGTCCTGCTAAAATAAAATTAATATCTAACTTCTTAGTGAGGACTGAAAGTTAATTAAAATTAACCAAGAAAATGGATGCTCCTCTACATATGAAATGTGAATATTTTGTAATTAAGTGTTTATATACAAACTTAAATTTTCTCCTTCTGTGCCAAGCAAAAGAGTGTAAAAGCAAAAGACATAAATATTTATGAAGAAGGAACCAAAGCAATGCCTTTCCTACCAAGTAACCAAGAAAGGCAGACTCCTGTTGGTATAATATAAAATATATATCTTTATATTTTTCTTTTTAGGAAGGTTTTTACCACTAATGCTTCCTATTCCAGACTGTTATACAGGTCAACTGCAAATACTTGATTTAGAGAGAAAATTAACTTAACCTCCCTTAAGTTCCAGCAAATTCCTTTAAACTCTATTTGCTCACTCAATGACGAAGTTATAATACATATAAAAATTGATAACAAATGACGTCTTCAAGACCAAATGCAGAAAAAAGGCAGTAAAACTGGAATTCTATAATATGTTCTGCTTTAAAAGACATACATTAAAAGATGCCTTCTGGATTCAACAGGAAAATTTCCTGAAAGCTCTAAAACCAATTGCTTAAGCTATTACGGATACTCTTAAATCTAGACACTGAAACAAGTAATAAGGTAGATGCTTCTGAATCTAGACATTGAAATAATGAGCCAAATCTTACCAAACAACCAAATCAGCCATTTCCCAATGGTTATATGTAGATGTTCACTAGCATATAAGTCAAGATCAAAGCCTTGGAGGACCCATGTTACCCAGCCATGTTACCCTTCTGAAAACAATGGGGGGGAGGGGGGAAGGCAGTGGGAAAGGCCTCCTGCCCAGATACTTCTAAAATGTGGCAGCATGAAGTCTAGGTTAGTGTTTCCCAAACTTGACAATTTTAAGGCATGTGGACTTCAACTCCCAGAATTCCACAGCCAGCGTTGCTGGCTGTGGAACTCTAGGAGTTGAAGTCCTCATGCCTTAAAATTGTCAAGTTTGGGAAACACTGGTCTAGGTCATCCTATCCAGCCAAAGAAGCAATTTCTACTAAGGATCATTCTATAATGGAAGCATACATCAGCTAACCTGATAAATTTCTGCTGGATTTCTCTGTGCTGTAGTCCTTGTCGAAGAAGATGCATGGAGGCTGTTCTGTCTTCTGTTCCTCTCTGGGTCTTTTTTAAAAGCTGTGAAACCTGCCAGCGAGCAATACTGAATCAACACAAAACTTTACCGAGAAACCAAATTTTTGAGATGGAAGCTTGTTTTTTATTCTTAGTATGAAAGGCAAAAAATAAACCACATTTTGCAATAGGAGACTCTTTTGTCAAGAAAACAAATGGGTCGTAGAACAAATCAATCCAGAATTTTCACTCAAGGAATAAATGGCCACCCAAATGATAAAAATCAAGATGGGTATAGCTGAAGCATGGATGACTGTCCAAAATGGACCAACTCATTAACAACTGCAGCTGGCATACCAGGAATAACTGATAAAACTTTTTCTTGCCATCATTTGGAAACCTAAAGACACTCCTCTGTTCAGTAATGAATACAGGTAGTCCTCAACTTACAACAGTTCATTTAGTGACCATTCAAAGTTACAAAGGCACTGAAAAAAGTGTCTTATGACAGTTTTTCCCACTTTACAACCACTGCAGCATCCCTACGGTCACATGATCAAAATTCAGATGCTTGGCAACTGTCTGGATGGTTGCAGTGTCACAGGGTCATGTGATCGCTTTGTGACCTTTCGATAAGCAAAGTCAACGGGGAAGCCATGTTACTAACAACTGCAATGATTCATTTAACAGCTATGGCTAGAAAGGTCATAAAATGGGGCAAAATTCACTTAACAAACATCTCATTTAGCAATGGAAATTGTGGGCTCAAGTGGTCCCACGTCTAGGACGACCAGTACCATCTTCCCAGACAGACATAGCTGCCCAGACTATCCTTATTATCTTTCTCCTTTCAGGACAAGAATTTAGTTTACACGCCTTTATTGTTTATTTATTGATTAAATTTATAAGCTGCTCATCTGTCACTTTGTTTGCTCCATTCTTAGTGCTCCTGTTTATGGCTCTAGCCGGCCTGGAGTGGAAAATGGAACAATTTTATAGCCGTTCTTGTTGCCCCAGCACCTTCTTAATCTTGAGTGGTCTCCAAAAGATAAGCAGGGAGTCAATGGGAGGCTGCAAGCAATCTCCAAAGATGCAAGTAGATTGGGAGTTAAAAAGAAACACATCCCAGAAGGCAGTGGAAATATACTTCCACAGAGTTGCCAAGAAAGCCACATAACTAAACACATGACATTACCAGGAGCTAAGCATGACTTGAGTGTGACTTAACCCAAGCCATTCCTGTTCAATCTCTGGGAGAAAAAAGCATCTCCGAAATTTACAGCTACTTGCTAACATGAAGCTAAATGATACATAACAAGAGGTCTGATGGCTTTCGTGTATGGAAAAGGCCTATTGATCTTATTGAAACATTTAATATCACAAGGACCCCCGTCCTCCATTCATCAATCCTAATTTTATTTCCAGTGTAAAATAACAATTTTATTATAGTTTATTTGGAGCAGAAAAGAGAGTTACAAAGAATAAAAGTTTAATAACATTAATAAATTTAGCAAATGTTAACTATTATATCCCAGACAATATGCATTAGGAATACATTCCTGTGCAGCTAGAATACAATTGTACACCAGGTTCTAATTTCAAAGAAGAAAACAAATTGTAACTAAAGGTACTGTATGCTTAATTTAAATCTTTAATTTACAAAATAAATTAAGAAAGGCTGAGGTAGCCCCAGTAAATTAAAAAAAAAAAGCTAATCAGCAAAAAAAATACAGTGTCATGTTTGTCCTAGAACCCCTGCTTTGTCTAGGACAGTGTTTCCCAAACTTGACAATTTTAAGGCATGTGGACTTCAACTCCCAGAATTCCACAGCCAGCATTGCTGGCTGTGGAATTCTGGGAGTTGAAGTCCTCATGCCTTAAAATTGTCAAGTTTGGGAAACACTGGTCTAGGACAATGGAATTTTATTATCTCTACCCTCTAAGAATGGAACATCCAACCTCTTAAAATCACTCAAAACAAAACAGAGCCCTAGATGGATAGAGTGATGCCAGACATTCAGCCTAGCTTTAGAAAAGCTTAAGAAACAAAAGACAATTTTTGCTAAGTTACATTGGATAACTGAGAAAGTCAAATACCAAAAGGAAATCAATGTATACTTGTTTATAGAAAGGTTTTGATTTGTGTCAATTATCTCAAACTGTGGAATGTCCTAAAAAACCTGGAATCCTAGAATATTTCATTGTCTTCATGAAAAACCTATACACAAGTAGTCACAGTCTAGATCAGTGATGGCGAACCTTTTAGAGACCGAGTGCCCCCAAACTGGCCCGCCCCTGCCCCACCCTCTGCCCTGCCCTGCCCCACTCCACCCCCTGCCCCGTTTCCACCCCGCCGCATCCTGCCTGCCCGCAGGGCTACTCACTGCCTCCAGGGCCCGCCGCAGATCGCCCAGGCAGCCCAGCAGCGCCATGGCAGACATGCCCTCTGCCCGCGCCCCGCGGCATCAACTGTGTGCGTTGGGGCGTGAGGGCAGAGTCTTGTCTACACTGCCTGGCTGCCATGTCCTTGGCTGAGCTGCTCTGCGTGGGCCACGCTCGGGGGCAACTCTCCTCCAGGGGGTTGCTGATGAGGAGGGGATCGCGGGCGGAGGCAAGGCTGGGGCAATGGCATGTGTGCCCACAGAGAGGGCTCCAAGTGCCGCCTCTGGCACCCGTGCCATAGGTTCGCCACCACTGGTCTAGATGAAGCATGGCAAAACAGGCTGGCTTCAGGTCAGCAAAAAGGTAAGGTAAAGTAAGATACTCTCCTTTATGCAGAATATATACTGAGGGAAGCTGAATTGGAAGAAGATGGCTGTCATTTGAAAACTGGAGGAAGAAACATGAATATTATACTGATAAAACTACTTTAAGGAAATGGAAATATTCTGCAAGCTGTCATAATAAAAGTTACGGACCACAGTGAAAAAATGGAACTCAAATTAAATATAAAGAAGCTACTGACAACCGGTACAGCAACTAGAAATTCAGAAATGACAATTAAGATATTGAAGTGGTAGATACAGTCTACTTTTTAGGACTACCAATAGTAAAGGACCAACAGTCAAAAATATTCAGATCCTGGGATGTCTCTAAACCTATAAAGATCAGAATCAAGCAGGCAATAGTTTTCCTCTGACACTCTATAAAAACAAAAGTGATCTTTTAAGAAGCAGGGTAAAAAGAGTTTTGATGAATTTTGGTGTTGATATTGGAAAAGACTGTTGTTAGTACCCTGGATTATCAAGAAAACAAATAGAACAAATCAATCCAGAGTTGTCACTCAATATGGCCACCCAAATTATAATTGTCTGGTCTCATTATGTAAAGACCTACCTTTTTTGAGAAATCTATAATGCTGGGAATGGTGAAAAGAAAGAGAGAAGCAAAGTGAGCAGACTTGATGGTAGCAATGATGTGTGCACCACTGAAAGACCTGAAGGACCAGGCTGAGGAACTATCACCCTGGCGAAGGTCTATCTATGTAGTCATTAATGGTCAAAACTGACACATGTCACACAATCTGATAGCATGTAATCAATCACTCTTTAAGAATGCTGAAGGGAGGGCATTAAAGCAATCTCTGGAAAATGGCCACAGTACTTTAGGTAAGTTTCCAGAAAGTTGATAACCCAAAGACTGGAACTGAATACACTGCAGTGAATTCCAATTCATTTAGTGAAGTATACATTACCTGTTCCTCTGATAAAAGAGCTGCTGCTTCACCATCCATTTCAACTTCTCCATCTGATGACTTGTCTTCACATAAACGCCGCTTACTGAACAACTGTTTTAGCCTCCGTGCACTTCTCAGAGCTGTAACAAACTTGTAAAATTATCAAAGTGTCCTTGTATAAAAGGAAGACTGAACTTTTAATGTTATTGTACAAGATTGCACAGCTGTTCAATTATGTAAAAATGCAATTGACAAGGGAAAGCATAATGAAAGCTTATACAGATGAATCAAAGAATGGGAATCTTTTGAGACATTTAGTAAGATTGATCTTTTTTTAATCTAAGTTAAAATTTTGGATGGAATCGTGCTAAAATGACAACATACATTAAGTGGGATAAAAAATAATGAATTGCCTCAGCTCAAAACTAAATAAGGAAATTAGAAACACAAGTTACCTGCTTCTCTCTCTCTCCACCAGGTTCGCAGGTGCTCAACACTGCATCCACGTGAATGATAACAACTTCTCTTCCAGCTTTTCGGACCAGCCGTTCCAGGTACCGAAGCAGCCATCAAGCTCGAAAACCCGAGACTGAGCGAAAAGAAATAGCCAAAAATCAGACACAGGACTGTGGCATGAGATGTCGTTCTCTTTTTAAAGTCCAGCTTAGTCAGCTCCAGTTCTGATTTGGGCTCTGGGCTTATACATTCGTTTTCTGTACGACTCCCAACGTCGCATTCACCCGAGTCAGCAAGAGGCGCTCTATCAATGCCAGCCCACCTTTCCTCAGCCCTTTCGAAGACAGCCGAAGGGGAAATGGGACATCACGGAGCAGGTGACTCCAATAATCTTTTCCTGAAGGCCTTTTCCCGGTGCGAAGGGCTACTGCTGTACGCCGTTCCTAGAACAGAACCAAAACAAGCAACCTCCCTTCTCCGGCCCACGTTGGCTCCCCGCAGCCTTTTTCCTCGGAGACACACGCCTCACGTAGCCGGAGGACGTCTGCGCAGCAGAAAGGGGCGGGCCGCGTTGTTCGGCCGCGCCTGGAAAAAGCAGCCGATGCGGGGGGGGGGGGAAGGGAATGGGAACTGCAGATTGGAGGGTTGTAATGTGGCGCGCGACTGCCCCCCGGGGGTGTCTCTCAGAAGGGGGGGCGGAGCTAAAGTGATATTTTGGGGGAGGTGTAGAACTTGGATGAAAGGTGGGACACCCAGGCTTTAATTTGATAATTTAATCTGACAATGTAATTTGGCAAGGGACTAAAATTAACGAATAGGGGAAATGCTGAGGACATAGGGTTATCAGTGCATGTAATATAGATGTTTGTGCAGGTAATAATGTCAACCTTGCTGTCAAGCAAAATCAAGCTTTTAATAGTGAGTGCCGTACCAAGTGTACTAATCAGAAAGGTGGTAAGGAAGTAAGGGAACTCAGGCACCATACAGGATATGTAGAAAGTAAACATAGGGTCAGTCAAAAAGGACTCAAATGTGTATACACCAACGCACAGAGTATGAGCAATAAACAGGGTGAATTAGAAATTCAAATAAATGAGGGCAGATATTTTGTTGCCATTACGGAAACTTGGTGGGATGAAACCCACAAATGGAACATACAGCTAGAGGGATTTAAATTATTTAAAAGAAACAGACTAAATAAAAGAGGAGATGGAGTTGCACTATATATAAGAAATAACTACATCTCTACAGAAATAGAGCACAACAGTGATAAAAACTGTCTTGAATGTGAAGGGTTCTGGAACAAAGGGAAATTGTTTAGTCTAACTGTTGCTTTCTTGCTTTTTGTAATCAGCTTTTGCACCAGGAAAATTTCATGCAGGCATGAGAATCATGTAGGTGGATGGGATATACTGAAGGAGGGAATAAGGGAGTGTACAGGAATGATTGATGTCTTTCTTATGATGTAATGGCTCTGTTGCTGATTTTCATTGGCTAACAAAGTTTATAAAGCAATGCTACCAACTTTCTAGGGTGTGGCACTTCTAGATGTGACTCTGTCAGCGTTCGAGATTGTTGGCCAGCCAGCTGCTTGATTTGATCAAATAAAATGCTGCTTGATCAAGAAGTCTCCGCTTGGGTTATCTGATTAGATTGACATGATATCTCAAGTTCAAGTAAGGGACTGGGACCTTACAAATGCATTTGGGTGAATATAAAAGGGGGGGGGATAAATGATATTGCCTTAGGTGTATACTATAGGCCACCCAATCAAACAGAGGAAATAGATAAACTTTTAACAGTTTACTAAAGTATGTAGGAAGCACATCACAATAGTAATGAGGGACTTTAACTACCCTGACATCAACTGGGAGACAAACTCTGCACCAAGTGGAAGATCAAGCAGGTTCCTGACAAAACTAGCAGACAACTTTGTCTCTCAAAAGTAGAGAAGGAAACTAGGGGATCAGCCATATTGGACTTTATTCTCATTAACAGAGATGAAATGATAGATGGTGTTAAAGTTACAGGAACCTTGGGGGGGGAGTGATCATGCAATATTGGAATTCAAGGTTATGCAAGCATAAGCAATAAAACATAGTCAAACTAGAGTTTTCATTTTCTTTTTCATTGCAAGCACAAAATCTGGAAGCAATTTCAAGATAGAAACTAGTTTAAATGTATTCTCATCTTTGGATCAGTTTAACCAGTGCTTTTTTTCTTAAAAAAAAAAAAAAAGGTGCCAGAACTCACACACGTCATACAACCCGCTTTGCCTACCCACAAGGTTCCATCCAAAAAAGGTGCCGGAACTCTGTTCTGGGCGTTCTATGAGAAAAAAAGCCCTGAGTTTAACCATCTCTACATCTCCACATTGCTGTAGGGGATAATATATACCTCTATTGACTCATTAATCTTTATCCTGATTCATATTAAAAGAATCCTCAATAAGGATTCAATTTTTTTTTACCCTAAAGGGAGAAAACACTTTCCCTAGTTTTAGTATTTTATTAACATTAAGCAATACTCAAATATTATATATAAAAGTGAAAACAGAACAAAACTAAACAACAACAACCAAAAGAAAACCCTTCTTCATTTTAAACCCAGAACACAAAACTACATTAGGGCTTTCACAGTTTTACAAAAGGAACAAACAGACAAACAAAGCTAAACAAAGCAAAACATCAGCAAAAATGGGCATACATTTATAAACTTATTGTATATATATATATAAAGCTACCTTAATACTATATTTCAATACATATGTCAAAACTTATAAAATCCATCCTAACTAATTACACCATTAAATTTAAGTCACTCCCTCCAGCTTGTCTTCATATAATGTTTTTATTCCTCTGAAGGGTGTCATTTTTCTTCAAGGAGGTCTCAACCTTTAAAATTTCCATCTCTAAGATATCAATCATATCTTTCTTTCTCAAAATATTTTCCACCTTGTTGATGTCCATAAGGAAAAAGTCCCAAACTTGCCTTCTTAAGAGTTGTAAATTTACTTGACACTCTTGTTTCACTTGCACTAGGAGGCTTTTATTCAAACCATCATCATAATAGAAACTGGTGTTAGATTTATGTTCCAAAGGTACAGTTAGGTTATTTAAATTATGCAGCAATTGTAGAGTTAACATAGTGAGTTGATAGTTTTATACAGTGGGTTGATAATCTTTTTTGATCTCCTCTGTATCATTGACACCTTTAAACTTTAGAGAATTTATTGTATATTTGATTTTCTGTATAGACTTTTGAAAAATGTCTTTTATCTCTTTAATTCCAAATCAGAATTAGACGTCTTCATGTTTGACTTCAGCTCTGTGTAGTGGTCAAAAAATGTTATTTCTTTCTTTCTTCCTTTTATTTCCTCTTTTTCCCTTTTCTGGCCAATCAGAACTCATAACAAATGGAAGATATCAACCACCACCACCACCCACTACAAAACTACAAATTATTTTAAATGTAGTAAATTAAAAGTCACAGCTTTTATCCTTATATTTCACCAGAAAAAGTACTCCTCATTTCATTCTTTTGGCCTTCAGCAACCTTCTTTCCTTGCCATTTAACAATAAAGGAGTCTCAAAAATGGCGAATAGTTTCAAAAAAGAGTATTAAGCTGTAGTTAAAGAGAGCCTCTTTTAGCTCATAAAGGTAATAAGCGAATAAATTGATTAAGAAATGAAGGGCACAGCTTTTTGTCCATTTGAAAAATAAATCCCAAAATGGCTGTTTTATCCAACTCCGATGTGGTTTCTGCTCCACCCTCCAGCTTCAGCTCACCTGCACAGCTTCTAAAATGGCTTGCAGACTGATGCTGTTATCGGAGGGTCTTGAGGGATGATTCTGAGACACTCCCTAATCCAGGAGGGTCAAATAAACAAGAGGAAGCCTGTTCCTTCTATTGCTGAGTTGGAAAAATGACAGTCCAGAGAAAGGAGACTCTCAGGGCATGTCAGCTAGCTGGCCATGTCTTCACCGGACAGGAGATCTGAATATTTTCTCAATGCACTGTAAATTGAGAGCAAACCTGACTCATTATTATCATGTTTCCCTGAAAATAAGACCTGATCTTTATTTATTATTTTTGCCCCCAAAAGAGGTACCAGGTTGTATTTTTTGTGGGGGGTCTTTTTCACTCACCTCGCCACAGTGGCACCAATAGCCCTGCCCAGCTCGGTTCTTGGCTGCAGAGGCCTTCTAGAAAGGCCTCTGACTACGAAATGTAGTCCGGAATTCCATTCTCAGCCACAGAAGAAGTGGTTCGGCGAGGCAAGTGTCGGTCCATGGGAGGACTGGCTACAGTGGTAAGCTCCACCATCCCCACTCCCACCCTAGCTTGATTTTTAGGTGTGCGCCTTACCCCAAAACTAGGGCTTATTTTGGGGTTAGGGATTGGGTAGCACTTATATTAGGCCCACCCCCCAAAATCAAGCTAGGGCTTATTTTCAGGGTAGGTCTTTCTTTCGGGGAAACACTGTAGCACTGATGATATTATTTAGTATGGGTAATGAAATGTCTGCAAGAAAACAACCAAGCTCAGCACCAAGGAACAATAACAACAACAAAACAACACCAGAAAAACTGCAATTCTGGTGTAAAAGAGCACTTTTGTTATCCAGTAAGACAACTGACAAAATAAAAAAGCTGTTTGAGGATGTCTAGTCATAGATAAGTACCCAAGTCTTGCTTCTAAAATCAGAAAGTTGATCAAATGCTTTCCACAGCCAACTTGCTGCAGCCATTTCGCCACAGCCAATTTGCAATGGCCATCTTGCCACAGTCATTTTGCTGCAGCCAATTTATCGTGAGATAGCTGGCCATGGCCAACTTGCCATGCAACATTTTGCCCCAGGACAATTCCACATGGGATAACTCAGTGTGACAAATATTATCTGTCACTGTTTCTTCAACATTATTTTCATTGACAAAGTCCAAAATTCCAAAGGCAGGAAAACAAATCCAAAATCCACAAGTAATGTCTGAGGTTCAGAGTCCAAAAACATTCCAAAGTTCAAAATACAGAGTCCACGAAAGTCAAGAAAGTGGACGCCGCCTGGCTTCCGGTTTGCAATCGCGGCGCCAGCGGATGCTCAGAGAGGCTGCTCTCTCCGCCATCTGGTTCTTCTTCGTTGAAAGACCCTGCAAAAGGTCAAAAGTCACCCTGGAGGGGCGACCACCGGTGAGGAGGACCCTCGACGACCGCAGAAGGGTGGCAACCCTTCAGTTGGATCCGAGGCAACTCCTCTGGACCGACAAAGAATAGATCGGCCATTAACATCACCAAGCCGTTCCTGCCGAAAGCCCAAAGCACTACTAAGCACGACGAAAGCAACCTGGAGGAGTTGGGTGAGACTTTACCTTACCTTTCCTGCTTCCCATCTATCTTCCTGTAAAAGCCTGTGAATACCTTCTTCTCCCTTCTCAATTCTGCGGCTCCTGCCTACATTGGGAATATGAAGCTAAGCAAGAAAAAAAAATAGAACAACTAGACTAAATGACTAAATATCTGGATCTGTAATTTCTGTATACCTTGGCTCTCAAAAAGTTCTTTATTCTTACAGAGACCTATTGTTTTCTTTGTTTGCTAAGCTGGAAAAAAAAAAAAGAATATTTCTTTCTTTCTTTTTTGAACCAGATAACAGCTTAACTGTGCATGGCACTAGAGACATCTTGTGGCGAAACTTGGTACAGCAAGTGAAATTTTCTTTTTTTGACTGGGAGACTTCTGAGACTAAAATTTGTCCTTGACATTATCAAAAAAGATAAGAACCCGAAACAGCTGGGTGGTGAAAACAATGTTCTATAGTGGAAGTGGATTCCTATTGACTCTCATTAAAAATAGCCTCCACTAAAGGACAGAAATGGAGGAACACCACCCATAGCTTAACTTTAAATTTATACTTGAAAAAATCTTAGAGGCTATTGAGCAAATGAATTCCAGACTGAAAGATATACGTACCACCTTAAAGCTACAAAACGCAGCCCTGACTCCAATAGACAAACTCACAACCCAAAAAGCAACAGAAGAAGAAGGAATTAATAGCAAAGTGGATTTTAAATAATGCCAGCTACAATCTACTCAGAACTTTGATATCCAAAGTTTGATTGCATCCAAAGAATTTGCAATTTCAACAGGAACAGAAATTGAGGAAAGCAGCACTAAGATGAAAGATGCTGAAGACTTACATACACAATACACTGAGAATTCAGATAACCCAGATGACCAAAAAACAACTACAACACTGAATATGACCTTTCATCTAAACCAGCTGAAATCAGAAGAAGAAGATCAGCCTGAATTCATGACAAATACACTAAGCCAATTATGGAGATTTAAACTATCAGGCCAACAATTTAATGACTATGAAGGGACTACCTTCCTTGATAGGCTGATGACTGGATGGTCTCCCTTTATTCAAATGACATATGCAGGAATGAAGGGAGATCTACCCGAGGATTTAAAAGCCCTGTTATGGAAGCCTGTTTGGCACAAAAGAAAAGCCAGAGTTAGACTTAAAAAATGGTTTTCTTTATGTGACCTCTAATGGAAGAGCTTTAAATCGTACTTAATGAGATAAGGAGATTTTAAAAGATATCAATTGATGTAATATTCAGGATTTATATTTATAGGGGAAATAAATTAGTTACTAGAATAATAGTTTTGAATTATAACATAGAAGATGGATTCAGATGATAAAAGTTATTTTATTAGTAAGCGATGAATATGATTGTGGAATAAACTAAGAATTTATTTGAATAAATATAAGTGTATTTTAGAAATGATAACTATTTTGTAATGAACTAAGGGAACCGTGGGCTATCCGAAATCTAAATACTATGGATATTAACTGAAATACGGTAATTGAAACCAGATAAAAGGTAAAAACAGGATTTGAAGGCATATAAATCAAAAGTTGTCGATAAATGTTTCAAATAATTGAGTTATAACTAGCAATGTATTAATCTGAGATTTGGTATAATAACTAAGGGAAACAGAGAGGAATTTTTGATGATGTAAACCGACATATTTATGGGAAAACGCGTAACTGGACTATGTATTACCCAACCACCAAGTTGCTTCCTTAATACCTAAAGCTTTGTTAAAATAGAAAATTAATAAAACTTGTTTTAAAAAAAAAGGTGGACGCCAAGGCAAACAGGTATTCCTGACAAGCACACCTTCCCCAACGTCTGGTTAAATCACCCTTCCCCAAGTGTTCCTTATGAGGAGGGGCGGGCTGCTTTCTTGCGAGCAAACCTCACCAACCTATTCTGTGCCTCCCTCTGCTCTGCTCTGCTCTCTATGCCTGCAGATTGGGTGAGGGAGGTAGCTATTCCTCATCAGAGGTGGTCTAGAGCCTGTCATCTCCGCTGGCTTTCTGCAGCTGATCTGCTCCTGTAAGTAACTTTCTGTCCTGTTGCCCCCCCTCCCCACTACCAGATAGCCCTGGGACTGCCTCATCCTCAGTCCCTGGACTCTGCATGCTCTGAGGGAACCATGGCATCCGTGTCAGATGGTCCCAGTTTCAACAGTTCTCCAAACTGGAATCCAACCAAGTTATGACAGGTACACTGGGAAAGGGGAGAAATTCTGGAAGAAAATATTACTACTGGACTGCTACCTATAATATTGCATGAGTGCAACCTTGGAGTCACCAAGCTCGATCTGAAAGAGATGAAGTGCTGATCTGCACAAATAACTTATTGCAACATGAGCATGGGTCACTGGCAGTTTCTAAAGAACAGGAAACTATGGTGTTATCCACTCCCTACCCCAGTCCACTGGAAAGCAACCCCCACTTGTCACTTCCTACTTCGTTTTGAAAATATTTTGCATCTTCTGCTGGCACAAGTAGTACTGCACATCTGCCTGCTTTGCTTCATTTTATTGTAGGAGAATAGGATCACCCATATGGTGCAGTTGCAGAAGATGAGGTATAGTAATATCTGCAGCTTGAGACATTTTCTCTCCACCTCTTATGTGCCTAAAAACTCAGTCTATTCTTCAGATGATATCTGACTAGCCACAGTTTGGTAGCAATGTTTGTATATAGGGAGGTGCGGGGCATAACTAATTTCTGCATCATTTTTTGCAAGGAACAGGGAGCCTAAGGGTACTGTTAACCTGAAACTGGCCACAAAGATGCTGGACATCTTTATAAGAACATTTGAGAGAAAATGCTGTGAAGAGAGTAGCAAGTCCATTTCTGGTCCTGTTCTTGATCAATCTCAGAGTTTGTCACATAAAGTAGAACCAGAGGAGTTCTAGCTGATCCATTATCTATTTTACTGTTGTACTAAAAGAGTTTCAAGAGAGGAATAAAGTTAAGTTAATGCTTCCACTGGGATCCTTATGGTTAAGTGAGACATTCTAGCCACTACCAATTAACTTGGAAGATTTCAGTTGCCTGGATATTTTAATTCAGTGCCTAGGTAAGAAAATAGCAGTGGAAATGGCACATGGAATAGCACATTTTTAGAAAGAGCAACAATAGAGAGGATTTGACTTATACTTCATCACATGTTAATTGGGTTATTTTCTTCTAGGATGTAATATTTTTCATGAGATCATGCAGTCCAGTATAGATCTTCCAAGCCCTAAGTGAGGTAACCAAGGGCAAGGGATGCTGGCAATTGGCCAGCATATACATTTAATGAATTATTTTGAGAAATAAAAACAGATGATTGTGGCATTGAGCTTCCTTCCTTGGGTTCTGTTACTGGGTTGTTGTATTCATTTAGGAAAGTTAGCCACTACTGCTTTCAAAAAGTCCACCAATCAACAACTCCACTGAAGTTTCCAAGTCTGTTTTTTTTTCTAGACCTTCTACTTGTCTGGATTTAATTTCAGTTTATTCTTCCTCATCTAGCCCATAAGAAACTGATTGGAATAAGAAGATAGGGAGAAGATTTTTCACTCCCAAAGCTCTGAATATTTTCATTCAGCAGTTCCATTTCAGTATTAAATGGCACAGAAGATGTCAGGATCTTGTGGGACACTATTTTCTGGACATATCCCAACTGGAAGAACTACCGCAAAATGAAGACAGTCAAGGTCTGGAGCCTTCAGAGGCCCTAACAAATACCATGAGTGATAGTACTGAAAGCCATCAGGAGGTCCAAAAGATCTAGCAAGGTCATACACTCCCCATCTATTTTAAAGAAGAATCAGAAGAGAGCTGGAAGGGACCTTGAAGGTCTTATAGTCCAGCGCCCTGCTCAAGCAGGTGACCCTACCATTTCAGACATATGGCTGTCCAGTCTCTTCTTAACAATCTCCAGTGATGAAGCATCCACAACGTCTGAAGACAAGCTGTTCCACTGATTGTCCACAATGTTAGGAAGTTTCTTCTTAATTCCAGGTTGCTTCTCTCCTTGATTAGTTTCTATCCATTGTTTCTTGTCTTGCCTTCTGGTGCTTTGGAAAATAAATTGATCCCCTCCTCCTTGTGGCAGCCTGCTCTCATGTCCCCCCTAGTCCTTCTTTTCTCTAGACTGGTCTTACCCAAATCCTGCAACCGTTCTTCATATGTTTTAGTCTCCAGGCCTTTAATCATCCTAATTGCTCTTCTTTGCACTTTTTCCACATCTTTTTTATAATGTGGTGAGCAAAACTGGATGCAATATTCCAGATGTGGCCTTACTAAGGCTTTATAAAGCAGTACTAATACTTCATGTGATCTATGCCTCTGATTGTATTAGCTTTTTTGGCAGCTGCTGCACACTGCTGGCTCATGTTTAAGTGATTGTCCACTAGGACTCCAAGGTTCCTCTCACAATTGTTGCTTTTGAGCAAGGTTTTGCCTAATGTGTACCTGTACCTTTGGTTTTTCTTGCCCAGGAGCATAGGTCATCCATTAGGGAATCCAATGTAGCAGACATAGGGAATGGAGAGAAAGAGTCGCTACCAACTCTTCAGTCACATAAGTAGGATCTGAGACTGGGCCAAGAAAAAATACTTAGAAAAACACCTCAGATTAGCCCCTTTCTAAAAAAAAAGTAATAAAGTAAGGGAGGGGAGAAGCACATTCAGACTTGCAAGATTTGTTACTATTCTGTTGCTGTTACAATAAAAGTAGTCCTGACCTATATGGCATTGCTTTCTTAGGTGCACCTTGTGGAGATGAGACCTAAGTAATCTCAGTATTATATCCCAATGCAGTTTCAGTTAAAATGGATTTAAATAATGCTACAGCTAAGCTATGGAAATTCTGCCTTCTGTCCATGTCTCTAATTGACAGCAGAGCTTCTGTCAAACATCTGAGATAGTGTGATTTGAATGTAGAAATCCTGATAATACATTGCCTCTTCTTTTTATTGCTAATTTTCATTTTCTTTCTTACACAATAGTGTTGCAATTGTATCCTGCAGTGGGAGTTTCTCAAATGGCTAGTGAAGAAACATCAAGTACTCATAAATACGTTCATAATTTTTGAAGTGCAATTCAAACAAGATGTATGTTAAAGTGGATTGTTAAGAATAATCTATAGTTGGTAAAGTAAAAGCAATTTATCTTTCATCTTTATTGTACCTAGAAAGAAGGGAATAGCATTGTCAGTAAGTAAGAATGTTGTATATAAGAAGAATTAATTTTGATTCTCTACGAAACTGGACATCCTGGTAGCAGGAGGAACTTACAGATTGTGCAGAAACAGATTTTAATATCCATAACATTTGGTAAGTAGTTTGTTTTATTGTTACAGTTTATTTTTCTCTTACCAGTTTTTCTCCATCAGAACTGCATGCTTGTGCATATTTTCTAAAGCAGTGGTTCTCAACCTGTGGGTCAGGACCCCATTTAGGGTCGAATGACCATTTCACGGGGGTCGCCAAACAACGCAGTCCACCATTTTTTCCCCTTTTTCCTTAGCTGTGCTACTCCCTTTTATTCTATTGGCTTTTGAAAGCCAATAGAATAGACTCTCTTGAATAGAGTCTAATTCTATTGGCTTTCAAAAGCCAATAGGAATTGTCCAGGCTGTCTCTGCCCTGCTGAGCCCGCCAAAAGTCCCATTCTGCAAATGGTGCTGCACCAGTTGAGTAGTCCTCAACTTACGACCGGTTGAGTAGTCCTCGACTTACGACCGGTTGGGGGTCGCGGCATTAAAAAGGTTGAGAACCACTGCTCTAAAGTATTGTAATCTCTTTTTTTTCTAAGGCTATATAATATGGAACATACACCAGCAAAGTTATGTCTCCAATGTAATTTGTGAAACATTTATGTTAATCACATTTGCCAATAAAGTTTGTTTTATCTCTTGAGAGAAACCCCAGGGAACATTAAATATCCTATCCCTGAGTGTTTCCAGAGATCTGTTTCAAATTTTATATTAACTCTCCCATGATTGCCAGGAAAATATTTCAGGAAAGACAAGATGTAAAACTTGAAATGTTTGTTAATACATGTTGTTCCCATGTCTACAGTCCTTTTATTCCTATCCAGGCAGATAAGGATGGAAAGATAATCATCCATTGATTAGAAAATCATGCAGAGGCTTTTCTCTTTTTATAGGTTTCATTATAATGTGCAGATTTCAGGCCTTCACGTTCTTCCTTCTTCTGCAACTGAAGCTTCCCAAAGCAGAAGGCAAATGTATCTTTTTAGAGGTCCAGCAGCGCTGCACTTGTTCACTTCTAAATCAGTCAGAAATAAACAATATTGGTGTATGCTTTTTAGCTGCTGAGTATGAACTCAAAGGAGGAAACCTGGAACAATTTGCAGACTTTTCTGAAATGAAGCCAACTCCAAAACTAATTAACATCCTGCAAGCTCTGCAGGTAAGAAAGCTCATCTTTACTGACCTCTTTGTGCCGGAAGTTCTGTTACCAGGTGCCCTGGAATTTATTTCCTATACAAGTCTTGTTTCAGAACTTGAATTTATTAATTGCACTTTCCTTAGACTTGTACACTGGCAATATATAAGGCCCTTGAATCTAAAAGTTACCTCTCTGCGTTTCCACAAAGTGATTGCTGCCCCTCTGGATGAAAGATTTGATATATCCAGTCTGAAGAGATGGCTGGAGACCCTGGAGAATCTGACACTGACAGAGTCACAAATTACATCTATTCCTTGTAAGATTGGCAGAACATTCAGAGCATTACGTTTTTTGGATATTTCAGGAAACCATTTTCAGGATCAAAGCATAAACTCAACATTCTGCAAAGGTGCTTTCCCACAGCTCCAAGTATTAAAACTAAGTCACAATAATTTGACTTCTTATGAGACTTTGTGCAAGACTCTTAGTAATTTTGATGTGCTTACTCTCTTAGATTTGAGTCAGAATGACTTCTTGCCTGGAGCCTTCCCTTTCCACTGTATGTGGCCACAATCACTTCAGATTTTTAATTTGTCTAACACGGGATTAGAACACATGGATAGATTACTGCTTCCCAACATTAAAGTATTAGATCTGAGTGCCAATAACATCTTTACTCTAGATGTCTCACATTCTTCTTTGAAAGAGCTGTATTTGTCCAATAATAGATTACAGACATTCCCATCAGTCCATCAGCTTCCTAATCTGGAGGTCCTGAATTTAGATAGAAACTGCATGTCAAGGTTACAGAGCAAGGATGTATTGTATCTGAAACATTTACAGAGCTTAAAGGCTGGCCACAATCTGTATAACTGTTCTTGTACTTACTATATCAGGGAAATCAAAGAATTAGCAGCTAAAGAATCATTGCTGCTTGATTGGCCTCAGAATTATGTATGTGACTCCCCTCCCGTTTATCAGGGCTACCTGGTAAGAGATGTGCCTCTATCACTACTACAGTGCAACAAGACTCTGATCAGTCAAGGCTCAGTAGTCAGTCTATTGATGTGTCTTTCCCTTGTTCTTCATTTGCTTCTAGCATAGCTATGAGAATGCTAATTGAAGTGCTTGTATTCAAAATCCAGTTTAATGTCATGTAAATTGAAGAGCTGGATTTATTCCTATTTTTCACAAATCATAACAATAGAGAATGGTAAAGAGCAGCATGTTTATTTGAAAATATTACATGTTGACATTTGTTTGTCATCAAGATTCACCAGCTTCACTACCAGTCATTCTCCTCAAAGTCATATGGGGTGTTTGAATGGATGGTTGGAACTCACAACCCTTTTGTCAAAGAATGGAATAGTACTTTACATTTCAACATGGTGAAGTAACTTCCAAGAGGTTAAAGTGAAATATAAAAGTTTGTGTGTTGGGGCGGAGGAAACACACACAGAATAAAGTGGGTTGGAATTCTCACAATGAACCTCCCCATCCCTCTGGTGATCTGTTGCCTATCAGTCAGGTCACTTTTAACACAGGAAAATATTCAAAGGATTGGGGTGCATATTTTCAAGAACATTTTAAAAACAGTTTTCACATGTACAGTACAATATTATTTTATAGTTGACTTATAAGCAGTTGGTAATGTGGAAGCAACTCAATTAATATATTGTAAAATCAAGTAAGACGGCCCCATATTCCAATTAATACCCTGAAGTTACCAATGTAGGTGTTTCACGAGACACTATTCAGTAGAAATGTGACATAAAGAACCGGCGGGGGAAAGACCGGCCATAACAATATGGCCTGCTACTAAGCTGTTGACAGCCGAAGTCAAAATCACCACCAAGCATCTTTAAAGTAACGTGGATGAAACTGGGTGAGATCTGATCCTCTCTTTAAGACTTTAAGTATTTTTTCCTGTAAAAGCTGCCCCAAGTATTTTTCCCCCTGTGAGGAGAAAGGGAAGGGAATTTCTACCCCACTCTCTAAGAAAAGCAGCGACTAACTACCCAGGGGAAACAAGCAACTATAAGAACAATTTTAATCTAATTGGATGTATATGCTTTTGAAACTTGGGGTCTAAAAGTGTTCCTTTTCTTACTGGAGACATTTGTTTTTATCTAAAAAAGAAATAAGATTTGAAAAACTATCATAAAAATTTTGGATTTAAAAAGCTTTAAATGGAGTCCGTGATATCTTGTGGCAAAGTATCGTATTACAATTTGTTATTGCCTAAAAGAGACTTGGCTTGAAGCCCAGACTCCAGAAAAAAAAATTCCTTGACCCAGACAGTTACCATCTGTGAAAAATCCAGTTGCAAAGAAGGAACTTCTTGGCGGCATATCTGGCCTGTTTGAACTATGAATGTAAATTTTTACTGACTTTCAGAGCTATACTTGGGGAATTGCTTTCCTATTTCTTTACATGAGAAGCATATGATATTATATGAGATGATGGAATACCTTGGACTATAAACTCTTACTTGACAAACAATTTCTACTGTAAAGACCACCTATTACATGTGAAATAGATGTCCCATACCTAGCTATAAAAAAACAAAAAACTGTTTTAAACATTTGATTCTAAAGTCTTCAACTTAACATATTATCAAGAGAATATGGATGAAGATCAGGAAAAAAAATCCTTTCCATATTGAAATCAATACACAAAACCATTCTTTCAGATTGTGACAAAATGGAAGATAAACCTATCAGGACAATTGTGGGAAATTGGAGTAATAGGGAGGTGATCTAATGAATACAAATGGGCTAGTTCTTCCAAAAAAAACTTCAACTAAATGGTCTTTCTTATTCCAAATAATATATATAATAATAGAGGGAGAACTATTTGATGATTCAAAGGCACTGACATGGAAGGTTAGTTGGCAAAGGAAGAAAGCCAGAGTAAGGCTGAAGAAAATAATGGCTCTGATTTATTAGAGAGGATATCATATTACTAACTAGAGGGTTGAATATGGTGGAAAATAGATATTTTTTAGAAAATAAAGTAACATTATAATTGAATAGGTAAGATGTGTAACAAGACTATTAGACTTTGGTATAAAAAGGGAAAAAGGGAGAAGTTGAGATAAGGGAAATTTTGATCACCTAATATAAAATATTTGGAAATCATAAATAAATGTTTTTTTTCTTTTTCTTTTCCTTTTTTTGAATATTGATGGGAAATTAAAGTTTATGTATAAGCTAAAAAGTATTGATAAATGTAACAAGAATTTTTTTTTACTCAGTTGAAAATAAGAAATAATAGATATTACTAGAAAAAGAGAGGGAGTACTTGAGCTTCTAAAAACTAGACCTAAACTAAAAGATTTATGTATATTACTGATTTATTGGTTAACCCAGAGTTATTAGAGGGGATACCATATTATTAATTAGATGGTTTAATATGGTGGAAAATAGATAACTTTTAGAAAACAGAACAAGACTATATTCAAATAGATAAGGTTGTTGGAATATTCATGAGCAGGAAGAGTCATGTGGTAACTCAGTCAGCCAATGTGAAGAAAGTGCTACTGAGTCTGTGCAAAAGGGTATTGAGTTAGGAGCTGGATTTCCAGTCTCAGGTTTGCCTCTGTATCTCTCTGTAAGAAGTCCTCTGTAAAGAAGAATGTATGGTATTGTAAATATTTTGATATAAATATAAAGACGTTATTTTGAATCAGCTAAATGCAGTCAACTGTGAGAGCTTCTGATTTATTTTTTCACCAACAGAGAAATTAAAATTCTCTAACAAAGGTGTATTTAGAATATTAGATTTTGTTATGAAAAGGGAAAAAGGAAGAAGTTGAGATAAGGGAAACTTTGGTTACCTAAAGCTTGGAAATTATAAATACCAAATGTTAATTTGAATATGGATGGGAAATTAAAGCTTGGGAAAAAAGCAATAACAGGACATTGATTGTATATAAGGATTAAATGCAAACACAATTAAGATATGTATAAGCTAAAAATTATTGATAAATGTAACAAAGATGTTTTTACTTAGTTGATAATAATAATAACTCTATTAGCCTAATATGAGATATTAAGGGAAAAAGAGAAGAAATATCTGATGTTGTAACTTGAGGTTTATACTAAAGACTTATGTATGTTATTGAACTATTGATTAACCCAATTACCACATTACTTTTAAAATACAATTGTAAAATTAGAAAATTAATAAAATATATAAAAAAAGAATCTAATCTAGAGAGTAGTTGAAATTTGTATGGTCAAATCAATCTTCTGGTTTTTCCCCAAGTATGTTATGTAGCTTTTGCTAATCTATTTGATCAATTGTATCATATCTTGGAAATATTTGTCCCTGAACCACCTCCTGAAGATTTACTGCAATTTGTGACTATTTCTAAAACAAAGGTGTCCTTGCCCTAAAATACTATGTCCACCTGAATTAGGAAAGATGTTTTCCCACATGTCATGTAAATAATAGGATGGTGGGAAAGATCCTTGCCTGTCGGCACACCCAGCTGTAAAATGAGGCATTATTCTGACAAGATATTCATGGTGAATATGAGCACCATATAGTCTGCTTTCACTTCACTCATTCTTCATACCTCAGCCTCTCCTTCTGAAATATGCATTTATCTGGTAGCCTTTTCTTCACACACTTGGAGAGGCACCTAAATGGTAATGATAATGTTAAACCAATCTCTAATTTGGAATGTCCTTCTGATAATTTTAAGATGATCTTTGGAAGGAGTTATGGGATTATTTTTCCCAAACACTGAAATGATATTGAGATAGATGAAAAATGCCATTAAGAGACATGGTAATATATTATAAGAAATATATGTTTTAATTAACAGAAGTGATGTGATGTAAGCTTTAACTAATATTAGGAACTGGCTAAATAAGATGACCTGTGTGCTAATTCTATGAAGAAAACATTTTACAAGAAGTGTCAACCGTAAGTCACAGATGATGTAAAATATTACTCGTGTAGGGCTGTGTGGTAAGATAGTCACTTGTGTGAACTTCTCCTTTTCTAGCGTGTGGTCTCAAGATATAAACTTCTCCATTTTAGTGTGTTAAAGGTAGATAAGGGTCATCTGTGGGTGAAGCGTGGGTGACAAGGTATATAATAATGACGTCCTAGGAGTAGCCTGGGGTTCAGAATTTGTCATACCAATGTTCTGAACCTTTGCGCAAATAAACCTGTTTTCTCCAACCCTTCGTGGTCTTATCTCCTGATTTAATAAGAGAATTTCCACTACAATACTTTGCAGCTTAACATGGTGATTTAACTTTATGAATGATAAAATAAGGCTGAAAATGTAAAGGTAAAAGATCAGGAAATGTATGAACTCATTAGAGCTCACCTAAGAGAAAAACCATAATCTAACAAACTATTCACTTATGAGAAGCTATTTGTTTTTCCAAGTAGAGGAAGAAATGCAACAGAGAAGATTTAACCTGCCTCAAATGTCAAATATATATAAATATATATCTCCCTCTTTAGTGGCCAATTTAAAAAAAAAGTACTACATTTTATTATAAGATAAAAATGCAAAAGGAAACAAAAGTTAGAAATCTAAGAGGAAAAGAGAGAAGGATACAAAGAGAAAGAAAGAAAAAAGGTAGTGATTGCCAACTTTTTTCAGGGCCATAAAGCGCAAAAAAAGTAATTGCAACCTCAACCTTTACATTTCACAATATCTCAAGTCATTTCTATCATTCTAATCATCAAAACCTAAAATCAAAGTTTCATTTTTTTTCAGTTTCAAGCAAAAAGTCCAGTAGTTTCCAAGTAGAAACAAAGTTAGATAAATTCTCTTTATTTAAAACAGTCAGTTTTGTCATCTCTGCCAACTCCATTATGTTTATCATCCATTCTTCCTTTGTGCGAATTAGCATGACTTTACATCTTTGTGCATATATCTCGCCATTGTCAACATATATAATAACAAAGTTCTAAATTTTCTTTCAAGTTCTTTGTAAATAATACCTAAAAAGAAAATGTCTGGTTTAATTTTTATCACAAGTCTGGTAGAGTATGAAAAAGTGCCCCTCTTTTTATTTACTTTTCCAATATACATTCATTCATTGTTTGTTTCTGGGCTTGTGAAAGTTTTGATAATTGTTGTTTTTATAGATATTCATCTATCTTTTCCAAATTCATGTCTTGTTTTTATACAAGTTGGAATAAAAATGATAAAAGGACATTTAGTGTCCAATTTTTTAAAAAATTCAACATAGATGTTACTACTGTAAGTGCTGTTTGAAAATAAGCTTCAGTGAAGTTTATACTGTAGCTGTACCTGAAAACAGCTTCTTCTAAGTAGCCTTTGAAAGATAGTTTGGTGATTGATCAACAGTTTACTAGACAGATGGAAGAAGAGATAGCTTAAAATAGGTTTTATGGGATGTTCCAAACGGAATGATTTGAAATTAATTTATTGCATACACTTCATATGAAGAACCAACTCAAGCTAACATGGAATATTTAATGGTAAGTAAAAAAAAAATTAAGCCAGTATAGTCTAGTGGTTAAGGGACCAGGCTAAAAACCAGGAGGCGGTGAGTCACAGCTTAGGTATGAAAGCTAGATGAGTGACTTTGAGCCAGTCATGCGCTCTCTCAGTCCAATCCACCTCACAGGGTTGTTGTAGTAAGGAAAACTGGAAGGCAGGGGAGTATTAGGTATGCTTGCTATCTTGAGTTATTTATAAAAATAATAAAAATGAGATTTTAAAAAATCTTTTAAAAGAACTTGAAATGCATCCTATCCTTCTGAACAATAGAACACTTGTTTTCCATTATATAGAAAATATATAATATAGTGTTCTCTGAGGAAAATCTAAGAAACCTAGTAAATTATTAGCTTTTAAATAAATGAACTAAGCAATATATTTTGTTCAACCCCACATAGGAAAATGTACTGTATATTGGTTCTGGATATACTACTCAACAATGTTTTATGTTATGTGTATTGCTATAATTCTTTATCATATATAGATTCTTTTTAAGAATGAGAAATATTCACAGCTAAGAAAGACCAGGTCGCATTACACATTTTTTTTCAAAAAATAAAGGGATATAATTAAAGGCATGGCTTGTATAGTTTGCCAATAGCTTAGATTACAACAGTATAAAAACTTTTATTAATTTTAAAATCTATTTTACTAGTGATATATGAGAAATCTTTTAAATATTTCCTTTTATCCTCAACTTTTAATGGTGCTGCAGAGCACAATCATTTCCAATTGGTCATAATGTGCATATCATCTTATTTCTTTGATAAAAGCTTAGTATTCATTTATATTTACTAATGAATATAATGAAATTTGAACTTTCTTCTCTTATTCAAGCACCTTATATTGGATTTATATGGGGTTATCAAAAATTGGAAAGTGATGTAATAGCTTTAACCATTATAATTCAACAATAATTATATTTCTGGGTATTGACAATATTCCAAATTTGGGGATATTGTAGATTCTTTATGCTGTCTGTAGCTGGCTTTGAATGAATATAAGTTTCCATATATTTTGACCAGCGATAAATTTGACTTGTTCAGCTCCTAAACCACAAATGACATGTTGTCTCCTTTTTAAACATTTGTGATGGCAGAGAGTTTCTACAACCTTTCCCTTCTAATTTGCTCTTACAGAACTGGAGAATGATAAACCACAGACAAGAAGTTTTTTTCCCCTACTTTTACAGGAAGGATTGTATTGTGCAAAAGTAAAGATTTACTTTTCAAAAAAAAAATCTATATCCATTTATTTCTAGGGTTTATTTCTAGTTGCTTTTTAAAAATTCTTGTATCTTTTATTTTTTTCTCAGACTTACCTCTTTTTCTTTTCTTTTCCTTTTTTTCTTTTCTTTTTCAACATGGCTCATTTGGCTCACAGGATAGAATGGAAGACGGGGCAGAGTGCAGACATTTTCTTTATAGGCAGGCCTGGTTTAATGAATTGGTAGCCCACTGCAATAACAGGCTTGGAGTCCAACCTATGCCCCAGGTCTAGGCAAATGGATTCCTGTAAGACAGCCAAACTCTATTCAAAACAGAATACCAGCAGAACTGGAACTAATGCAGGGAACAACTGGCTACAAAAGTCACCAAAAGTTTGATAATCCTAATTTGCTGAATAAAAGTACTGCAAAGAACTTTCAGAAGAACTCCATTTCTTTAGTTATTTAAATCTATAGACTACTAAAACTCTAGTTTTTATTACATTTAATTGGGCAAAATGGTGTACATAGGATGATTTTTGAACCAAAGTACCTCAAATGGTCTATCTTAAAACGTGCGTCCAAAATCTGGGATCCATGACTTGAGGGAATTAAAGTTAGAGAAGTTGTGGTTGCTTCAGTAATTACTAGCTGCTGCTGCTGTCACATGATCTTCATTTCCAAAGTTCTGTGACAGTTCCCAGCCATTTTTGCAATTCCTTGCTCCTTCCTCCATCTAGTAGCAGCCACTTACCTGTGTTAGAAGAAAAAAAAAAAAAACAGGGGTTTGCTTTCCAGCCAGGAGGCTGTACCTGTAAGAGAAGAGGGGGGAAAAACATTGAAGCTGCTACAGTTTGAAATGGACGAGAAGCCAGCTGCTCAAGAGATGTTTATTGACAGAAGTGAAACCGTGCCCACCCCATTGCCAGTCACGATACGTCGTGTGATGTCATGTGACATCACGAGTTTGACATGCCTGGTCTAGAGCTTCTGGAAAGCTATTTCTATAAATTAACAGGCTCCATTCATTGTTTTTGTTTTCACAACAACTAGAGGCATTCAGACCTCTGATTGCAACATTGTGCCAGTCTGCCAGAGGCTATTTATCTGACAGCTTCGAGTGAGAGAAAAAGAAATGGAGATGGTGTTACTTTTTACCTTTGCTGCTTGTGCAATTTTACTTGGCTTTTCTATGTCTAAGAAGACTTTGTTATAAACAGGGAAGGGTTGCGTTTTCGTCCTACATCTGCTTGCTGGAAAGGGAAGGAAAGAAGGAACAGGGAAGACGAACAGGACCATAAGAATCTGCCCTAGCTGTACCTCTCAGGAAAGCATCATTCTTGACTCCAGGTCATGGGTAGGCAAACTTGGCTCTTTTATGACTTGTGGACTTCAACCCTCAGAATTCCTGAGCCAGCCATGCTGAGGGAAAGGGAGAGGTTTCCAAGCTGAGCCATGTTGGCTCAGGAATTCTGGGAGTTGAAGTCCACGAGTCATAAAAGAGCCTAGGTTGCCTACTCCTGCTCCAGGTGGTTAACCAAAAGAACTTTTACTGAAAGAAAGTGTTTGCAATAAAGACAGGCGGGATCTAATAGTCCCACACAAAGCTATTCTTCCCATTCCAAAACCTAACCCTCCTGACCAGTCCACCAGCAGCCAATACAGTGCCACAATTTTGAGAGCACTGAGGTACAAGTTTGATAACAGGTCATTCTCAGGGCACAGTGCCTTGGAGTCAGGCTGGAACCAACTAAGAGGGAGTCCATCTTGTCTCCACAAATGATCCCTCTCCCTAATTCCCATTCGGTTACAGCAAAAGTGAAAGCATGCAAAGAGTGCTCCCCCCAGAGCCTCCTCCCCCTTCCAACAGAATGGCAGGGCACCCAAAAGGGGACCAGACACACTTGTCACCCCAAAATAAAGGGATTAAACCTGCAGACCAAAACATAACAAAAGAGGAGAAAAAACAATATTAAAGCATTCATTTAAGTTTGTCAGGGTATTGATTATGAAAACATTTCACTAATCTAGGGGCTCTAACATGCCTATGATGAACCCATTCATTCTGGGCAGTAGGGAAATCTTTCCATGCCACTAAATATTGAAGATTTCCACTAGCGTGCTAGGGTCCAAACTTCCTCTGACTTCAAAATGCTGTTCCCCCTCTATCATGAATGGCTCAGGGACAAGGGTAAGTAAAGGGTGAGGAAATTTCAGGTTTTAATAAACTGCAATGAAAAATCGGATGGACCTGGCAAAGAGATATAGACAAGTCTAATTCTATGGTAATACGTTTGATGGGGAAAGGCCCCACAAACTTAGGGCCCAATTTTTTTGAGGGTTGAAGCGACTGTAAATAATGTGTGGAAAGGTAAATTCAATCTCCCACATTGAAAGGCTTAGGCTCAATCCTTTTCATGTCAGCTTGGGCTTTATATGCATCTCGAGCTTCTGCAAGGGCTTTTCGTACAATAGGCCAAGTACTGTGTTTACCCGAAAGTTAAGACCTAACGCGAAAATAAGCCCTAGCTTGATTTTTGGGAGTGGGCCTACTATAAGCCCTACTCCAAAAATAAGCCCTAGTTTTGGGATGAGATGCATGCCTAAAAATCAAGCTAGGATAGGGGTGGGGGGTGGAGCTGCCCCATGTGCCCTACACCGCTTACTGTTGCAGCCAGACCCCCCTTGAATTGACACCGGCCCATTTCTTCTGCAGCACCCCCCGTCCTTCATTTTGCTGTCAGAGGCCTTCCAGAAAGGCCTCTGCAGCTGAGAACCGAGCTATGAATTCAATCCGTAGTTTGGTTCTTGGCTGTAGAGGCCTTTCTGGAAGGCCTCTGACAGCGAAATGCAGGATGGGGGGCATCAGGAATTCTGGGAGCTGAAGTCCATGAGTCATAAAAGAGCCAAGGTTGCCTACCCCTGATCTAAGGTATAGTTCCAACACTGAATTTTCTCGTTCACATCTCCCATTCATTTGGGGGTGATGACTGGAACTGAGTCCCTGTTCAGTAGCAAGTAGGTCCAAAAAGGCCCTCCAAAACTTAGAGGTAAACTGCACCTCTCTATCTCAGAGGTCACCAACCTTTTCATGCTGGCGGCCCGGAGGGAAAGGTAGCAGCTGTTTGCGCATGCATGCAAACACTAACCACCTGTGCTAGCGCCGCGTGCATGCATGAACAGGCCGCACAACCCACATGGAGCTAGCATGCCAGTCCCCATGCACTCTACCAACTTGTGCCATCCTCTTGCATTCCTACGCTGACCCACATACCTTTTAAGCACCTCCACACATCCTCCCTAACCAGCACTGCCTTTCTCCCACCTGCATTCCTCCTATGCACCTTTCCTGACCCATTCTACAATTCTTGGGCACCCACACACACTCTTTCTAACCCAAGCCACCCCCTATGCATTAATTTTTATAGCCATCCATCTCACAACAGTGACTATGGGCAACATACAAAGATTAGACAACAACGAAAGAAATAATCCACTCTCTTGGAGAATATCTTTCTCATAAAAAGCATATCAACAAGGTGAACCTAACCTACTGGCCTGAACCCCTGGGGAGGCTTACAAAAGGCAAATACCTGATTTATTTGTTGGCTAACATGGAGCAATATTAATGGGTGGACTTACAGAGATGAAAACCTTGTTGGCTTGCAATGGACGAAAGATGTTTTCCCAGGGAGGAGCAATGGAGGCAAGTTTGGCCTCCTTGCTTTTATGTTGCTGCTTACCCTTTGCTCATTTAAATCTACCACTATCCTTAAAGGACTTCCACTGTGTATTATGTCAGGGGGGAAAAGCATTCCAAGCAACACAGCACTTAACTGATGAACAGGATTAGAAGACAAGGGGTCCTAAATAGTTCTCCCTCTCTGCTCCAAGCTTAACAAAAAGGAGTTTAAAGTAGTTTGTGCTACAGAAGGGAAAAAAATTAGAAATTCCAAAATGATAGCGACACTTAAACGAGAGGACATTATATTGATATGCAAAAGAGGACCCGATACTGAGTGACAGGGACTGATTTGGGTCAGGTGTATCCACTGTGGATCTCTTGGATAAATCCCATATCCCATGTACCAAGGGAAAGATTGCATTTATAAGCTAAATCAGTGTTTTCAAACTTGGCAAATTTTTAAGACATACGAGTGGGCACATTGACTGGGGAATTAAGTCCACACCTCTTAAAGTTGCCGAGGTTGAGAACACTATTTTAGGCGATGATGCAAGTAAATATCATGGGACTGTTGGCCTCCAGTAATGTATTTGATAAATATCAGGTTTGCTTCATCATTCCAAATTTTTAGATAACTTTTGAAGCTAAGCAAAAGTACTGGGTGATAAAAGAACCCCACTGTTATTAACCATTCATTGATCAATTGATCACATCATTATTATTTTATAAAATTCTTAATAGTTTCCTTCATAACAATTGAAGAAAAATACAATTCAAACAGTATTTTCATATTCCAGTTTAGATATTGTTTGGTGATGCTGACTTTGACACTGAACCAAACCATGTTCAATCCTATCAAGTTTTTAAAAAATCCTAGAAGTGACAATTCCAACCATGTGAAAAACACTGCTGTGGAAAAAATATATCCCATTTTAATAAGTTTACCAGAGATCAAGAATGCTCTAGATAAGCCAAATATTTATCAAAGAAAGAAACATCACTTTATTTTGGAAATCTACATTGATGGCATCTGGAGAGTATAAATGGAAATACTGTATAGCCTTATTTGTAATTATTGATTGTCTGCAGTTATTAATTTGGCTACAGGACAGTACAAATGCTAATGATATCACAATCACATCAGATACTCAAAATAATAAAAAATAACATGAGGAAGTTCAAAACTACTTGGCCAAAAAAGAATATAAAATATGACTACATTCTATGAGGTAACAATAAGGAATTGATAAAACAATAAAAACATTTCTGAGCATCATTTAGAAAAGCAAGTACATATATTATTGGCTTAAACTTGTGGTCTTAAACATGCTAAATATTTAGCAAATCCAGGAAAGAAAAATTAGGCAAACTTTTTGGAACAGAAAAGAACTGTGTTTTATTGTTGCTTATGCTGTTATTTATTCTTGGGATGTGGTAGCAATACATTCTTTATAAAAGCAAAAAATACAGAACCACAAAACCAGCTTGCAAAAGGCAGTTAATCACCATAATGTTTATAAGACATTTGTATTAGAGCAAATCTCTAGAAAAGAACAAAATTCAAACTTGGCACTTGGGTGAGACTACCCTTTTCCAACACAACTCCCAGTACGATAATAATAATAAAAAAAGCTGTAGGGATAGAGATGGGCATCTTGGAGACAATATACTAGTGCTACTTATAAAAAGAAACATAAATCTTTCTCTTCTGAATTTTCAGAAATCTGGCCATTAGGTAGCCAGAAAATGAAAGATTGCTTTCTAAGGTCTCACTTTCTTACTATCGTAATATTCTTCAAAATCATGGCCACACATTAAAACAAAACAAACAATCTCTTAATGTTTTTAGGAATGGAAGATCTGACGGACAATAGGAGTGTTCCAGGCAAAAAAAAAAAAAAAAAAAGGCTTCTATACAAGAATCTGCTTTCATCATCACGGATTAACGAGATTAAAGATTGAAACAGAACAGAATCTAAGGTAAAACTATTTACCTTAGAGAGGGATTATACTTTATGATAAACCATTCCATCCATAGTCATTTTTCTATGCTGTATATTAATATCAATAATTTTTATTTACAGCCAAAAGTGTACACACACACACACACAAAACTGAACAGCCCTTTGGGCCACACTACATGATATGTCCATTTACCTAGGACAGATAGTTTATAACAGAAAACTGTAATGTAATCCAGTGCTTGTTGAGGTACAAGAGCTTTGTGAAGGTGTAGATCCAAATCAACAGGTAAGTGTCAAAGTATATAGAAAAGAGAGGGCATACATTCCTATGCTTCTTTGGACCACCACAGATCATGCACCCTGTTTCTGGCAGAGGGTCTTGTACGAAATATAACTGAATTACATAAAATCTGATGGTTTATTTGGGCCTGTTCCTCCCACAATATGGTTTGAACTATCTCAAAAGACTTGATATCTTGCACAAAATTTGCTGCCATTCAGGGTTCATCCATATTTTGCAGCTTAGATACAGTAGCTCTATGCATCTACAGAGAAACCAGTGCAAGAAGTCACCAAATCTTTGTTGTCATCTACTGGGTGTGTTGCAACCCAGTTATGACAGCCCTCTTATGTGCATACGCATGTGCGCACGCACACACACACATACTTATTTAGTGAACAGATTTACTATATAATAAATATATTCAAATGAGACACCTTCTAGGAATCTGGCTTCTTGATAGATGAATTACCACATTCAGAAAAACAAAAAAGACTAAAGTGTAATGGTGGAAAACTGATTAAAGCAGCTCATCAAAAGACTTTGGGACAGTCATTCTCACATAGCCCATAGAATTGTGGTAGGGGGGAAATGGGGGGCGCGCGTTTTCTACTGCCTAAGTAAAAGGTAGTTTAACAAGTAAACAGATATGTGAAAAAAGAAATTTCTGGAGATTAAGATTTTGTGCCTTCAGCAGTTTCACTACAGATAACTGAAATGTCCCAAAGCATGCAATTTAGAAAGATTAAGTGAGGTTAGGAAAGGTTAAACTGAGTGACATGCAGCCATCTGTCAAAGGCAGGTCATACAGTGAGCACTGAGGGCTTCCATCTGCATACAAGGCTCCTAAGTATAATTACTGAAAGGGCAGGTTGTGTAGGCTGAGTCAGTCTTTGGTGCAGGAGGAAGAATTAGAATACCAATTGTTTCTTTAAAGCAGTTAAAAGTAAAATAGAGGTGGCAAAGAATCTAGCCATTAAAATTTAAAAAAAAGTAGTATAAAGCAACTAGAGATAATAAGTCAGGATCAGCAATACTCACTTAATGAATACCAAAAATACAACAACAAAAAGACAACTAATATTCAGTGATAATTTTCAGGATGTATTGAGAGAAAAGGGAAGAAGCACCTTTTGTTTTTTAAAGAAGAAATCTACACTATCTTTGTGGCAAGTAGATGCTGCACAAATAAGAACTCAAATCAGCAAATCAGGAAAGAAATAAAATACATGTCAGTATAATATATATACATGATTAGAGGAAAGCTGGTATCTCACACTGTGTTTCCTGGCATGGGCAGGTTTATAGCAGGCATGCCGTATCAGTTGCTTTTCACTCCATTAGAGAGAGACTGCCTTGCTGTCCAAAACCAGGCTCTCGTCTGATCTAAACCCCAGGACAGTTGAAGCAAGCAGCATCAGATTAATTCTAGAACTGTGAACCTTAAAAAGCAGACCTGCTGAAATATTATTTGTCCATTATAAAACCCTTTTCCAGTTAATAAGAATGTCTAAAGTGGAGGTAAATGTTTTGATCTATGTAGAACTGAAAGAGATGAGAAGCTGAAAGATTATTTTTTCCCCTGGGGTATACTGTTGCATGAATATTATTGCATTTCTAATTTGATCTTTTCTTGGATGAATTGAAATAGTCTTTGATTGCCTTTTCGACATCAGGAATTGCATAGGTCTGAGCAGCAAACACTCCAGTACAACTCCCCACCAAAAAGCCTATGACTGCAGAAGATCTTAGTTTGGCTACAACAAATCCAGCAACAAATCCTTTGACAAATGGAGAGGCCAACCAAGAACCATCCTGTTAAAAAAGAAAAAGAAAAAAAATAATATTTGAGCAAAACTAAAATTCACATGTTTTCTCTAGAATTCGAAGCTAATATAATGTTACTAACTAAACATGTATTGATCCCAGTTTCAGACAAGTACTATTCAAAGCATTAAACAATTTCAGAAAAGTATTATTTAAGGCAGACATGTCAAACTCGCGACGTCATGTGACGTCACGCAACATATTGAAGCTTTTTCGCCATTGCCGGCAAGGGGGGGGCGTGGTTTCCCGGTGACGGGTACGGCTCATGGGCCAGCAGTTTGACACCCGATTTAAGGCATTACACTGTTCCCTAATGACAGGGCTGTTTAAACTGTATGTAATGGATCTAACTGCTGACGTTTAGGAGACAGATATAGTTAAAAGATTTCCATATATACCGTAAGAATTTAGAAACTTGGATTCATATTTTATTATTGAAAGATGATTTATTTGCTGTATAATTGGTCTTTAGACATGCCCTTTGGTCACAAATATCCTCAGAACCTGCATTATTACTAGTATTAATATTAGTAGAAAATGGTATACTCCTGTTTCTTTATTTTTCTTACCAGCTAAACTTAGAGAAAGTAATTTAACTTTATATGCATATGGCATTGTGGAGAAATTGCAGAAACCTTTTATGTAGCTGCACTGAGAGAGTTAGAACTTTCTGATCCTAACCTATTTGCCTTGAACTGAAAATAACTGGATCTTATATCATGATGTCCTTTTATTTCTTTCTATATCAATTAAATTTTAATAAGCAAATTCTTAATTAGGTTATTTCTGACAGAAACACAGATGAGTTTTCTATTTATATTTGGATCAAACATAATCCACCACATTAATAATGCATTAATGGATTGGGGAGAATTTCAGTAGTAAAGATGAATGTTCTACCAAAGTTTCTTTTTTTGTTTTAGATGATACCTATTTTAAAAAAGGATGCTAATTTGGATGAGTGGCAGAAGGGTATCAATAAATTTATCTGGGGTGGGAAGAAATAAAGGGTAAAGTTTAAGATTTTATAAGACGCTCGAGAAAGAGGTGGACTTAAAGCACCTAATTTGAAATTATATTATGATGCGGCCACTTTAACTTTAGTAAGTGACTGGCTTAATTTAACAAATAAAAATATTCTTGCTCTCGAAGGTTGGGATTTATTATATGGTTGGCATGCATATTTAATTTTTGATAAGAAAGTAGATTGGGTTTTTAAGTCACACATTTTAAGAAATGCTCTACTTCGAGTTTGGAAGAAATATTATTATAAGTTAAATTATAAAATACCTATTTGGGGGATTCCTGGACAAGCAATTCAGGGGGTTTCTAAGGGGGTGAATTTTGATAATATTTCGTACAAAGAGTTACTTATTTGGTCGGGTACTGATTGGCAACTAAAGTTTTCAGACGTGCTAAGGCAAGAAAATATTTTACAATCATGGTTTCAATATTTGCAAATAGTGGAGAGGTGGACTTTAGATAAGAAAGTGGGAATTACTTTAGTAGATGAAAATTTGGCAATTCAGATTAAAGATCAGAAATATGCTCATATTAAAAGAATTTACAATGAGTTAATAAAATTGGATTCGGAAACAAGAGTTAGTAAAAGATTGTATGATTAAATGGGCCCAGAATATTCAGGAACCAATTTCATTGGATTTATGGGAGGTAATTTGGATTAGAAATGTTAAATTTACGCAGGCTCAAAATTTGAGGGAAAATTTTTATAAAATGTTTTATAGATGGCAGCTGGATCCTAAAAAGTTGTCTTGTATGTACCCCAACCTGCAACTTAAATGTTGGAGATGTGGTTGCTTGGATGCAACCTATTTTCATGTTTGGTGGACTTGTAAAAATATTAAAGCCTTTTGGATTATGATTTGGTGGAGCATTCAAATGGTTTTTAAAAGGAAGATTAAGTTTACTCCCCAGTTGTTTCTTTTGGGTATTTTTGTGGATTTTGATGCTAAAGAAACTATCTTAATGTTGAATTTAATAACAGCAGCAAGATTATTGGTGGGTCAATATTGGAAGAAGGATTCTCTGCCTTCTTTAGAAGAATGGGTATTTAAAATTTCTAATTTAGCAGAAATGGCTAAAATTTCTGCTTATTTAAAGGACCATTCACAAGAGAGATATGTTATTGTATGGAGAAGATGGATAGAATATGTTCAGAAGAAATATGGAACTACAAAGTTTCATTTATTTTATGAGTAATGGATTTGTTTATAAACTTATGATGTTAAAGTTTAAAGAGAGTTAAGGGTTAGTATGATTTTGGTTATTGTATAATTAGTAAACTTAAATAGATTATGTTTAACATGTTTGTATAACCTTGTACTTGGCTCTGGGAAGTCGGGGTGGGGGGAGGGGGTGGGGGAGGGGGGTGGGGGGGAGGATGGGTTGAAGCTTAAGTAGCTCAGATAAGTAGAAATAGTTTTATTGTATATAATATTGATGTTTTAATTTGGAGAGAGGAATTGCTCAGGCATTTCCCCTGGACTGCATCTGGAGTGAGAAGATAGGAGGAAGGGGAGAAGTAAGTAGGAAGGTTGAGAAGAAGGAGGAGAGGGGGAGTGTGAGGAAGAAGGGGGAAAGAGGGAAGTAGGTTAGAGGGTGATGTGGTTTGGGGGGAAATGGGTGAGCAATACAGAAAGTTGTGTGTATAAATTTATTTTACTCTTTATCTGAAGTATTTTTATGAATGTAATGTAATGCAAAATTGAAAATAATTTTTTTTACAATAAAATAAAATAAAATAAAAAATAATGTATTAATGGATAACTCATAATATGTTATTTATATAGCCCTAAAAACCATGAAAACTAGCTGGGTGACCTTGGGCCAGTCAGCCCAATTCACCACATAGGGTTGTTGTTTGTGGGGAAAATAGGAGGAAGAAGTTATATTCGATAATTTTCCGCCTTGAGTTATTTATAAAAATAATAGTCTATAAAACAAACAAAAATTGTGGTGCATTAACAGATAAACTGTACAGTAAACTCTCGATTTAAAGGAAATGAAGGGCTGTCCAGTACAGCTGAATCTCCATTTTTATTTTGGGGTGAGTAGATGGGTAGTGAGAATAGGTTTACTATGATTTACAAATTATGCTTGTTTTTGATGGAATATTAACAGGATGTTGATCAGCAAATCATACTTCGTTGACATTTATATTTAAGCATCCTGTGTAGCAAACAAAGGCATTCACTGGGGAAACAAAGCAACTCCATTCTTACCTGCCCCATTCCAGCCTGTACTTCATTTTCAACCTTTCGTTTCAAACTTTCCAACTGATCCTTCAAAAAAGCAAGATCTTTCAATTTTGGCAGAGAATCCTATATATTGGAAACAAAAAAGCATATTCCAAATTGCATGCACAATCTATTTCAGTATCTTTGTTCCAGAAAGCAAAGAACTGAGGGCCAAAGCAGTCCAGCAATTCCAAGAATTTAGCTAAAGTCTAAATTTGTGTGAAGCTATCACTATTATTACATCAGGAAGATAAAAGGTCTTTTTAAAAATGTGTCTGACTTTTCTCTAATGAAATAGGAATTCATTAGTGGGCTATTTTTCAAATATTAGTTTGAATAGCAACAGAAGGCAACTTTTGTTTACCAAAGTTTGCATCACATATACGACCAGGTCTTAGGGGTAGAGACCTACATTCAGATATACAGCTTAACACAGGCATTCCCATTCTCAATTCCCAACTAACATCCTACCTATTTGTAGTTCGAAGACAGAGGTTTGAAATACTTAGGAGAAATGGAAATATGCTGCTTCCATTAAAACCATACCTAGAACTATGATGAAAGCAAATCACATCATAAGCTCTGTCCCTTTTGTACAGGAGTACAGACATAAGTACATATGACAGAAATAGAGCTTGCATTGCCAAGATGCAATACTGCTTTTGAAATATGACCCCCTTTGAATCACGTGCAGATGTGCTGGGAGAGGGGGAGAGAACCTGTATTAGACCACATAGACATCTATCAGTGACTGAGACCATGATAGTGGTGTATGGTAAAGCTATTGAAAAGCTGCTACAGTTGCACCTATCAAACATATTCATAACTTGCCATAATAAAATTTGGCTAATTAAAGATTGCATGTAAATGGATAATCTAGACTGAAAACAGTACAGTATCTCAAAATCACCATCAAATTATAAATCTTATTACATCATTGATTCTGAACTTCACAGAACTATGACACAAAATATGAATTCTAGGGACAAATCCTAATGAATTCAAGTTTAATATGGGAGTTCCAGAAAATCCATTCTCAAATCCATACCTAAAATCAAAACCAAAAGAGTAACAGATTCCAACCTTGTCTTTAACATGCTTTTTGTTGTTATTCTTCTATATCTTGTTCTTATCTGTTTATTCTGTTCGCTATATTGTGAGCCGCCCAAAGATTTTTTTCGGCAATGAGGCACCACCAGATCTAATGAATGAATAAAATCTTAGGTGGTGCAAAAATAAACACTTTGGGCCTGAATCATATGAGAATACAGAGAATGGTTAAACTACAAATTGGCTCTATCTGTGATATGGTCATCTTTCATCAACTGGTGAAATATTATTACGTATGATAATATGAGAATCCATGTAATCCTCCATGCTTAAGCCAAAAAAAAAAGCCAGTTCCGTGGCTATCACGATTTATTTTATGAAGATCGACGAATTCCAACTCCACGAGTTTATGCACGGGGCAGCAAAAATCTTAGTATCTCTGGCTTTAGGTGGCAAAAAACATGCAAGTTGGAGTTCGATAGCCGGTTTGGGAAGGTATCTAAATAACGCGAAATCCCGAAATTGATTTCTTGGATCCGATTTTTCACGGACTATACCCGACTCATGTCCAAGATCCCTACAAATTGTAGGTTGCCCACTGCATCTGCCCATCTCCGCCAACGCCAGCCCCTAGCGAGGGAAAAAAGATCGAGCGCGAGAGGAAACCTGGAGCGGACAAGACGGCTCCACGCGACACCTACCTTATCATCCGCCATTTTTTAGCCAGAAATTGCCCAGCTTCCTTCTGCACATGCGCAGAAGAGTGCAGCTTTCGAGAGTTCGGTATCTGAAGGCTAAAGTTTGGGTTAGTTTGGAAGTTTTTTTTATGAAAATGAGTGGGGAAATCCCGATTTTAATACAGCTTTCAATGCTATATAAACGCAACAGCAGAGAAACGATGCTGCTTTGAAGTCCGATTAATTGGTAGGGGATGTTTGAAATTGAATGTAACAAAGCGGTTTAAAAGATAGATGCATCCAGTACACAAGAGGCTGGAATAGGCACTTTTGCAATACAACTGAAATAAACATGTGTTCCAAGTAAACAAGAATATGATTGAAGATTTATAACTTTTAGCATTATTCGTTTACCGTCTCTTTAATAATCCCAAAGTCATTCGGAATAGCCCAGAGTATCAATTTCCAAGTTAATCAAGCCAATCGAGCTCACTAAGTCATAGAAAACTTAAGGGGTGATTGACGTTATAAGATACAAATCTTCCGCGGTTGTTGTTGCATTTAAATCTCCACCTTCCTCTCGAGAACTCAGGAAAGTAGAGGACTCCCTTCCCGTGACGACTCCTTTCGTTCTGTCTTACGCTCTCCTCAAAATATTATCATCACTCTTCTATTTTAATGTATTTTTTCATTTCCGCTTTTTCACTCGGGTGCTCAAGGCGGAGTACCTAGCGCTTCCTCTTTTATTTTTTTCCCCACCACAACGCCGCGACTGAGGTGGGGCCATGAGAGAGCGATTTCCCCAAATAGATCCAGTGAGCGTCGGTGATCGAAGGTGGACTGAAATTGCTCTGAGTTCAATACCTTCATTGTTCCACCAGACCAAGCTTGGCTCTTTTATGACTTGTGGACTTCAACTCCCAGAATTCCTGAGCCAGCCATGCTGGTTCCAGAATTCTGGGAGTGGAAGTCCACGAGTCATAAAAGAGCCAAGATTGCCTACCCCTGCACCAGACTGTTCTATCCGATTTGGGCATGGTTTCAAGTGGAGTTAGCGTAAACATCAAATGACAACAGCAAGATCAACGTTTGGTTCGGCAGATCTGCTCTTTTACTTTCTTTCCCCATCTTGGATTGTTGCAATCCGCAAGGTCGGAAGTGATCAATGCGCCCTCTCGCCTGTAGATGGTGCTGCCAGCTTGGGCTTCCTTCACGGGAGCCGAAGTCCCACTGAACTCGGCTAGGCTCGACCTACATTGCATTCTGGCGTCATCGCCCTCCGCCCCTCCTTCTCTTCTCGGCTTGGCTTGATTCGGCTCGGCACCGCCCACTGAGACCAAACTTGACGCCGCCCTCTGCCGCACCGTCGCCGCTGCTTCCCTCCTCGCAGTGTTGCACAACACCTGGCCTCCGGGGCGACCGAGGCAGCTATGCTGGGCAAGGACTACATGCTGGCCATCATCCTGGTCAACTGCGATGGTGAGAGGAGCAGCCGCAGGACCGGCGCGGCGGGAGGGCGGGAGGGGAGAGCACTTATTTGGGCGGAGGGACGCGGAGGGACGCGGCGGCCTCAGGTAGGACAGAGTGGGAGCAACTTCGGGCTCGCCGGCCACGCGGCCGGCCAAGACATCAGAAACCAGTGGCCCGGGACGCATTGGGTGCGTTTCGATTGACCTCCCGCACTAGGATACGGGTGTGCGTGTCTGGGCTTTGGAAAATACGTCAGGACTGTTTTCCCTAATTGGGGGGTGGGCAGCGGATCTGATGCGGCCATTCCCATCTGGCTACCCTCCTGCACTCGTCCTGGACGGGGGCGTCAGCCTCTGGGCTCATGTCGGCGTCCAGATGGGAATGGCGTGGCATGAAAAGGACGGGGCTTCCATGTACCTTGCCTTTTTTTTTAAATTAAACACAAGTGGATACCTTTGCCGTCTGCTGGTCGGGGCGACAGAGGCTTACGTCTTGTCCTACATCAATGTGAGGACACTTATAACTGGTTTCCATGGTGAAAGCAAGCAGGCACAACGGGGGAGGCGAGAGAGCAGCTCTGCAAAATCCATTTCCTGTAATATGCAGTTTTATCGGGCTCGTCTTTTTTTCGACCAATGTTTCTGACGACCTGTTTTTAGGCAGCTTTCCTTGGTGCTGAAAAGAGAGGGTAGGAGAGTAGGTTGAGTTCATGCATTTCCCTTGGGTTCCTCGGCAGTGTAGAAGCTCTGTAACTTCATCCCCTTTTCCCTTAATGTTTTTTTCCCCCTTTTAACTGTTTTTTTTTTTTGCATATTCAGAATAGAAATAAATAGAAAATGCTAGTATCTTCAGTATAGGTCTTAAAATCCTGAAAGCAAGTCTATCTATATCAATAGATCAATTACTGTGCTATTAATGTTGCATTAGAATGTAGATACATTTAATATCTCAGTCTATCTGGAGAAGCAACTTTCCTGGATTGCTTTTTCATATTGTGGTTTGTGCCAAATTGTTAAGAGTTCAACAGTCTGAACAGCTTATGACTTTATGCCTTCATAACAGTGAAGCTTTTGTCCCATATGTGAATGGAGGTATAGTGTGTGTGGTGTGTAGGTATATAACATTACGAAGTTTTAAAATTATTTATGACTAGGGTCTACATATGCTAACTTTATTTCTCGCTTAAGCACTTTTCCAGAGAGTCCCTGGTTGTCACAGTTTCTCTGGATAATGTTTCATTTTTCTGGAAAGCCAGAATTCAAAATGGTTTCCACAGGAGCAGTTACTCACGTAAAGCCTTTCTAGCCATTGGGTTACCAAAAGTTAGACCAACAATCCAGCAGCAGGTATTTGACACAGTTCTTTGGGCAGAGCAGGGTAAATCAGGTAATCAATACTGGCAGGATATACACAGGAAACAGTGTATAGTTAGTTATTCAATATTAACTGCCTAATGTACTGTAGAGCTTTTTTCCATAGTCCACTTTAATATCTTGCCCTCTGCAGTATTGAGGGAAAGTATAATTATTTCCCTTTGGCAAAATGAGCCTGCCCCTGTGACCCAGTGGGCTTTCTTCCGCAATTTGCACCCTAGTGTCATAACTCCACTTGCTAATAGAAATTCCACCTGATCAGAGGATAATCTTGTTTGCATTTTATAGTCCAGAACCCTAACAATTCGGGAAAGGCACAGAATTTATTTAGCTGCCCTAATTTTAAGATTTCATAAATATCAATATTTTAGTGCCTTCTATCTTGTTTTATGTTTTTTACCTTCTGTTATTTCTCATATTTCATCCATCATAAGGTTCACATACTCAGTAGCATGCTTAATATATTTAGTATGTAAGTATTTTATTTATAAAATAATGTTTTAATCTAGTTAACTAGCTTTATACGTTATTTGTATTTATAGTATTTTGTTCTCTGAACCACTTTATATAGTTTAACTTCTAGAAAATATGTGTGTATCTTACTCTGAGCCTTGCAATTTCTTATATTTTTATAAAATCCTGGTCAGTAACAGTAAAAGTGATACTATTACTTGGCTAATCTTGATAAATTATAGAGGGCTAGACTTGGTGATGGTTGGATGGGAGACCATTAGGAAATTACAGAACTCTGGGCTGGGAAGTTGAAAAAACATCCTGAAAGAAGACATTGTCAAAAGCACTCCCCTATTATGAATGAAAACCACTTTGATATGTTCATGCAGGCAACTGAGCTTAATTTGGAGAAAACTGTACTTCTAAATTTCTGACAACATGAAATCTTGCCCCCCTCCCTTATTTTACATGATTATAAAATTGTTACAGGACTGAAGTCAGCTCAGAGACTTCCAGTTGGCTATCTTTGTTATAATAGATCTGTTTTTTATAATCTACCGTTTTGAACATAATACAGAGAATAACAGGGTTGAAAGGACCTTGGAGGTCTTCTAGTCCAAACTCCTCCTTGAGCAGGACACCATATACCAGCGGTTCTCAACCTGTAGGTTGCGACCCCTTTGGGGGTCGAACGACCCTTTCACAGGGGTCACCTAAGACCATCAGAAAACAATATTTCCGATGGTCTTAGGAACCTGTCTCACTTTCAACTCCCCCTAAAATTCTTCATTCAGGCAGACTTCCAGAGTTCGGCGAGCAGGATGCAGGTAACCCCTCCCCCCTGTCCTGCCACCTCTCACCGCACTGTGCCGCTCTGCATCCCACGCCTCAAGCCTCCGTGGCACAGAACCGCTGACGTCCCCAATGGCCGCTAACGTGCTCCCCACCGCCGGTGACCATGCAAGCCCTGGCAATTGCTCCAGCCGAAGAAGCAGATGGCTGGGAGGCCGCGGCGGCACCGATCTTCTGCGCCTGTCAGATGGCAACCCCCTGAATGTGCGCTTGTCAACTGGGAGGTCTGGCTATGGAGCCAGCCGGCATGGAGGGTGATGGAGAGGTGGTGGCTCGGCAGGTGGGTTCCCACCTGCCCGTGAATGTCGGGCCCACGGGGATCGACACAGAGTCGACGGTCCAACATAACTTCCCTCCTCGGATGAGAAAGAAGGAATCTCTCCGCCCGTGTCCCTTTCCCCCCCCTTAAGTGACAATAGGAGTCAGACAACTAAGTCAGCAGGTGCAGGAAGCCCTGGAATGGCCAGTCCAGGGCGCCTGGTTGCAGTGTTGGATGTCTTTTGCCCCTCCTAGACGCTGGTGGCAAGAGAAAGAAGTCATTCAAACTTCAAGCTAGCTACTGGACGCCTTTTCACACTTTTTTTCCCTTTTTTTTTTTTTTGAGTACTTGTCTGCCAACCCACCCCATCTGTAAAAGAAAAAGTCTTCCACCCAAGCATAACTTTTAAGGATTTTAAGGATCTAAAAGAGGGAGAGAGAAATAGAGAGAGGGAGAGAAAGAGAGAAAGAGAAATAGAGAGAGGGAGAGAGAGAAAGAGAGAGTGACAGGGAGAGAGAGAAAGAGAAAGAGGGAGAAACAGAGAGAGAGAGAGAAAGGGAGACAGGGAGACAAAGAGAGGGGGGAGAGAGGGGGGAGAGAGAAAGAAAGAGAGAGAAAGAGGGAGAGAGAAAGAAAGGGAGAGAGAGGGAGAGAGAAATAGAGGGAGAGAGAAGGCGAGAAGGAGGGAGGGAGAGAGAAATAGAGAGAGGGAGAGAGGGAGAAAGAGGGAGAGACAAAGAAAGGGAGAGGGAGAGAGAGGGAGAGAGAGAGGGAGAGAAGGAGGGAGGGAGAGAGAAATAAAGGGGGAGAGAGAGAAAGAGGGAGAGAGGGAGAGAGAAAGGGGGAGAAAGAAAAGGAGAGAGAGAGAGGGAGGGAGAGAGGGAGAGAAAGAGGGAGGGAGAGAGAAATAGAGGGGGAGAGAGAGAGAGAAAGAAAGGGAGAGGGAGAGAGGGAGAGAGAAAGAAAGGGAGAGAGGAAGAGAGAAAGAAAGGGAGGGAGAGAGAAATGGGGAGAGAGGGAGAGAGAGAAAGAGGGAGACAGAGAGAGAGAGGGAGAGAGAAAGAAAGAGGGAGAGAGAAATTAAATTAGTAACATGGTTGTTAAGTGAATCTGATTTCTCCCATTAATGTTGCTTGTCAAAAGGTTGCAAAAGGCGATCATAATATGATCTTCATAAATATGAATCAGTTGCCAAGCATCAAAATGTAAATCACATGACCCTGGGGATGCTGCAACGGTCGTAAGTGTGAAAAATGGTCATAAGTCACTTTTTTCAGTGCTGTTGTAACTTTGAACAGTCACTAAGCAAACTGTTGTAAGTCAAGGACTACCTGTACTTTATCACTTTTTTTCCATTTGTAACAATGAAAATACATCCTGCATATCAGATATTTACATTATGATTCATAACAATAGCAAACTTACAGTTATGAAGTAGCAACAAAAATAATTTTATGGTTGGGGGTCAGGAGGAACTGTATTAAAGGGTCGTGGCATTAGGAAGGTTGAGAACCACTGCCTTATACCATTCTGGACAAATGGTTGTCCAATTTCTTCTTTCTGATGAAGGAGCACCCACAACTTCTGAAAGCAAATTTCTGTTTCTTTGGTTAATTGTTCTCATAGTCAGAAAATTTCTCCTTAGATTTATGTTGGAACTCTCTTTAATGATCTTCCATTTGTTGTCCTGCCTTTCTGTGCTTTGGAGCATAATTCAGTAATTCAATTCCCTTTTGACAGCCCTTCAAATACTCGAAGGCAACTATTAAGTCACCTCTAATCCTTCTCTTTGATAAGCTAGACATATCTAGTTCCCTTAGCCATTCATCATACAGTTTAGCTCCCAGACCCCTTATCACAATGGTTCTCAACCTTCCTAATGCCGTGACCCTTTAATACAGTTCCTCATCTTGTGGTGACCCCCAATCCCCCCATCCAGCTGGCAGGGGAGGGGAGCAGGAAGGCTGCTCCTCCGGCTCCAGCCAGGCTGGTTGGAGAAGCGCCATTCCTCTCCCTCTTTCATTCTTTCTCTCTCTCTTTCTCGCTTTCCTCTCTCTCTTTCCTCTTTCTCT